AGACATTTAATCAGCACGGTAATAATCGTTGTGAATTTTGTACTCATTTCCATTTGACTTGCAAGCAATGTTATTTGTCAATGTGTGTTAGACTTTCCATAGCCTTGAGTTATTTCTGGTTCGGTTCGGACATAATCCGAGACAGGAAGACGTCTCGTTCCGGATTGAGCGTTCCTGTTGATTCATCCTATGGCTCCCAGTCGTCTTCTATAGCATATTGAGGTTACCAAAGTCCTCTATTTGGACTCAAATTCGGATGGACAATCTTTTGGAATACCGATACCATGATTCGTTCTGTAATCCTTCGCTTCTAAAAGGCGTGATCTGTGCAAATTGTCTCGGGAAAGGTTGATGGAACTGTGACTACCTCACTCCTTGCAGGTTAAACAGAGACAATAAACTGCGTTTAAGAGAGCTGTCAAGCCATAATTTGGAGTGAAGTGCGTAGCTGCCGCAAGCTCGAACTCCTCTCCGTTGTTAGAATTTAGAAGAACCTTCGTAAAATTCTATTGTGGATGTCTGTCAATGTGTTTCACCGCGGCAGCTTTGAGTACCGGCATATACCTTGCAGGGCTTTGCATTTCTTGATTCCCATTACCAAAATCCAATTTTGATTTACCGTTGTCTTGGCGCACCATGAGTACGTACTACGCACCTACCATCGGTTTGTCTCCTCTCCTCGTTAGAACCTTTGATTTCTAAAGTCGTAGCACTGGCCATTGGGCGGCAACATATGGACGTCGGCGGTCGAACGGTTGGCGGTAGAATTATTAGCTAGAATCCAAGATAATCGTTGAATAGTTTGATAAATGCTCTGTGTGTAGTATGAATAGATAGTCCGGGTAGCTATAGCAATTTGAAGTTCTCGGCAATTTAGAATCCGCGCCATTTCGTCACGCTGCTGGAGTAGACGTTTGAAGAAGCAACGAACGTTTGAAATGATGGTTGTGGGATATCCAGCATGAGTTTCGTCCCTGCATCGTGTACCTACATGACACCTCATATTAGATGACACCGCGCGTTCTTACTTAAGTCCACAGGGGATTTCGAATCAATCATTCATGAACCACAAGGGTACACTCAGGATCGGGTCTGACCCGAGGCTCAACTCAACTCATTAGAGCTAAAGTTGACAAATGCATTTAATTGTGAGAGGCAATAATTATCAAGGCAAAGATATAATTGGCCCTATGATGATATGCCCCAGAATGCCATCGTAAGAGCTGATTACTTTGTGTAACCTGATATGCAGGGAAGATCGCCAGCAGGAAAAAGTCGAGATCTCGCTTTTTGAAGAAGTAAAATTGCCCTGTGTTTACCTCAATCGTCCGAAGAGGAGGCGGAAAGCATCATGTAACTTCCAATTTGTCCGCCAAGTCACCAACCGGAGGCCAAAATTTGGTGTGGAGAAGCATAATAATGACAAACAATGAGTAATTGGAAAAAGAAAGTCAAGACTTTTATGCTGTGTGGCCCGTGGTGTGCATGATGATGATGGTCTTGCTCTGCATGTGCCGTACTGCAAAGACTGACTTATTTGTGCATTTGAGTTGCAGCTGTAGAATTTGACCCAGGGGTGATCTGTGCAACGGAAAACGACCACCGATAATGGCTCCATATTCCATATTCCATAGTCCATGTTCTATATGTATTCAATGTCCAATGTCCAGTGTCTATAGTCCATAGTCCATTGTCCATTCAGTGTCCATCCAGTGTCCATCCGGTATCTAATATCCAGTACCCAGTATCCAGTATCCAATATCCAGTATCCAATATCCAATATCCAACATCCAGTATCCAATATCCAACGTCCAATATCTAATGTCCAGCGTCCAGTGTCCAGTGTCCAATACCAATGTGTAGATGGGTGGCTCAGTGTCAAACGAGATTCAGCCAGCGTACCCGGAGTCTGATAGGGATTTATCAAGGCTTGAACCCTGTATGATTTTGGGGCTCCCTCTTCTAGCGTTCCACCATACCCTGTAAATGAGGAGCATTCGCCGCCCAGAGGCTAATTTGAAATCAAGTGCCGCTTTCCGATCGGTACCGGGAATTTCCAAAATAGAATCTTCGACCGAAAGTGATGAGCCCGAATCAAGAAATTGATAGAAGGAGATTGGAAGATTTGGACATCAGAGATCAGAGTCGTGCATGAGTTGGAAAGGACCGGAAAAGAACCATGTGTGGGAAATACACATGTGGACATAGGGTAGCCGGATATGGAAATTTGTCTATATGTGATTTGTGCTAATTCTGACCTTGATTCAATTCAATATGGCTTATTAAACTGTTTATCTTTTGATGTGCATATGCCATACGTAGAAGACGGTTAGAAATAGACCGTTGTGATTCTCGATATTTCGCCAAGTCATGGGAGAGCTATCTCTTGGTCCGGGGCTGGGCTTAGAACGTACCGGTACAGAACTAAACCCTATGGAATTCTTCATCGCGTCGAGGACTCGAGGGTTGGGTTTGAAAAGCTGTTCGTCTCGGGCATTGTTGGGCAATTAAGATTCTGAAAGTCTTCCTTCCCCGGAGGTCTACCATATATTACATACCCTCATACTCATTTGACCATCTCGTTTTGTTTTGGGGAGGGGGGGTTTTTTAATATGTTTTTAATATATTTATTTATTATCCTCTTTTCTTTTTCTTTTTCTTTTTCTTTTTCTTTTTCCTTTTCTTTTTCCTTTTCCTTTTCCTTTTCCTCTTCGGTTTCTAGACTCGGACTTGATATTGCTTCGGATTCGATTTAGCTCGTCATGCCCATGTTCTAAAGCTCTGTAATGACATGTAGTGACATATAGTGACATAGTGACTCCCCATCCCCTGCTATTTCAAGCTCTACGAAATGAGGTAGGAGGACCATACCGTTGCATAAATGACCTTTCATACCCTGGAGCGGTTATAATTTTATAGTTTGACCTATGAGGAACATGTGAAAGTCCCATGCTTCATCATATGATACGTCTCGCTATGTTGGCAATTTCCAATTGTGACAGGTTCTAGCCTTTGAAAATCAATGTCCAGTTCAACTTAGTGAAGAAGATCCATTTCTTGGGATTCGCATATCAGTCAAGACTTATCAAGCCTCAATGATCACCAATACAACTGTAACAACGGTCAGATTACCCGTTTCCGCGCCCTTCCGGATCCCACCGTGCTTTAATATGATGATTTTGAATTTTCTTGCATCTCGTGATATTCGTGACGGGACTTGTTGAGTCGTCAAACAATTTTGTAACAAATCTGCTGAACAAATCTACTATGAGTTAATTAAAGAGAGATATATATAAATATAAAGTATACTATGTATTATAATATAATATAATATAATATAATATAATATAGTAATTTTACTTCGTAATATAATATATAATTTATTATAAAGAAATTTAAACCTACATATCTTATAAATCTCTTTTTTTCAAAAATAATAAATTTGTGGTTTTCCCTTGTGGGCTGGCTGGCATGGTATATGGATGAAAAGCCACGAGCTTACTGATGTAGTATAGTCTCCTTAAAAATCCCTGGATTAATTTATTTGTATGTACCTTCCCTTACTTATGGCACAGAACGGATAAATTCCGTGCGTATGGATTTCTTACTACGCTTACTACGCTTACTACGCTTACTACGCTTACTACTTTTACTGAGTTTGTGTATAGGAGTCCGGAATACTGGTATATATATATATATATATATATATATCATGATTTTCCTGTTTTATTCCAAAAGTACTGCAAAACCAACTGTGAAGTGTGAAGACACGAACCGCAGGACAGCAAGGACAGCAGGGTAGACGCAAAAGGCAGCTCTCGTAAGAAATTTGTCTCTCATGAATTAACCTATGGATAACAGACAAACAAATAGACAAATAATCACAAGTGCACATAGATATTCTGTTCTAGACCAACCCTACTTGGGTGTCATTTCCCCGTCAATATCAATTAGACACGGCCGGCAGGTCAAGGTAAAGCAACATCTCATCTCATTTTAATTCTTTATCGCGCCTATCATATGATTTCATATCCGATATTCCCTTCATCTTGGGTCTTCATCTTGCTTGCCGACTGCCTCAATAAACGCTGTGCATGGTGCATCAAATTAAGATCTTACATGGATTGATGGAGCTCATGATCATGGGTAGGTTCCATATAGAATTATGTCAGAGTAGGCATCAAAAGTACTGCTTTGTTATTCAACATGTAATTAATTACTGCTCTATTTTCACGACGGTGTATTTATATCCTGTTTGAAGTAATATTGCTACTTGATCCCGAGAGAATGAATGCATCAGGAGCATGTATGCCATAGTACGGTACGTTGGTCAGCAACATCTCTCACTGGAGGTGAATCTTTACCTCAAGTGCAGTCTTACGATAATCATTCCGTTCCCATCTCGTGCTCCCTTGTAGACTTGGAAATTGGCCTCATCATAGAATCGAAAGGCCGAGATATATATACACCTATATATGTGTATATATAGGTATTGAAGAATGCACCCATGGTAGGTGGCTACGGGCAATTCCCAAGATTTAGATTTTATCAGCACCAAAGGATGGGTCGCTCGAGGGGAAGGATAGGATATTAGATCTGGATTAGTTATACAGTGTGTCAATCATATTCATATCTATCAATATATCAAATCTATCAATCTATCTACTCCATATTGTGGACTGTGCGGCCCCTAGCATGTTTACTTTATCAACAAGGAAGAATAAACGATATATGTCCAAATACCCACACAATCTGTCAATTCACAAACGAAGCATCTTGGAATCGTCCGCGCTCGTCTAGGGGTGAGACGATCTGTATGACTCGCACTCTCAATCAGAGGGAAGCGATGGACAGGGAATGGGTGCCTCCTTCGATCGCTCATCTCAAAGTATCTACTATCTCGAGGAGGGGAGGGGGTTCGTTGTGTTAGCATGGGTAGGAAAAAGAATGACAGGCCCGAAGCGCTTGTCCAATGTCAATCTCACAAAAATATTCTACTGAGATTCTAGAGAGACCTGGGGCCTGGTCATCTTAACTGGCTATCAATCAACGAGGTGAACGAGGCGAGGAAATTCAAGTGCTTCATCGAATTAAAGCTCTAGTTCGGCAACGGGCGACATAAACGCATATCTCGTCTCCAAATCTTCCACTTAACCACCTACACCAAATTCTCACAACCTAATTCGTCTCATCCCATCTTTTATTCTCCTTCTTTGCTGGGTCGTCTACTTAGCCACATACCTATCTCTATCTTTAACATCAAATTTTCCATCCTTTGGACCAATAACGACGAATCTTTAACCCATAGGTAATCTTGAAACCCACAACGATACTTGACGCTTGAACTCGGCATTAATTGACATCCTTCCTGTTCATTCTCCATCCCGGAAGTGTACCAGAAATTTACGTTTGGGTGGAAAGAAGCCATAGGGATTGTCGAGAGCTCTCCAACTGGGACACACGATTCTGTCCTCGTTCACAACTGCCTCATCGGTTCTTTTTGCATCTATCAACAGCACCATCACACGGACTTCCTTCTCGAACAAGTATCCTCGTACCATACATACAAAAGATAAATTCCAATTCCAACTAGAGTTCACCTCTTTGCATTTCGTTTGTTCCTGTACAAACAAATTAGATGCAACATAATACATCAGTACATTTTTGGCTTACTCGACGACGAGCACTTTGATGTATCTTTTGCATCACAAGCTCATATAAGTACTTTGCATCACCTCAATCTACACACATACACACACACGCACACACTCAAACACACACACACTCAGTAAGGTATAGTACTTACTTGGAAGAGAACTTCAAGGCGTTACTCAATTCAATCACTCGATCACTTTGGTTGGTCAGAGAGCATTAGAAAGGAAACCTCTCGTCCCTGCGTTTCTTATCCGCGCCGTCCTTTTGCCCCGGTCGAGTACCGAGCATCGCTGCTCGTAAAGCACCAATCAGAATTGCTCAGACTCTGCTCACCCGGTCTTTCACACCAGTCGCATATTGTCAGTCTTCGTTCCTTCAATACACGACCGTTGAATCACTACCTTATGTACCAACCGGTTTGTCTGAATCGAAGAATCAAACAGCTTGGATAACTTTGCATCCACGGCATCGTCGCCAAGATTTTCACTATCACCATCCTCGTCACATTAGAGAATTCTATTCATTTGTGTTTCGCATTTGTTATTTCAAGAATATCCTCGATATCAAGGCGATTGCCGGGTTATCAGTATATCGAACCCGGAATTCCACTGTCTCTTGAAACGTAGGAGACGTCCTCTCTCATCTTTCGTCAACGCTCATTTGCGGCCCATCATCCCGACAGAGAGTTCGTTTTTCCGGTGTACATCACAAAACTGAAAGCTCAAGACTCTGAGACGGCGCACTAGACGGCACTATTCTATGAGACCTAAGCTCCATTAAAGGTTCCCAGCCCTGTGACTCCTACTAGGGCTGTACACCGTTTTGAACATTGTCCAGACTCTAGAACTTGAGCTTTCTGACCGCTCATCACTACCAGGACTTTCTGGTTGTTGACTCTACTTAATTCCTTCCACAGACTCTCCAAGCTCAATCACACACCCTCCTTTCGCAAGCACAAGACAATAGAAAACAATAGCAGCAAAGGACTCTTCTGTTCAAATCTATCATTGTCAGACTTCTTGTCAGTTACTGCTCCTTATATTAGCTATTAAAAGTCAGACTCGATCTTGACCTCGAACTCGGACTCGCGAACTCCGCCCAAACCTACCTCCACCACAAGCACAACTCAACCAGAAGAACGAGACTACAGATATAGAAGAACGTCTCATCTACCTCCTTCATTCAAAAGTCCATCTATGGTTGTTTTCTTAGTGTCAAAATACTCGAACTATCGATTCGAATCATTGTGTCGCAAGCACAGCACGAGGGAAAACGAGCAAATCGAGGGATAAAGAGACATCGAATATAGATATAATAATTTATAATCATCAGCATGAATTCCCAACCATCGCACGACTTCGCGCAGGCGCAATCTCTCCAGATTCCAGGGCTACAAAGGTATGTCCTCCAGAAATCCCGCCATGCTTTTCAATTTTCCCCTTCTCTGAACGATAACTAATATTCGTAATGAAGCCAAGACTGCAAGCTCATTATAAGACAACAGCCTCGCTATGCGAGGGTTAACATGGGCAAAGAAAAAGGTAAACTGATCTTACAATCTCCTCGAATGGCATAAATCTAATCTATGGCAGATCGTCGAGCAGTTGACCCCCCGCCTGTTGTTCAGCTCATAATTTCCCACGCAGTCGACCCGAATGAACGCTACATTATAAGTATGAAGTCAGTCTTTGCGGTTCTTTTCGTTTACTAACGCTTGTAGACCCACATTTCTTTATGAAAGGTACTCTTATGCCGGTCACAGATATGCAAGCTGGGACGTCTCACGGAGCTTTACTGGCAGGCACTACAGTGTCATCTTGTCATCGCCTCAAAGATCCCGAGACCGACGACTGGGGCGCATATTTTGTATTCGGCGATTTATCCGCCAAGATCGAAGGTGTCTTCGTATTGGAGTTCAACCTTTACGAGAGCCATGAAGACGAAGTCGTTTGGTTGGGATCTATTTCGTCCGATCAATTTACTGTATATTCGTCGAAAGCCTTTCCTGGAATGATGGAATCGACCACTATGACGAAAAAGTTCCAGGAACAGGGCCTCAAGTTGAGAGTTCGTAAGGAGCCTCGGTCGTTGCTCAGAAAGCGTGGTCCTGCCTTTGATGACTATGAGCCCAAGAAGTATCGTGCTCGTATTCAGGAGCCGGAAGAAGAGCCAGATTCTCCCGAGGCGAGCAAATATAGCGAACAACAACAAGTTCTCAATCAGAGTGCACACATGCAGAATAGATACTCAGGCTATTCCCAAGAATCCTCGTCGCCGGAGGAGCGCCGATTAAAACGAGTAAGGACCGATACCCTTTCAAGCCAATCGCAAAGTCCAAACTTTAATCAACCGACATCCGCCGAATCACTCCAATGGCAAAGAGGATACGCCAATGCACAGCAGCAACACCAACAACCTTCCTTTGCTGGCCATCAAATTCCAAGCCAGCACCCTTTGCAGAGCTATAATGATTATAATTCGTCAAATTACGCACATTCTCCCCAAGAGATGACTACGCCGGTTCGAGACCAGTTCTTTTCGAATCAACTCTCAAATACCCACCTCAGTGACTCGCCGCAGCCCAGATCTTTACAATTCGAGATGAGCAACCAGCGACCATCTCCCACATACTATCATCCACAATCGCATGGTTCCATGCACTCGACAGTCCCTATATTGTCAGAGCCTAATCCCATGAGTCACAGACAGACAGCCAGTTACCAAAATATGGGATATCCACCAAGAACACATATTTCACACGGCAGTCTCACTGGTATGCCACCGCCGTCGAACAATGGGAGATATCCTGCGGCCCCTAGTTTTTCTGGTTATAGGAGAGATACATCGTATGAAACAATACCTGGACATGGACTTGGGATAGGGCAATTTCCAGACCAGAACGCATTTGGCACTCCTGTTAGGGATCCATATGAAGGTCGACCCTCCGCACATGTTGTGACTACATCGCAACCCGGGTATTATCAATAAGTTCGTAAAAATTTCACAATTGCTGAGCCGGAAGTGCGCTCAAGCTGAACTTCGTTCTGTAAAATGGTTGTCGAATCCTTCACATATACCCAGTTTTTCTTTTTCTGATTCATTTTATGCACATAACCACATTCTGTTTTCTTTTTGTCTGTGATCAAAATGACCTATTTCGGTTTTCATTTCTTTTGTCTTCTAGGGACTGGCTGGCTGTATACATCTTGAAACGTTTTTTTGTGTTATCATCTCTTTCCGGGCTGGTTGCATTTAGCAGGACTTGGGTATCAAAAACCCGGGTAGCTTCGAGGTGGCGCTAGGTGGGAGGCATGCATGGATTTTGCATATATTTATTTGGAATTTCTCAACTCCATATTTCTTTTCTGTCGATTACTATTCCTTCATCATTATTTCATAAATCTTCATTTATCGCTGGTTCGCGAAAATCATTTGATCTGGCCGGTATGCCCAGGGTGTTTTTGGTACTCGTTCATGGGGCCAGTATGGAATATTGGGAATAGGTAGGGTCATTTGGAAATTTGACAGGGCGGGGCGGATTAGCATAAGGAAGAAAATTGGGTGGAAGGAAATTGTATAATAGGATGGATGGTCGGGCGGGATTTCGGAGAAGGATGCATCAGTTGCAACGGCGGCGGACTTCTTTATATTGGATGCTGCAATCATCATAGTTGATAGCTAAAATGCTTGGTTGGGACTGGGGTGACCGGGGGGAAAGGAAGGAATGGAAAGGAAAGGAAAGGAAAGGAAAGGAAAGGAAAAGGATGGAGAAAAGAGTATGCCGGCGACCTCGGAGGCAGAGGGGTACACACACATATATAGTAATAATTGGGTGGTTCACTGTAGCAAAGCTTACTACATACGTATAGTACTCCGCAACTTCGGATTACATCTACTGTAAATACGTAATACTACCTAGGGAAAAAAAGACACGAGAATGCGACGCATTTTCCCCCCAAATAATTGTTTCAACTTTTGCAAAAGTTTGGTGCCGAAAGGATTTTGTAAACGAGGCGTGTTTCAGGTGAAGTTTTATGTTGCAGATAGATGGTTTTTAGAGCCGAGGGATTTGTGGATTTTGGGAATTTGGGATTTTCAGGTTCTTTCACTGTGGGATGAGAATGAGAATGAGATGAAAAGTAAGAGTTATTTAAGGTTAGATAGGATAAGATCTATATCTATATATATATATATATATGTATATTATTTAAATTGATGGGATGGGATGGGATAGACTATACATAAAGTGAGTTGAGAGGATTGAGAGATGAGACGAGATGAGGTGGAATGAGAATATATATATATAAATAAGAATAGATTAGATTGATGGATAGATTTGAGAGATTTGAGAGATTTAATAGATATTTTTTATAATTAATAATTGATTTTAAATAATTTTTAATATTCTTTTTTTAATAATTAATAATATTATATAAGATTTATATTAAATTTATATTAAAAGAAGAAAATATATATAACAAATCAATTTTTTTATATTAATTAATAAAGGAAAATAATTGAAATGATTAATTTTCAATATCAAGTATTAATTAATAAAACAAAAGATTCAAATTAAAAAAAAGCTTAATAGTATTATTAAGATAATTTCATATAGACTTATATATTACCTAGAATTTATACTATCATATGCTTTCTAATGCGACCCAGTGCAATACAATGTTGACGCTTAACTTGAAGTGCTAACAAGTATACAGAATCGCAATTGAGATCAATAACTCCCATTTATTGATTCTATCCCTTGCTATTTATTGTACACTTTCCCGCCCACTGATATCTCATTCACGCCCTTGACTTTTCGATATTTCAACATCCTAATTTGAATCCTAGTCTTGACCAAGATCACGGGGAAGTCAAATCATACCATGTGAACCTTCTTGTTCCTGTCCCAGCTCGGGTTGAAAAAATGCCTCATTGGCTATACTAGTAATGCAATCGAGTAAAGAAAAAACAGAGAACTCCCATGTTATCATCACCCATGCTCTCTGAAAAATCCTAGCTATCATCATAATAAACTCTAACTCTGATATCGTGGTGCCACCATTGCGTGCGTCTTATGCGAAATAAGATTTCCACAGCACGCCTTCTAAATCTTCTAATTGCTCAGGTGTGAAATACTATTGTCAATGATTAGTTAAATGCGGACTACATATTTGGAGGATAAAAGTGTGAAAAAAACATACCTTCTGATCAGTAACCCAAGTATCTTGACGTGTTTTTTTGAAATCAGCCAAGACACTCTTGACAGTTTTACCAATTGCACCAGCATCATTCGCAGCCCTACTTGCTAATGTAGCCAAGACCTCCGGCATCCATTCTGGTGGCGGTGTTGCATACGGAAATGCATTGACCAAGGCGCCTAATCCAAGAACAGCAGCATGTCTTCTGATTATTTGAGCATTTAAATTTATTGGTGTGCTTACTCCCTGTACTTTCTTGGGCATAGGATTCTTCTTAAGGGCTTGTGTGAATTTGATGCGTAGGGATGAGAGAATATTCTCGCGAAGGATGATGGGTGAGCATCGAATCATGCCAGCTAGGGTAGTAGATGCGCCGAGACGAACTTCAAGTTGTGTATCCTCAAGCATTTCGGCCACGGCAGAGAAAAGAGCTTGCTGCTCGGCTGGACGGATGAGGAAGATGCGACGGAAATAGATCACTTGCATGTTAATCAAGGTTCGTAAGCGTTGATGCCATGACGCGGATACCTTGCCGATACGAATGAGAGCCGAGATAAACTCGCCATCTTCACCAGCACGGAAGGGAATATTTGGAAGATGGCGATAGACGTGGTAGGCGAGACGTTGAAGTTCTGGGTCTTCTTTGACGTCCATCATGTGTAATAATTGTTCCATGAACACATTTGGAAAGAAATCAATGAGTTGTGTACATTCATGAGATTGTAAAGTGGAATCAAGCCATAACAATACTGTCTTGCTACCATTAGTATACGAAGTTGGTGTTTGCTCGCCTGGAGCTCGTTGACCACGCCATACTTCTAGTCGCCTAAAGACTTCTCTAATGGTTGAAGAGAAATCTTCTGTAGGTATGTAAGGCTTGATACCAATTGAAGAAACCGTTTTGTTCGCCTGGAGAAGAGTATCTACATCTTTGAAAGCCTCAAAGTATCTCATACGATATATAGTAGCAGTTGCACGGCCGATTGCTTCTCTCACAGCTTTGTAGGGGTGGTCGATGTGGTCAAGAAAATCTCGTAGAATCGGCTCATCGTTACGGAAATGCCATCCAGCATCAGAGATAGCAACATCTAAAAGTTGAATCTTGGAACTATCCTTGAAAGCTGCGTTAGAAGTCATATCCAACCGGAACGAAACGAGGAAATCAAAGAGTTCTCTTGAAGACCTAGGATCTCTTCCGCCAATAACCATGTGAAGACCCGTGAGCCAGTACGTCAGGTTTTCTGGGGTCAATCCTTCGGAGAAGACATTCAACATAATAGGCAAGCAGAATCCCCAAACTTCATCACGCTTTGCATTAGGAAAGTCGTATGTAGAAAGCATAAGACCAGCCATGATTTCGGCCGTTGCACGATGCTGATGTTTGTCACTACCATCTTCGAAAACCTTTTTGACCTCTTCTTTGATCTCATCAAAAGTAGCTGATGTAAGTCCGGAATGCATCAACTCGAATGTTTGAACGAGCAAGGTTGTATTTTGCACTCGGAAGCGATCTGCAGAGGCATCTCTTGGTTCTTGCTTCATGTACATAAAGAACTTTTGATACCAATCCAATGTCAGGAGAGATCCAATTTGCTTTCGTGCAGAAGTTTCCAGTTCATCAAAGTCCGTGAATTCTACAGGGTCCGCTCGCATAGCAGTAAAACTCTTGCCCCACACAAGCCATCCTGGCCAGTCGCGGTCCAGGAAATATTCTGGTTGTCCAGGTTCCGCGAACGAGTCCAAAAATTTCTTCGTCCACATAGGATCCTTGCTATCAACAGGAATTTCGAGCTTATTGGGCTGAAACTCCTCCTCACGGATATACTTTTCGAAGCTGTGGCCATAGATAGCACGAGTTTCAACATGATTCAGAATGCGTGTCATGAATTCAGTATGGGCAGCTCGAAGTCCAGGATGATCAGTTACGGCGCCTAGTGTAGCAAGCTCAATCATAGAAGGCGGCGCAAGTGTTTGGATTCGGAGACCCAAATTATTGATGAACAAAGTGCATCGTGCGGCAAGTTTCCAATGTGCTGTTCTGGCAAATTCAGTAAGCTCTGCTGCTAAGTTCCATTTCTTTTCTTCCACACTAACACGTCGCCCCACGATAAAGTCATTTCTGGTCTGGATAATTGAGTGGGAGTCTTCCTTTGGTTCAATTTCTTGAATGGAGACTTGATCGAGGATAACAAGAGTCTCCATCCTCCTGCCGAATTCCATTAATCCTCCGTACATGGCAGTATTACCTACCTTTTGAATGGAGGGCTTATCCACAGATCCAGATTTGATGTAGAGATCGATCAACTCTGGTGCAAATCGCCAATCCTTCGAGATTGTCTTCGTAAGGCTACCAAAGAGTAAGGTGTAAAGACAACCCTTGATCCGGTCAAAGTCATTTGTTTCCAAAGCTTTCCTGAAAGCACTCAGTAGTGGGGGTATGACTAGAGGTCGACCACCAATCACGCTCTTCAAAGCGGATTCCATAGCTTGCTGAGCCGTAACTCGAACTTCGGCATATTGAGAGATGGCTGAAGATGCCAAATTCAATAGAAGTTGCTTATCCAGTTCCGACTTTTGTCGTGCCGATGCATTGTGCTTGGAACGTTGTAGGTGATAACTTCCAGCACGCTTTATCAGTAAGGGTCTTGGATATACCTTTCGGAGTCCTGTGACTTTGAAAGATCGAACCTCGGAGAGGTAGATTTTGTTCATTCGCTCTAGAGTATGAGCAGATTTTTCATTGCCGACATCGGTGATCCACGATTTATATGCCAGATAAAGTGCGGTAAAACAAGGAACATCGTCTTCTTGGTGCTGCCCCAAAAAGTCGTGCATTTTGCAATAAAGATGGCCAACATCCTCGCGAAGTTTGTGTATACGAACATAAGCGGGACTATTGTTCTCTAAAAGGTATCCTGCGCGATAGTGAAATTGAGGTCTGGTTTCCTCATCCTCGGAAGCCTCCGCCAAAGGATCATCATCTCCTTCCATAGGGTTATCCCCATTCATGCCGATGTCGCCATTTGAATCACGTTCTGTATCTAAATTTCCAGCAGCTGCTTTGGGATCGAAGAGGACAGAAACTCCTGACATCATCAACCGAATATGTGTAAGAGCCCTCTCAACCTCATCTGACCACTCTTTGTTCTTTCCCTTTCGTGAGACCGCAGGGGTGTCGCTGGTCAGATCAGTAAGCTTCTCTATCGATGTCTTCACTTGAGACTCAAATATTTCGACGGCTAGATCGATCTCGTCGGAGGAAGGCACATGCCATTTTATCGTTAAATCTGATGGTTTAGTGTTGCGACCCCAATCACCAACATCAAGGCCTCTCTCAAAGACATCTGGTTCATACAGAGCTGTATCAACAGGATATATTGTGGTGAGGTTGAGCAGGAGGTGGTGAATAAAATTAGAAACATGGGTCGTAGCGAGACCATGGCACTTTTCTTGCATGTAAAGAGCTACATCAAAAAGTTCTTTCTTATATGGCATAACTGCATCTCCAACATGGACAACAATCATGCTAAGCATACTCAAGTGCCAAACTAAAGCTCGGTCGCGGGGTAAAACGTCAGAACCGCTATTCCTGTCAGATGCAGCATCATTGTAGTCGATCTCATTCCGAATGCCAATCACAAGCATGGGCAGAAGTAACTTTATGGTCCTCTCCGGATTAGCCTTGCAAATTGAATTGATGATAAAAGCCATGGCATCCCTAGCCTGGTGGACAACATGGCTATTAATAAAAGCTGCCATCTTCTCCAGTGCCATGTCGAAGAGATCAGGTGATAAAGAACAGAACAATGGAGTGAGAGCGCTAGGTAAGACGTTGACAACGTTCTCCTCAGGAGCTCCTGTTCGTATCCTGGACTGTTCAGGTAAATTTTCCAATAAGGTGAACACTTTTCCAAGCAAAGCTAAGACGAACTCGCCAAAACCGGCAGTGGAAGATCGCAGGATATTGGCTTCGTCCTCATCACTAAGCTCTGTAGCATAGTCGATCTCCACGTTTGGGCCATCTCGTTCCAGTCGTTCCATCTCACCCTGTACCCACTGAATGGCAAGGGATGTGTCATGAATACCATCGTAATTCCTCGTAAGGTCTGTAAATGGTATACTAAATGCCACAGCCTGTATGAAGTTCAGAGTGTATTGGGTTTTAGACAAATCATTGGCGTCGATACCGGGTAAAGCTAGAGCTAGCAACGCTGTAATATGACAACGGTAGCCCTTATGTTTCGACATTACATTGGCGAGCATTTGAAGACTGCAAAGAGATGAAGACGTTCGATGGACTTCGACTAAACCTTGAAGAGAAGGGTAAAACCGCTGCAACGCTCCTGGCAAAATCAAATTTGGTTCCAGATTTGCTAGACCTTGAAGTGCAACAAAATAGTAATTGAGAATCTTGGATCTTTTCGAAAAGATTCCCATAAAAACTACATCTTTTAGGATAAGGACAAATCTTTTCTTTAATTCAGGAGTGATACGTCGCGCGGGTGGTGTGTCCATTTCACCACTCTGTTCCCGGTTCCAGCGCAACAGGAAGAAATCAACGAGGTGGAAAACAGTTTGTGCTAGTATATCTGCCCAGTTTCCATTATTCGACGGATGGAAAAAGGTATCGATGGACTGTATCAACCCCTCAAGATTTGACAAGATTGAATTTTCGCAGTTGAGAGTTAACGGCGAAAGAGACATCACTATCCACCGTGCAATCGTATACCCTACGGGTGTTCGCTTCTTGTCTGTTTCAAGATATACGCCGAGGCCAGAAGCCATGTCGACCATCGGGCTGTATGGAGTGGTTGCTTGTCCAACAGGTATCTCGGTTAACCTCAAGATTGCTGTAAATATGAGATCAGACTGTTCCTTTGTGAATATACCATGTTCTGAGAAGTCAACATGTTCGTTAGTCACGGAATCTCGGGCAAGCCTCGAAAACATGTCTAGAAATGTGACGTCAAAGATCTTAGAGCGGTTGACAAGTGACCAAAGATGGAAGAGGGTAGGCAGATAATCTTGGGGTTGTTGGAGCAAGCCCAATTCATTTGGTCCTGGCTGTGTTGGCATCATCATATTCAGAGCTCCAAGGGTAATGAATGCATATGAACAATCTGAAGTGCTAAAGTATGGTAAAATTTCCTCGAACATAGCTTTTCTTTCACGAGGATCGAAGAACTGTGATGCATAAGCGGCCAGGCTCGAAACGTTCTTGTGGCTTCGCTTTCGACTACCCTGATGGGCTGCCATTTCGTGGGGAAGAACAAGACCTTTGATCTCCCTCCAAAGCGGTCGCCAATCAAGGACAAGATCCGCTCCAGGTTTGAGATGATGCTTTTTTCTAGTGGATCATTAGTTGTGCATAATAATGAAGATAACCTGACCTACCTTGTCAAAAGGAATCGAAACATGCTTTCAAATCTTTCTCCATTACTTAAGTCCAGACCTGGGGCCAGTGAAAGCATGTAATACAGCTTTACAAGCTTCACCCGTAGCACTCGAGTGATGTCGAATTTCAGACTCAGCCATGCTCTTAGCTCTCTTGTCCAATGTACAGCACCAGGAGCGATATCTTCTGCTTTCAAAGCAATGTAAAGCTGTTTAATGATTTCTGCCAGCGCCGCATTGCGTTCCGTCTCCTCCTCGACTTTATATGGTAATAATTGAAAGTAGGGAAATGTTCTGGGTCTGTATCGTTTCTCCCGATCCATATCGATCCCGTCGGCTCCAAATTCGAGACCCGGTGAAGTAGCACGCGATATCGTATCGCTCGAACCTCCTTGAAGCATGTTCTGAAGGTATTGTGCATGGCTTTTGCCATTTGTGAACCCTTCGTCCATCTTGCAAATCGCTGTACTTGAAATTGACGGTCGAGCTTGGGTGTTTGGGTATAACGAAGAGCTTCTGGTTACTAGCTATTTGTCAGTAATCATGAATGGCTCACGGGCAATAGCATCGCACAAGGACCTGTGTGAAGCAAGTAGCTTCGATGATGGTGAAGGGGATAGAAAGGCGATCTCTTATCTAACACACAGCTGAGCCAGCTTCAAATAAACCCAAAGCCACAATCTTAGAAGTTCTCCACTTGCCCAGAAAAAATGAATGGACAACAAAGAAATTCAGTTTCTCATTAAATAGTCTGTAATTGATGAAGAGGGACAAAAATTGAATTGGAAAGAGTGTCCCACAGCATAGAAGTTTTGATATTTATCGATGTTGGACAAGAGAGGAACACCAGCCTTGTGCCTCAAGATCCGTGCGGGTACCAGGTACGAGTACAGCAGACAGGGATTGATGAAGTGTGGAGCGGATGAAGTGTATGAAGCGTTGTACGTTGATTTGTAAATGCTTCCAATAGCCTTTACCAAGGTAGGTCACCGGTACGAGGCGAAGAAACTTATTAAACTGAATTGGTGTTAAATCATTCTGGAATGTGAATCTAGATCTTTAGTATGAGAGTAGGAAGTACGGAGTATGGAATATAGAGCTTGAATTTATTTTACATTCAACAACAAAGAAGAAAAATGAATAGACATCGAGTCTTTCAAGTGGATTCTATCAAATTGAATGAATGCCACGGGAATTATATATGCGAAATGGAAATCTTTTCAATTAGGCAAAAGGCCCTACGTAAGAACGGTTTGCATCGAAAAAGGAGGTCGTAGCAAGCCTACGCGATCATTACTGCCTTGGAAGAAGGAATCTACGGGTACCTAGGGAAAGGCATACAAACAAGCTGACTAACACAAATGGTATCATCACATTATGGTTCTCCACAGATTGTGAGTAGAAACATGCCGTTTCATTGTTTGTCCAAAACTAAAAACTATGCACTATGCTATGCTATGGGCTAAAATACAAAAGTAAAGGGAGTTTCTAGTTGTGTTTTCAAAAAATCAGATGTAATGATATCTTCTAACGCCAAACCAAGCAGACATCCAAGTGCCTCATATTCCAAAATTTAAGTATTCCTAACCGCCCTCCCCAATGCTTTTTATGATAACGCCAGCAGTAATGTTAACCAGAAATATTGATACAAACGGTTTCCCTGTTAGCACTATGGCGAAGGAGAACGAGAAGAAGATCGGTGGCGAATAAAATTTATAAACGACTTCCATCGGCTACTCCGTTTTACCGCAGGAGATTTGCCCTGTACATGCTCGCTTTGGCCATCCATGGTTCCACTGCCCGTGTCGTGTGTGGCTGTGCTCGATAACATGTGAACAGATTTCACCCTTCGAGTGGGTTTGATCGGTATCGGGGGGGGAGAGGCAACGACACCCACCGCGGGAGGGCAAGAAACACGGTTCGACGCATTTTTCTTAACATGACGATCTTCGCCATTCTCAGGATATTGAGCTACGCTTTCCCCTTCGCTATCGCTCGCAATTGTGTTTATCTTGCGACTCGCTGCCCTTTGCATAAATGCCGTACCAGCAGAGGGGGCTCTGGCTCGCCTTGGTGATGTGACCGAATCATGTGGTGAAGACGTAGTGACAGAATTAGATCTGGGAATATTGCATTGTAGAATCTTGTTGCCGATATATCCAAATGTAGATTCTGGTGTGCTTGAACGAGTGCCACTAAGAACAGTAACAGAATTGGACCGCATAATATCTGGTGTCAATGAAGAGGCTCTGGTTCTTCCACTCATAGAATTTCTTGGACTTTTGTTCTGACCAAATGTAGCCATAGAATCATTGTATTTGAAATAAGGAGACCAGCCTTGGCGTAAAGATACCCATATTCCCGTGACTTGAATTAGTGCCCTCATAGTCTCGTCCATTAGTTGAGGGGTTCGTTCAACAATCTCCTCCGCCTTGTCATCCTCATCCACATCATCAAACTCGCCAGGTACACCGCTCACTGACGCCTTTGTGATCTCTATCCCAGATGAAGAAGATAGGTTAGTGTAATAATTTGGAATATCCAACTTTGTTTGAGTTAGAGTAGCCAGAATCGCATGTCGCCGACAATTTGGATCTATTACACTGAAACTGAATTTGGCATCGTTCATAGACGAATCGGAATGATTATGGTGGCCAGCTCTTCTCACCCATCGAATAGTAGTCACTTTCGTCCCGGATTCGTCGAACTTGGTCATTTCATAAGCTCCGGTTGGTAACGGGCTTGCCAACCAGACAGAACCATCGCCTAAAACTATTTCGGCTTTTCCTTGAGAGCCTCCTTCGTCCCTGGGCAATTGGCAAATGACTGCGATGAGGTCTCGATGCGAGAAACCCTCTTCATCAGAGTCCGTGTCGTCTATGAAGCCCTCCGGTATATCATATTCTTCACTCTTCACAATCATAATATCGTTTGCTCCTAATTCACCCTTTCCTCTAAACATTCGAGGAAATCTTTTGGCCAATCTGGAGACGACGACTGTGGAAGGAAGGACATCTAAAGTTGGCTTGGGCCTTTTATCAAATGACAATAACTGCAATTGCATTAGCAATTTCGGGCGAATATTTAATAATCGTTGCTTGTGGGTCAGAGTCGGAGCCGGGTGTGCTAGACGGTATGCCGTGCTAGCTTTCGAGGATCTCCTGCCCCGTCTACCCCCATTCGTTGTTCGGCTTCCTTCGGAGTTTGCAACCGACCTGCCATCTTCACTCATGGCATCCGCTTCAGGTTCTTGAAATCGAACAGCATGCACCTGGTGATGTTCTAATTTGTTCCGAGGTATATATTCAGATAATGCTCTTGAGCGTTGAGTCGATAAAACTGGTATTGGAGCTTGAGATGTAGGTACTTCTGGACCAGGATTTGAAAACGATGATCTATTCAAAGGCGATCTTCTGGGCATAAAATCGCTCTGTGGTCGAGGAAGGGTAGAATGTGAGTACTCATGGTTATGCATGCCGGCTGCCGAATGTAAAAGCATATTGATGAGAAGGGACGTCCCAGTGAAGGGACGTCCTCGTTTGCGAAGGTATCCGCGACTACGAAGTTACTTTGGAAGATCTTAAAAGATTCGAAGCTTTGAAAAGGCAATTGCATTCGATGCTCTCCGTATGCATGAAAAGAGCGAAAGTCGTAGGGCTGTCGGAGGAAAGAAGGTAGAAATTATATGTATGAAACCAAGAATTGAATTGCCAACAGTGGCAGTAGCAAGAATCAGACGATCCCGATAATGCTTGCTTCCAAATTCGCACAGATGTAATAGCTTGCGGGACAAGGCTTGTACTGAAAGACGTTGTGGTCAGACGTTTGCTGGAGGCTCAAGATGGGTTCGTACAACACAAGAATCTATTCACGCAGTCATCATTATTGATACTGTCAGCAGAGATGGAAGAGAACCAGACAGAATGCGGGTGATAGAGCTGAATGTCAGCAATAACATTTAAGCAGGTATGAGTAGTGATAGGTACGTATGAGTTGGCTAGAAAGTGAGCTGGTAACCTTAGAGGAAGAGTTCATCAAGGAAAGGATCGATGCTTGCTTGGATCAATTGAACTAGGATGAAGTGGAGTAGCAAACGGAAAGACCGGGTTCGAATGTACGAAGTAATCTATAATCAATATATAATCAAGTAGACAGAGACAGACTACAAAGTACCTCAATTTTTGGGATGTTTCTCGAGTACGACGAATAGACACCAATCAAAGTAATCAGATAATCCTTGATCGGTCAGGTACTTGGGTTTATCCTTACATCCCTTATACCTTATAAAATGATCAGCCGATGATGCATAGGTACTAGTACGGTATTACTAGCCGTAAGCCTGCCTGGTACATACCAACTACATACCAATCGATGAAATTCCCTCGATGATATTTTTCAATAAAACTACGAACGACCCGTTGTTTTATAACTCGTCTCCACATGACTGCATAACACTTGTCATAGAAGACATCCACAACTGACATTGATGAAGAAGAAAGAAGGATCTGTCGTTGAAAGGTAGGTTCGTGGCAGGAAGAGAGGGCTGGTACGTACAGGGAACTTTCGGATTCGCTCGGATTCCCTCGGACGGCGTAGGAAAATCCGAGATTTTGATTGCATAAAAGTTAGTGGTTAATACAGTTAGTGGTTAATATCCATTGATTGTCTAGTACAATAAATAGCAAGAGAGCGAAGGAACGGAAAGATGGAACAACCACCAGCCGACATTAACATAACCAAACTATAAATATACGTAACTTATCATGAATAGGAAATGATCTAGAAAATCTCATCGTCCATCCACCTTGCTTCGTGCTAAAGTAATATAATATCTGCTCCGTAAACTTCCATTTACCATTTACTCTAATGATAAGTAGTAGCCTGTTCCTAGAATGAACCCACTCACGGACTTTGTATGTTTCCCCATGCAGCCCTAACTAGAAGCCCTCAAATCTTGATAAAAGAAAGAGAAGCAAATACTGGGTATTGCTGCAATCTCCATTACTTTTCTTCGATCTCTTGGAGTCTCAATGACTCGACCCCGATCATCGAATGGCAACAACTACTCAGTGCACGGGTACGAGTACGAGTACCTACCTGCCAACTTATACGGAGTAGTTAATCCATTAAAGTATCTCCCACAACCTGCGCCGAATCTTCCGCCCAAACCAATGCCATCGAAAGTATTAAGCATTACATACCTAGTATTCATTACCAATAAGCTCTGATGGAGTAGTCTTAAATTGTCGTGATGGATACTAGGTATTTTCTTCACCACGGAGTACTCTTACTCTGTTAGAACTTGGCGCAACTTGACCTGAGTAAAATCCTGGCTGTCTAATATCTCTCTCTCTTCTGAAGATTTTGAATCGCAAAGATCCATAATAAACTTGCAAGGTCCGGAAATTCCCAAGTCTCCGTCCAGATCAAATCTCTTGGCATCAAATCTGTCGGGCTAACCTAACCTTCACCTACCATGGTCCATCGGCAGTAGTAAGTAGCGAGATGCATCTCTTTTTCACCGCCTTCTAATCTTATCATGAACCCTGTGAATGAGGAATTCGGGTGTTCCTACGATGTGAAGCCTTCTCGGGGAGGCTGAACACTAAACGCTGAAGCCAACTGCCGAAACCTCAATCTCACTATGGCTTTAACAGATCTTCGTGCGCTTCAAGCACCAGTTCGCACGTTGATATTGTGTTTCACGCTCTGGAAGATCTCGCTTCTACTTATCGCAGCTAGCAGTCCAGGTCCAGGCTATGATACATCCACCAACCTCTTATTGCTGAGTCTGCAATCGGTCGAAAAAAAGAAGTTACCATCGGGAGTGCAGTACCTCATCGGCAAATTGATAAGATGGGATGCACTTTACTTCGTACATGCGTCGAATCGGGGTTATGTCTATGAGCAAGAATGGGCGTTTGGGTGGGGTTTCACCCGCATTATAAAATTTAGCATTATTGGTAAGTAGAGAGCCGACTGCCCATCTGCACGCCTCGTTGACCAAGGTAGGACTTGAATATCTTGGGGTACCCCACTATAATGGACTGGAGGGGTTGGTGGGGATCTTGATTGCTCATGTCGCCCATCTACTTTCAATTCTTGTCCTTTACAGCTTAACCTTGACACTCTTCCCTTCTAAGAGGTTTGCTCTAGTCACAGCTCTTCTGCACATCATATCACCGGCTGGAATCTTTCTCTCCGCTCCATATGCTGAAAGTTTGACTGCTCTATTGACCTTTCTGGGAGTTTTCATTTTCACAAAAAGTTTTGCATCTGGAACATCCAAGAGAACATTAGGTCATGACCTTCTTATCCTCATTTCCGGCGGGGTATTCGGAGTCGCTAGTACTTTCAGAAGTAATGCATTACTCAATGGACTCCTCCTGCTCGAGGAAGCATTCAGAGCCCTCATCAGCTTAGGTAACGGGTTCAATATAAACACCTTCCGTCGCCTGATCATTACTGGTTTGGGAGGCATATGTGTTGGTATTGGCTTCCTCACACCACAATACCTCGCATATCAAGAGTATTGTGGGGCGACGGGAGTTGAGTATACAAGAACGTGGTGTAAAAATACCATACCAAGTGTATATACCTTTGTGCAAGCCTACTACTGGTATGTCGATGGATTTGGGGAAAACAAAGCCTTTCTAACATCTACTAGGAATAATGGTCCGTTCAAGTATTGGACCATGTCCAACATACCGCTATTTATACTTGCGATGCCTATGATCATAATTCTAGGAGTATCTGGCAACGCGGGGTTAAGGGATGCTCACTTCCAACAAATTTTTTCGGCTGCCACGGTTACCTCTAAGAAAGAAGTCAGCCCGTCAACGGATGGAATCCGAAATACCGATAAAATCCAGATTATCCGGAATTTAGCGCTCTCACAGTTGATTCTCACGGTATACACGGTAATAGGTGGACATGTTCAGATCATCACAAGGATCTCATCATGTTGTGTGGTATATTTATGGTATATGGCCGCTTCGATTGGGGAAGAAAAAGATCCAACAGTCACAATGGTTGGAAGATTCATGATAATATATGCCGGCATCCAAAGTGGCTTATTCTCATCATTCTTACCACCTGCGTAGTAGGAAAAATGGTTGTTAGTTTAAAACATATCCAGTGGCAATTGCTGTGGTAGGCCACTTATTATGCGCTCTCTCTTCTCTCTTCCCTTTTCCTTGCTTTGACAAACAAGAAATTGAAACAGAATTATTTATAACTATATATACCAATCAAAAGGCCAATATCAGTTCCAGAATTATTCCAATCGGGAACTTGCATCAGCATCAATGATTAAGACTTCTGGCGAATCAGATTAAGCAATAATTTTGATCTAGACAATCTGCAATGAGCCTCTCTTAGGTTGTTGACCGCCTAAGGCAAACTTAGTTAGCTCCGTTTAGCTGCATATTTTGAAAGTGTTCACACCCACACATAACCTTAACTTCGATAACTTCAATGAACAAGCAAAACATCGCATTACTATCACAATTATTATTTTTCTACTCTTTATCTGCTCGTCTTTCAGAGCTTCAAGATCGTCCCTATTGATAATAGACTTGTAAAAAGGCTTCTCACACCTCAAAGTTCAAAGTTCAGAGTTTCAAAGTTCTCTAAAGGAAAAAGTCATTCAAGCTACAAGCAAGCCATCCATTTCATCATGATATGATTTTGAAAAGCTCAAGTACTTCAAAAATATTTAATTCGAAAGACCACCACAATCATTCATTGTGAACATATTCACTGTTATCGATCTTTTAATACAGTTTGGACATCATGTTCTTGTACTGAATACTTAAAAAAAGAAAGTATACTATTCGACCTGGCAAAGTCATTTAACTTTGGAGACAACACAAAACTCAAATTTTGGAATTCTGGCCACAGCCGAGAACCATGTGGCAAACAAATAACGGGTTCCAAAATAATGGACAATATCAGCCAAACAACTTCAATCAAGATGATCTATCCGGAACTACACCACTACCATCGCCGTTTTCTGGGGTGGGGTCAGGTCCCAATTTCTTTCAACAGCCAAACATGATGCAGTACGATGAAATGAATGTCGATAGTTTTAACAACTTCTCTCCTGAACTTCCTACTATGTACAACCAGACAGCTTTCGCGCATAATCAATTTATTCCCCCCAATCCACCAGTAAGTGCTTGGGACTGGCGACCTAGAATTTGCTTCTTAATTTGAAGAGCAAGCGCATACAGCTAACCTCTGCCTATCTTTTCAGTTCTCACCTCATTTGAACTCAACTAATAATAGTGTGGCTCCTCCTACTCCTACTCCGACAAAAGAACAGCTTGCTGCTAAAACTGCCGAATTAAGAGCAAGATTGATGAAGGGGAAGGAAGGCCGAGGCAACTCAGCTACCCCACCAGTTCCTATACCCCCGAAACAAACAACTGCGATAGAGTCGTCGAACTCATTGCAGCCATCCCCGAAGAGTCCTGCGCTGGGGGCGGATATTGACGAACATTTACGCCGTGAAAAAGAGATAAATGATCTCATTTCAGATTATTCCGAAACCAAGTCAATAACAGGATCAAAAGTGAACCGGGAGGCAGGAAATAGTACCACCAAGAGAATACCTCCCCTCAACCCATACATTTCGTCTGCGAAGTCTCAAGATCCTTTTTCAGGAAGTCCTACAAGAGTGGCCAAACCCGAGATCAACAATGATCGGGCTAATAATGGTACTCCAGCAGAGCGCGAAACTAGGAGTGTTAGGAATGGATCAATGTCAGAAGGGGAAATATTAGATGAGCCTACTCCTAAGAAGCTTCCGCCCACTGAGCCAAAAGGAAATCAAATCAAGACAAAACCGGCTAACGTTAATGAAAAGTCCCTTAAGCCTGAAGATGATCGAATAGCTCGGTCACCTTATACTCGTGTAAAGGTCGAAGAGCCTAGTTCCTTGACTCGACGTCTAGCACCAGCACAACCATCAAGACCTGAGCCTCCTCAGTATCGAGATGAGCGAAGAGAAGAGAACGATTTTCAACCCGAAAGAAAGCCAAGCACCGATCACAAACATGAAAAGAAGTCACATCAAGACACCGACAAGAAACAATACCCGCGCAAGTTTTCCCGTGACAAAAATGACGATTATCGCCGTCCTGAAGCTACCAAGGAAGATGCCAAATCTGTTCGGGAGTCTAAGCCACCAACACTGGCACAAGTCTTACCACATGATGCTGATTTGAGGGAATGGTTGGACATGACTCAATATCACGATCTAACACATAGAAATAAGTTGTTAAAAACTGCACGAGCTCTGAAGGAATTAGAGGAACAAAAAGCGAAACTTTTGGCAGGTATTCAGGACGACCAAGGTCTTGTGAAATATAACTTGGGTAACTTGGTGAACGGCTCGATGACACAGCCTCAAAATGCTCCGGCCGTAAAGGAGCCTACAGATCTTAGTGATCGTGTGACATCTAACAAGCGCAATTACAGTGAGGTTCAAGACTCCCACGTGGAGGCAAACTATGGAAAAGCGGCTCGTCTTGAGGAACGAGAACATGAATACCGCCGTCGACAGAGTTCAGTCGACTATGATTCCTCTCGCCGTGCAAATGCTGATCGTGGAGGTCGTTCTCACTTTGAAGAGTCTCGTAATCGTGGTCGAAGCTATAGTAATGATCGTGAAGTATCCCCTGGTTTGAGGGCCTACGATAGCAGACCTCCACGCGAAAGATCTTATGATGCGGGCTCAGGCGGACGTCGAACATTTGAAGTACACGGAAGTTACAGAGGCAGGGCTTTTGATCCAAATTATCGAGGTCGAGGTCGTGGAAGAGGTCGTGGTGATTGGGCGTCGCACGATTCAAAAATTGAGGCCGGGTTTGGATCGCGGAATGCGCTTGGCAAGCCTTTTAAAGATGCAAAAGGTTTTGATCGAGGCGGGAAAGGTGGTCAGTGAAAATCACTCATCTTGTCGACTGTTATTTTTTCCGCATCCTTAGTTTGCTGTTATAGCGCTTCTTGATATCCATGCAATCAATTTAAAACTTGTATAATTAGAATCACTGTTGTTTTGCTGTGAAGTTGAGTGACGAGTGTCTGCCAAAACTTATGGGTTCTCTAGAAAAAAATCGAGAGAAGGTTCACATACTAACGCTTTCAGATACAACATATATCGTAGTAAAATCGTTCAACGGTGAGAACGTTATTAGATGTATAGAAGATGTAAGTTAATTGAACATAATTATTAATCACAGAATGAATCCGCACCAGGGTGTATGTATGGGCCACTCAAGCACAAAACGGACCCATCTTCAAAGAAGCCTTTGAAACATGCAAAAACGTCATCCCATCCTGGTCTTCTCCATCAACAAAAGCCGAGCCTTCCAAGGTTATGTGAGTCCTTTTCCCCACGCTTCTGTCCACTCCAACCAAAACTCATCACTCACACTTACACTTACATCTCACCCAAAAATCTAGGCTCGCATGGAATCTCTCCCCGGCAGCGTCACCGTTCCCTCCTGGCAAAATTCTATTAATTGGGAAAGTGCAGGTGCGTTTAAAGTTAGGTGGTTGACGATTTGTACGGTGAGGTTTCATAAGGTGGAGGGGGGGTATTTGAAAAATTCGCTGAATGAGAGAGAATTTGCCGGTTTTGATTGGGAGGGTGGGCAGGATGGGCGGGAGATTGAGGGGTGTGGGGGTGCTTTTGAGGGTTACTGGGGTGTTGGAGGGGAAGGGGAGGAGGGGGAGGGGGAGGAGAGGTTTGTTGATGCGGAGGCGCTTTGGGATGATTAGGCGTGGGAGGGATGGGTGGATGGATGGGTGGAGGGAGGAAAGAGATGGAGGGTGTAAAGTTCGAAAAGATAAAAAGATAAGTGGGAGCTTTACTAGATCTGTAGTAAGTGCAGTAAGTGCCTTACTTGGGATAAACAACCTCGTAAGTATATCTATGTAAGATTAAATCCCGTCTCCTCCCATTATACTCTTACCTTTTTCCAGTTTCCCCCTTGAAATCTAAGTTTCAATTAATCATCCGCTACTTGAGAAAGAATCTTGTATACATAGGTACATCAAATACTGTAGGACTTTACTACTATTCCTATTATAACTATTATTATAATCATTTTATTATTATTATCTTTATTATCTTTATTATCTTTATTATCTTTATTATCTTTATTATCTTCTACTTACTGCTAGTTTTATAGCATACATATACTAGGTAGGTAGGTATAATATGATATCTATATTAGATTAGTGGTGTAGTGTGGTATGGTGTTAGTACACCCAACGACAATACTAATTCATGATCTCTCATTCCTGAAAAAATACAATTATACTTGTATATAGTTGTCGGTTAAGGAAGAAAAGGATGAATAGATATATATATATATATCTGGTAGGTGGATACAGCGGTGTTTGATGATTTGATGTTAAGGCTGATTATGCTAGGTATCTGATAAGATTACTATTTTGCGGATTTGATTTAATTTAATTTAATTTAATGGTTGGTTTAGTTTCTTTGAGTTGATGGGGTTGATTGAGGTTTTGAGTATTGGGGTATTGGCATTGGGTATTTGGTAATTATAGATTCTTATTTTTATTCGGGCTTCTATTCTGATATTGATATGCAATGTATTGAGTATCAAACTGCAGATCACCATCAGCACCACATCTTTCTTTCCTTTCCTTTCCTTTCCTTTCCTTTTCTTTACCTTTCTTTTCTTTTTTATTCTCTTCCTTTATTATATTCCTCACTTCAAACTAAATCAAAATTCACCTCTTCTCAAAAACCAACATACATTCCTGACCCCTGGGTCTACTAGCCGCAAGCTGATCCTCCATCTCCATATCACCTTCCCATCCCTCTTTTATCCTCGTTCTATATTTCGTGTAGATTTCCTGGACAAGATGACGCATTTCTGCTAGCGCTAGACTGCGAATCGCGTATATCGATTAGTCTCATGATTTCAAAATCCACAGGAAAACACATATTTCCCAACTTCTTCTACAAGTAAAATATAGAAAAGTAGCGAAAGAAAAAATACAATGGAAAAGCGAGAAGAAGAACGGAACAGAGGAAATAAAATAAACATACTTCTTCCCAATACAAGCTCTCCCCCCCTTCCCAAAAGCCAAATATCCCCTTTCCATCTCCCTTATCTCATCAGCACCTACAAGCCACCTCTCCGGACGGAATTCCTCCACTTCGTCTCCGAATATTTGCGCATTGCGGTGGATACTCCAGGCTTGTACGCTGATGGTTGAGTTCCCGGGAATGAGGTATTTATCTATGGTTTTGGGTTCGTGTTTTGGGACGAATCGTGGTTGGGAGTTGGGGATTGGTGTGTAGAGGCGTAGTGTTTCGTTGATGATGGCGTTGGTGTATGTTATTTTGGTTTCTTGATTGGGATTGGGATTGGGATTTGTATCTGTTTCTGTGTTCGTATTTGGATTTGTATCTATTCCTCTCTCTGAGTTGCCTAGTGGAGAAACAAGAGACCGATGAAGAGTCTCCTGGATACCATAATTACTGGGACGCGAAAGTGTATACAAAAGATATGTAAGCGCTATACCCGTGGTATCTATACCCGCAGCCAAATGATCCATAATCTCAGCTCCGATTTCGATTTCTGTTAAAGGCGGAGTTGCATGCTGCAGAGTGTGTAGAAGTGTGTAAGGTTCTTGGCTTGGTTGCAGACAGGTGGAAAAGACGTGGGTATTGGTTAAAAGAGTAGATTTTTGAGGAAGTAGTGATAGCAGGAAGGTGGAGAGGGGTTGCAGGTAGAAGGTTATGAGTTGAGCTGGGAGGGGAGTGATATTAGAATTGTGGAGGATATAGCAGGGTGGGTGGAGAAGTGAGGAGACTTACTTTTGAAAGTAGAGTAGTAGGTCATCTCGTTCATCATTTCCATACCGGCTTTCTCTTCGATAGATTTTGTTCCTTCTTTTCCGAGTAGAACGTGGCTGACACAGTCTAATGTATAGCAATGTACATATCTCTGTTATTCTCTTTAGCTATTATTGTTCCTATCAAAGTATCATAGATCCTACATATACGCTATGCCATCCTGTAGATTTATATGGATGGAAAAGCAAAACTTACATAAACATCAATAGTTCCATTTTCCGCTTCCTCAATCTTTCGAACAAATGCTCGACTCCTTTCCTCAATCGCATCCATAATAATAGGTTTGAGAATCTCGGTGTTTCGATATGGTTTTGCGGTATTTCTCTTCTTTTCTTTGTGCTAAATGTTGCGTTATAGATATTAGTATTAACAATTTCCTAGTATCCTCTCTCTTCCAACACTCATTAAAGCAATACTACAGTCATTTTTCACACCACTCTCTCTTTTCTCCTCACACCTCTCACTTCCTCTCCGAAAACATCCCCACCTCACCCCTCCCTCCAAAAACTTCCCCCTTCCCAAAAACCAAAACTCAAAAGAAAAAAAAAATACATACCTCCAACCTCCTCTCCGTGGAAAAAGTAGTCCTAACACCCATCTGCCTAAACAACGCATAAAACCCCGTCTTATCCAATCCTCTCTCCGCACCACCCGCACCCCCATAAACACCCCTCACCCCCTCCATACCACAAAACGCAAACTCCCTCACACCAATCCTAATACTTTCTCCGAATCTTTTATGCAATTCTTCGATGTATATACGTCGATTGCCGTTCCATTCGTGGTACCGCAGTATCAGGTTTGTGAAGCGTGTGTACCAGGGACCGGGAGGGAGATGGGGGTTTTGGAGGTTTTGGATGTTGAGGAGGAGAAGCTGGATGAAGCTGAGAGTTAGGTAGATGAGGGGGGTGTAGATGAAGAGGATGGTGGAGAGGGGTGGTAGGGTTGGAGATGTGGGGAATGAGGAGAATTGTGAGAGGAGGTTGGTGAAGGAGGTGGTGATCATGGTGGATGGTGAGCTACTGTGAACTTTTGGAGTTGCAGTGAGTGATAGTGGAGGTTCATGGTAACTTTGTGGATATAAATTAATAGATGGATTGAGTAGTGACCAAGCTCATGAACAAAGGATGACATACTTTCCTCCTTGGTTAGGACTTCCTCGCTACCTCCTTTATTAGCGTTACCGGACAGAGGAACAATATGAATGAACCATTGCTTACAAACAATTGTTTAAAACCATACAAGCAAAAGAAGAAAAAGAAAGCATGATTTTCCAAAAAGGTATTCTCAAAGTCTTGATTATCGTATCTAAAATATCATTTACTCCCAAGGAAGAGTTAACTCCTCACAAATTAACATGTGAAACCTTTTTCACGGTCTATTTTGAATCAACTCATTGATAACAAAACTGGCCTTGATTTTCTCGACCAAATCGACTGACTTAAAATAGACCTCCACTCGGTATATACATCTCTAAATAATATAATGTTTGCGGTGGTGCGGTTCAATACTTATGAGTAATGGATGGATGGATACTTTTATAGCTAAGGCTTACGAATTTGATATGAGGATCGCTTTGAATGATTTTGAATGACTGTATGAGTTATATAAAATTTAGATTCTGTATATAGTTGAGATGATAGTGTAATTTAATATCTGATGATATAGTAAGAGGTTCAAAATCATGGAATATATATTGTTTAAAATGTTTAAATAGACATAGATATTTAAAATAGTAGAGAGTCTCGCTTCGAACGACTTAATCAAATCCAACGCCTGAGATATAAATTTATATTCACTATCCTGCGCACTGGTATATCTTATATACCTACCCTTCGTTAAAATATCTTTTCTCAGCTACAGATACAAGCGGAGCATGTTCGAATCGAAGATGAAGTTTACCAGCAGATGGTCCGCAGGTATATCCATCCATTTGATCAACTCCATCGTCGTTTATGACTAGAGTGGTAAAGTTGGTGTAGATGGCTGCTACTATAAGTTTGATTTCTGGATAGTTGTTAGTAGTTATATTCCGTCAAGATGGGAATGAGAAAGAGAAGAAACAGAAAGAAAATCAAGGAAGCGGAAAAGCTAGTAAAAAAGAAGCGCAGAATGCAAAGAAAAAAACCTACCGAGCATAGCAAAATTACTACCAATACACATTCTCCCTCCACTACTAAAAGCCCAAAAAGTCCTATCCCTTTCCCGTTTTTGTTCCTCCGTCATACCATTTCCTTCCATCCATCGCATGTAATCGAATCTTTCCGGTTCGGGAAAAACTTGTTCGTTACGGTGGACACTATGAGCCTGTGCGCCGATTCTAACACCACCGGGAATATTCTTATAAGGACCAATATTGCAGCTAGGATATGGAGTCATGCGAGGAAGACCACCCGGTATAGCGGCGCGGAGACGGAGCGTCTCCATTAGGACTGCGTGAAGTATGGGAAGAGCATCGAGATCTTTACGATCTGGAATTGTTGGAACTTGGGATGATGTAGTTGTTGAAGAGAAAAGCATGTTGGGTGAAAGAGTGAGGAGTTCATCTCTTAAAGATTTCTGGAGCATGGGATCAATGGATAAGTGCCATGCCAGATATGTAACCGTAATACCTGCCGTTTCGTGACCGGCGGCAAGGTGATCAATCATTTCACTGCAGATACTACGATCTGGAAATTTGAGCGTCTCTTCTTTAAGGACTGAGTCGGCGCCGCGTATTTTACTTTCTTTCTCAATACCGGTTATCATGGCATTGTAAACTACTGGTTCATTACCAGGCTCAGTATCCCATGTTCCTCCCTCCTTAATAAATTTGGCTGTAGCCTCACAGCGATGTTGGCACCATTCCTCTAGTTCTTCATTGGCAGAATCAACGAATGAGGGGACGATGCGATAGATATAAGTATTGAGGAATCGAGTAAGACGGGGAAGTTCTTGTGCATAGAAAGTGTAACGATGGCGTCCTTGGTAGAGTCGTAGCCAATGTCTTCTGTATGAGACATCTTTAATAAAGTTGGCGCCATTCTTAAGTCCGAATAGATATGAAGAGATAAAATCCATAGTAGTGCCGTTAAATAAATCGTAAACATCAACCCCATAAGGACTTGGAGAAGATGAAGCCAAGTTTGAAATAGTAGGTAGGAGGCGCTCAAAGAGAATGACCCTTGCCTGCTCAGCCAATGCTGGAGACGATTGGAGTGTGGATTTCGAGTAGGTATTTGAAATCATTCTCTTTCGGGAGGAATGATTCTTCGAGGGCAGTGTTGAGAACATACATGGGACACTACCACGTGGTTAGAGAATTTTCCAGAAAACTTTTGGGGAAAAAATTACCCGTAGTTGTCAAAGATAGAGTACCACTCTCCCTTTTCAAACCCACCTCCATATACAAGTCGAAGACCCTCAACATCATTAATAGAGAGTTCATTGGGACCTAATCGAATCAAAGGACCAAGTTGTCTATGCAATGCATGAACAGTCCTATTTTCTCGACAACGAAATCTCTGAAACAGGATCCAAGTAGAAGAAAATGGAGAAGACCAGTGTGCGTTTGGGATCTCTGCCAAAGGGGAAAGAAATGCAGGATAGATGATGAATCTCCATATGAGACCAATCAAAATACCTGCAAACGCCACAGTAGATATAGAAACCATGATGAAGGGTTTCTAAAAGGACTTCCCGTTTTGAAGGCTCAATCGAAAAGCTTTGTAACTGTACTCAAGCAGTGCAAAGGAAAGATCTGATCTCATCAAACAAGAGAGGAATACTATATAGATAAAGTGGGGGAGTGGTTATCAGTTGATCCCCACCTGAGGACTGTTGGCTTAGATAATCTTGGCGGGTTAATGTATAATATATTGGCTGAAGGTTCTCGTCGCATACAATATATATTGTTAATTTGGTAGATGTGGTTGTACAGCAACGCTTCGCCCTCTTATGAGTGCCGTATTAATCATACCTAGGTACTTTCCGACCCCTCCCTTATCAGTTCGACAATGACAATGACACTTTACCCCACTAGAAGGCTAAGGACCTAAGGACCTAAGGTAAGTCTTACTAGTGAAATCAGGGGAGCCCTTGCCCAGATTGGAACTCCGAGCCGATCCCTAAATCATGGACCAAAAGTAGATGAATATTGGTTGAAGGAGGTCTAGCTTGATTACCTAGGTACTGTCAGAACTTTCAATGGACTTCTAGTTCTTTTATTTGTGATGCAGTGGAACGCAAGTTTATAGAGGGATAATGTGTCATCCGAGGTATTATTAGTTCTGTTGATCATTGCTTGGTACATGAACTTGAAACTTGTAGTTGCGAGTGAGCAAGAAAGTGGTGATAATTCATAGTCGAGAATATCCGATGTATAATGACAGTGGTGATTCTGTAACCTTCATCATTCCTGATACCTGATACAGCAAGGTCAGAGGATCAGTTCAGTTATCATCTAGACGGACCATGAAGGCAAATCCTATATATGGGAACACAAACGACAAAGTATGAATCACCTATTTGTGACATGTAAGAGGTTCTTTGTTGGTCAAGAAAGGTATGACAATGTACTGTACATGGACCCGGTTATGAAGTCTGCCCTTGCAAGCCACATGGATGCCACTCAATATATTTTAATAACCTTGTATCACCTTGGGTGCATAGCCTTCCTCAAGATATGCAATATCTTCTGCAGTCAACTTTCCAGAGCTGGCAAATTTTACAGCCTCTACTGCTTGATCAATTCTCTCTTTGCTACTCAAACCAATAATTGGATTGACACTTTCCTTGCTAAGACACCATGCAATAGCCACAGTGGTCATGCTTACTCCCTTTTTCTTCGCGATCTCTTCAACACGATTGATGACGAGTTTATCAATTTCACTCTCCTTGCTACGGATCATGGCCTTGAGCATCCTGTCACTGTTTTCACGAGTTGTACTTCGGTCATTGAAAGGACGAGCTAGTGCTCCCCTAGCAATAGGACTCCACGGAATGAGCCCTACGCCAGCGTCTCTACAGTATGGGATCATCTCTCGTTCTAAAGGTAGTTGGTATAAGTATTTTCTAAACATATAGGAATGGAGGACATACCTTCTTCACGGTAGAGCAAATTGTAATAATTCTGCATGGAAATGAATTTGTGCCATCCATTTTTCTCTGCGATATTTTGTAGTGTTTGAAATTCCCACGCGGCCATCTGCCATATGTAAGTCTCCACTCTTAATCTTACAATGCATCATCTAACTTACACTGCTTGCACCAATATACCGAACTTTGCCACTTTCCACAACATCATTCAGGGCTTTCATGATCTCTTCCCTGGGAGTATCGCGATCGAGTCTATGGATCTGCAGGACATCGATATACGTGCCTAATCGAGCAACGCTCCTGTCCACAGCATCAAGAATATGCTTTCTACTCAAGCCAACCTGATTGACCATGTTCCCATCGTTTGTCGAAAGCACCGAGATATGTGGTTGTACTCCACCCTCAGCAACGCCGAAATAGCATTTGCTAAGAATAACAACCTTGCTTCGTGGAATTGAATATTGCTTCAATGCTTTTCCGATAATTTCTTCCGATCTTCCATTGGAGTACACATCTGCAGTATCCCATGTATTCAATCCGAGGTCGTATGCATGTTTCAGCAGTGGAAGAGCTTCATCCTCGTTAATCACCTTTTGATGTTAATAGAGTACTTAGCAACGGGACAATTAAAGGATAGCTACCCAGTCTTGCCATTCGGATGATCCAAAAGACATTGCACCAAAGATAACTTTGGATATCTTCAATCCCGATTTACCGAGTCTTGTGTATTCCATCTTAGGTTCATTGGGGGCCGACATGTTGGTTGTAAGACGGTACTTGAATCTATAGCTCGGAAGTTCTGTAAATGCTTTCAACCACGAATATGAAGAATATGATGGTTTGAAAGAGATATTTTGAGATGAAGAGAGAAGAGAAGTCCTTCATGTCCTTTATAATGACTCAATGCTTAGAAATCACCTACCTGTTTACCCCTCCCTGGACTTGCAGTTGAGGGACCGTTTGTCAATTCACGGTGGAGTTACCCCTCCTAGATCCTTTTTTAAATCCGAGATGAATGATGTCACGTAATATTAGCCCGTAATTATCCATAGATGACAAACCTCCTTTTTCTCTGTGCCGGTCGAAGCTTCCGCTGCTCTTACAGTTGAGGGCTCTCATCTGTCTGGTACAAAGTCACAATTAGAAAGGATGACATAATATACTAGGTAAGTAAGTATACAACTAGTCAAAGTTCTTGAGAAAGCTTCAATGCAATGATTACCAAGAAACTACTACCCTACCCACGCATAAGACCTCTTCATTCTCTGCAAAAAGAGCAACAAGAGCAGCCCACAGTCTCAACTTTATCTCTGTCGGAGTTTATACCCGGCTAATCCCGCTTCAGCTAAGATAAAGGCACCGGCTGATAAGCTTAGCTCCGATCCACCGATTATCTTATCTCCCTCTCCCATCCCACAATCAACCCACCGACCCCACCTTCCCGTAAATACGTGAGTTGCCTCGCTTTACCCTTAAGTAATTTATGTCTTGGCTTTCAACAAACTTTCATTCCTGCGCCTCTTTCATGGGTTTATTTGAAGAAGATTCCAATATTTCCAAGTACACCAAACGGTAGATCCATATACACCTCTCAAAATGTCTCTCACTGTGTTGACAGACTCGGACATCAAACACCTTCTTCAAGACCTCACTCTCAAAGATCTGGAAGCTTTCCAGGATCAAATGAGACAAGCTCTTCATGAGTACTCTACAGGAACCCAAGAGGATGATTGCTGCAGCTTGCATCAACCTAGAAGGACAGTTCTTGAGTCAAAACACAAACGAACAACACTCTTCATGCCCTCCACTGCGTCTGCAGGAATTGGAATGAAAGGTAGGCATTTTCTTACCCAAATAATGCCACTCGAAGCCTCACTAACATTCGCAGTTGTAACTCTTCCTCAACCAGGCTCATCTAATGAGACTTCAGATTCCGACTCTGTATCTACCTCTCAATCAATCAAAAATCCGACCACACCTCAGGGATCTCTCACACTCATGGATAAAACAGGACTACCATTCGGCTTTCTCAATGCATCAGAAACGACAGCCTTTCGCACAGCCCTAGCCTCCTCTCTCCTCATTACACCTCGTACCAAGGTTAAAACTATAACTGTTTTTGGTGCTGGAAAGCAGGCTTTTTGGCACACCCGTCTCGCTCTCATTCTTCGCGGCTCAACCATAAAGCAAATAAACATTATAACTCGCGCTTTCACAGATCGTGTTCGGGATTTAATGAAGGCATTTCTGGAAATACCTACTGCCACAAAAGAACGTGAAGGTTGGAGCAATACAAAATTTTCCGTTCTTAGCCCTGCCTATGGAGAATTTGCTCGACTCGAAAAAGAATACATACGAGCAGCGGATGTTATCTTCTGCACGACTTCCTCTACATCTCCTTTATTTCCTCATACTATCTTGACCAATACGGAAGGTCGCAAGCGGGGACGGCTCATTGTCGCTATTGGCAGTTATAAGCCTGACATGATTGAAATACCTTTGGAGGTTGTGGCGCAAGCAGTTAAAGTACATGGAAGTGGCCATCATTTCCATAGGCATGCAGAAGAAGGTGGAGTAATTGTAGTTGATACTATAGATGGATGCAAACAGGAAGCAGGCGAAATAATTCAAGGCAACGTCTCAGCAAAGAATTTGGTGGAATTAGGCGAATTGGTCATGCTGTCCAATGGGATTGATCCTCTTAATCATTCATCTGCTATTGACGATTCAGATGAATCCCCACGAAGCTCATCCGACTTTCACCATTTAAATCTAAACGATACTGGGAATGGCATTGCAACACCAACTCCCCATTCGCCACTCTCACCCTCCTCTCCACCTCTAGCCCGTAGCATGGCCAACATATTCCACACCGAACATTCCACCTCCCCTTCATCATCCCGCAGCCCCTCTCGCAAATCATCTTTCTCGTTTCGCAAACCCAGATCAGAATCCGCAAGTACAAATACTACTGGTTCAAGTGGAATGTTGGGAAAGGAAGTACAAACAGAAAAAAAAGATGCGATGAGTAGATGGTTGAGTAGTGGGAATGTCATTTATAAAAGTGTGGGATTGGGACTTATGGATTTGGTGGTAGGGGTGGAACTGGTTAGATTGGCGAGAGAAAGGGGGGTGGGTGTTTGTGTGGAGAGGTTTTGAGGAGATAGGATGGGTTTGATGTTTCTGGAAATGGGAATTAAAAAATTAATAGATTCAGGCGAGATAGCTTGCTGTAGCATTACCATAGATACCATGGGAGTTTTGGAAGTGGAAAATAATAAGCATTGGGATGTCATATAGGCGTATTGTATATCATCAATTGAAGAAAAGTTTCAAAAATGAAGAATTATTTCCTTCAACAACCTGAATATGTCTATAAATATATCTCCATTTTCCACCTCTTCCCACCATCCCTCCTCAAACCTGTTCCTCCCCTCAATCACTGAATATTCGCAGAGTACAAATACAATAAGTCAATCCCTCTCAATATATCATACATCATATATTATTATATACCCATCCATCTATCCATTAGATCCAATTGTAATCTTGTAAAAGTAAAAATTAAGATTTAAGATTTAAGATTCGCAAGCTCTATTATCAGATTTAAATTTCAGATTTAAACAAGATTTATTTTTATATTTAAACGCTTTGAAAATTCTCTTTTTAGGAGGGCAATGGTAGGGAGAGGAGAGGAGGGAGGAGAGGGAGGAGGGAGGAGAGGGAGGAGGGAGGAGGGGAGTTGTTAGATGTTTAGTAGCTGTTAATTTTTTAATTTTTTCTATAGGTAACCTTAGGTAACTTATTAGATAAAAAGGTAGACAAGACAAAGATATAATAATTTTCGATTCAACTCATCCATCCATCCATCTATCCATCCATCTATTAACCAAACGTCCAAACAAATCCTCACTTCTGGATGGTAACAGAAAACCCCCTACCTTCCTTCCTTTTCAAACTCCCTTTCCTGTCTTTGCCTATCCTTCCCTTGCCTTCCTTTGCATTCCCTTGCCTTGCTTTCATTCATCCATCATACAGTATATAACATTTACGTGTATCCAAGACCACACCCATGTATGCGTGCGTACGTACGTATGGTAGAGTAGAACCCTCAAATAGAGAGAGGGGTGATCGAATTACGCAGTACTAAGCTTCGCGCCCTCCTTTCCAAAAACTAGCATACCATGCGCACCTTTAACCAACTCCTTTGCTCCCTTGGACTCCGCAACTCCATCTGTACCTGCAACTTCCTCTTCTTCTTCCTCCTCCTCCTCATTACAGTTTCCTACACCTAAATCCCGGATCTTTCCACATGCGATATCGTACACTACACCATGAATCTTTAATCCTCTATCCCGAATCGCCTCTTCCACAACAACATTCCCCATCAGTACCTCTACTCCTTTCGCAACATTCAGCTCCGCCAGACGAACCGCTCGTCCCGAATCTTCTTTGATTGCTTTTAATTCTTTTTCGTGGATTTTGCTCAATGCCTTGATGGGTGCAAGCCAAGTATCCAAAACTCCACCAACCCTTGAACCTCCTAGAGCAGCAGCTGCACCACCGCAGCAAGTATGACCGCATAAAACGATATGCGCTACTTTTAAGTGCGCAACGGCGTATTCGATGACGGCGGAGGAATTGATATCGGTAGGCGAGACGATATTGGCGATGTTACGGTGCACGAAGACATCGCCAGGTTGGAGACCTAGAACGGTAGTTTCGGGGACACGGGAATCGGAGCAGCCGAGCCAGACTGTGGAGATGTTAGGTTTGTTGTTTGTTAGGGGGTGCGTGGAGAGTGGACTTCGCGAGAAGATGCTGAGGTGGACTTACGGATACTAGGACTTTGACCTTGGGCCATGGTAGGGAAGAACTTGGGGTTTTGATGGCTTTTGTAGCCTGCCCATGCGGCGTTGGAGCTCAAGGCATAATCGAAGGGAGTTTCTGGTGATTGTTAGTATGTACGTCGTGATATTCATGAGACGCCTCTCTCTGTGTAGATTTCCGACATGGTGAGAGGATATAAGGTGCTGGAAGAATCATGGAGGGGGAATTTACCAGAACTCATTATTATTCTTGAGTAATTTCTCTCTCTTCACTTCGCTTCCTTTCCTTTTCTTCACTTCACTTTCTTTCAATTTAATTTGATTTCTTCTCCCTTCTTTATTTCCAAGAAGACTTGGTGCGCGCTCTTTCTTTAGTAGTAATCTTCGTAATCGTTTCGTAATCGTCCAATATCGTAGTAATCCGACTGAATAGCAGTATCCTCTAGGATTCTCTTTGTGAATTGTGTTGCGTAGGTAGATAGGTATGTAAGTAGGTAGGTATGGAAGCAAAATATGGAGAGCAGAATAATATGAGTAATGTGTAGTGATTTATAACGGGGTTGGGTTGGTTTGGCGGGACTAGCCCGAGATTTAGCTTTTGGAGCAAAATGTTGAGGGTCCGAAATAAGGTAAATGGAGACCTTTTCAGCACAACCAGCAAGATCAAATCAGAAAAACTGGTAGAACAGTGGAAACACTGGAACTAGAAGAGAACTAGATCGGACTAAAGAAGAATAACCAGAACCCAGGCAGGGTTATGACCTGCACGATAAGAGGAGGTTATTTTTTGATCGATAAGAGTTGGCCAATTGGAGTCACTCAATTCGTGGGAAAATAGTTTGTGGAGAGATGATGATGATGATTTTTCTCTGTAACCGTAAATAGCGATTTTATTGTAATGGATGGATTGTAGGTAGATGGATTGTAGGTAGATGGATTGTAGGTAGATGGATTGTAGGTAGATGGATCGATAGCTGAATAATCTTGTATAAGAGAATAGAAGATAGGAGAATAGGAAGATAGATAAAGATGAATAAATAAATAAGCAAATCGGTCATCCATCTAATATAAACCAGTAAGCAACAGAAAACAGAACAAGACAACTTCATACATTACAATCCATATCGTCTGTATGATGATTCCCAAGATTTCTCCTGTCCCAGAGTGTCAATCAAACAATCACTTGTAACGCATCGGATCTGTCCGAGTGTAGTAGATAATCTCTTTTTTTCTATTTTGTACTCCTCCTGGCTTGCTCCAACCTATACATACGGAAACGAAAAGGAATACTCTCCGAACACAGCAATACTACCCATCTCCTTCTTCTCTCTCTCTTCCGTCCTCCATCTTCCATCTGTCACCTTCCATTCCATCTCGCACACATTTGTAACCATCATATCTATATCCCTCAAAATCCCATCCTTCTATATATTAAACCCCAGCATATGCCGTGTTCCCGAGACATTAAAATACCTTTTACCCGGTACATATATATTTGATCTCTGTACGGAGTATGCAGTGCACTACCCTACCCTACCCAACCATGTCTACATATATCTTCACATCTCGAACTTCGAAATATTCCCTGAGAGTATTTTCGATTCACATACCCATGAATTAAAGGGATCAATCTTATTCAATCCATTCATCAAATCCATCTGTCTATCTATCTGTCTATCTATATACAAAATTCAAGATCCATCTGCAAAATCCCGATAGCCCCGTCAGTCCGCCCGAGTGCCGTGGCTTGCCGTGGGTATCAACTCTTGGTTTTGTTTCCCCAAGCGCTCTCGGCCATCTCCAAGAAAACCTTAAGAATCAATTCGAGCTCTTTCATACCTTGGCTTCATGTTGGAGATAAAACAATTCTACTATATAAATGACCAATTCTAGGGGGAGTATATTAGTTGTGCTGATGCAGGATTGAGGAGAGTCTTCCAAGAAGTGTTTGAATATTGGATACCGTAATCATCCAACATATCATGGATTTCCAAGAGGCATGTCTCGAAATGTGGTACCGGACACGTCTGTGATTCTTGGCGCATCTCAAGAGGTTATCGTTTGAACAACTTCCTTTCCTTCTTGAATGCAGTACATGAACTTTACCTGAAAAGGATTCCAAGAATTGACTCAATCACAAACACTTCTCGCTTACAGGCTCACTCCCTGCCGGAGAAACGCAAAATTTTCCTTGGTAGGGGAAAAAGAAACCCCGAATGTAACACAAATATCAAGAAAAGATTACCAAGAGTTGCAAGGGCACGTATTGTTTGAACTAGATCAAAAGTCAGATAAATTATGGTACCATACAGCCTTTCATATTTTGATTTCTCAAGCTGCTTGCCTAGCTAAGTGTCCCTTGCCATGCCATAATATCATAAAAAAACGCCGTAAGTAAAAGTCACTACATGATCACATTTAGATCTTGATAGCGCTCTCAAGGGCCTTGCGCTTCTTCTCAGTACGGGCGTTAGCCTTAGCACCCATGATACCACCACCCCAGTGTCTGGTGGCGCTTTCATCATGTCCCTCCTTGATGGCTTGAACTAATTTTGACAACTCGGACTTGTCCTCGGAGCGGACCTCAGTAAGGGCGAGAACGGCAGCGGTCTTCTTGTGGACGACCGTACCGAGTCTGGCCTTACCCTTGATGATAGCGTAAGGGACACCCATCTTCTTGCACAAAGCTGGGAGGAAGATAACCAACTCAATTGGGTCAACATCGTTAGGGATGAGAACCAAAGAAGCCTTCTTGGCTTCGATCAAACCAACAACGTGGTTAAGACCGTACTTGACGGCGTATGGCTTCTTGCTAACATCCTCCTTCTTCTTTCCCTCCTTGATGGCGGTAGCCTCCTTCAAGAGACGTTCCTTCTTCTCGGCTTTGGATTCTGGGCGGTACTTGTTGAGGAGCTTAAGGGCTTGAGCAGCGCTGTTACGGTCGAGAACGTGTTGGAATTGAGCGATCGCAGGTGGGACCTTCAATCTCATGTTGAGAATCTTCTTTTGGCGTTGAAGACGGACATACTCGGGCCACTTCACCATACGGGAAAGATTTCTTCTGGGCTGGATGTCTTGACCGATACCGAAGTTACGGGTACGCTTCTCGATGAGAGGGTTCTTATTCTCATTAGCATTGGATAGTCGCAGAAAAAGGAATAGATTTCACGTACCTTGGCTGCCTTCTTTGATCCCGCACCAGCTTTGGACTGGGGGAATGGGGCTGGCGCCGCCTTCTTTCCGGACTTTGGAGGCTGTCATTGAGAAAAGTAGACATCAGCGAATGTTCACCAAGTGTCTTCTTTGAACTCTAAAGAGACTATACTGGTATTTCTACACAGATATAGCTCAAGCCAAATCAAAATCAAAAACCTCGAAAGGTAAATTGATTGAAAATTGCATCTCGACGTGCGATTACTCGTAGAGGTACGAGAGCTGATGGCGAGTCGTATTATTCCATTAAAAACAGAGTCAAAAACAATTCATTAGCTTACCATATTGATTGATGTCGAAGCGGCGAGGTTTGTCGTTTCGTGGTTGTCGTCGAGAGAGGAATAATATCAGTAGGAAGAGATTTTCGATTTTGAGAATTATCGAATGTGGGCGCTAGAGGATCAAAATCTTGGCACGCTAAGCAGTTTTGAACCTTATCACGTGAGAGATTGCAGTTTGTCAATTTAATAATTCCCCCGCGATGATGATTTGTGGATAGGAAGTTCTGGTGTTCTGCGAGATTATTTGTCTTCTACAACTATTTCCAAATATGGCACCAACACCTTGTGCTATTTGCAAGAGCGCCAGAGCTTTGATTATACGACCGAAGAATCATCAAAAATTATGTAAAGCCTGTTTTATCGCTATCTTTGAAGCAGAAATTCATCATACCATCACCTCGACATCACTCTTCTCACCAGGGGATCGAATAGCAATAGGAGCATCCGGAGGAAAGGATTCGACGGTGCTTGCCTCAGTTCTTAAAACTCTTAACGAAAGATATAATTATGGACTCGAGCTCGTTTTACTGAGTATCGACGAAGGAATAAAAGGTTACCGCGATGACTCTCTCGAAACAGTCAAGCGAAATGCGATCCAATACGAGATGCCCCTCAAAATTGTAGGATATGATGAATTATATGGATGGACCATGGATCAAGTAGTCGAAACTATAGGCAAGAAGGGAAATTGTACATATTGTGGTGTCTTCCGCAGACAAGCTTTGGATCGAGGGGCGAAAATGCTGGGTATCAAACATGTGGTTACTGGACATAATGCTGATGATGTCGCGGAGACTATTTTGATGAATCTGCTGCGCGGAGATTTACCTAGGTTGGCAAGAAGTACTAATATTGTTACTGGCGATGAGTCGAGCGATGTGCGCAGAAGCAAACCGCTGAAATATGCCTATGAGAAGGAGATTGTGTTGTATGCACATCATAAAAAGTTGGATTATTTCACTACCGAATGTCTATACAGTCCCGAGGCCTTCAGAGGTAGTGCGCGGAGTTTGATCAAGAATCTGGAGAGAGTGAGACCTAGTGCGATTCTGGATGTTGTGCGCAGTGGAGAAGACATGGCAAAATTAGTACCAGCAGAAGTTACCGGAATAAGTCACTGCAAGAGCCAAAAAGTTTCATTGGCTGCCGCAAATGACGAGGAAGAAGGAAACGGAGGCTGTGGAACCAATGGTCGATCAAGTGGGGGTGAAATGGCGGATATGGAAAAGAAACTTCAAGAAGACGAAGAAGCCTCAGGAAGGGAAATCGATGTAACATCAATCGCCTCAAATACCACCAACGGTCAACGTCACGATAGGATAGATAAATCCGAAGCCCGAAAAGGAGCCAAGAAGGATGGTCGTAAACTCACAAAACAAACACTGGGAAAGTGTAAGAAATGTGGATATATGTCCAGTCAAGAGATTTGTAAAGCATGTGTTTTACTAGAGGGGTTGAATAAGAATCGACCAAAGATGGAGATCGAGGTAGATGTAGAGGATGAAGAAGAGAGCTCCACGCTTAGAAGGAGAATGGAGGGGTTAGCTCTCTCTGCTGGATAGGTATATAAATCATAGAGAAATGCCAAAAGATACTAAGGAGCTCTTACCGTTTACATGATGAATAAATACTGTTCTGATGGGGTGAATGAAGTTCAAATGTAAAAGTAAAATATCACCTACCCAACACCCAATATTCAATACCTGCCAAAGTCTCTCGTCTAACCATAGGTGCCCCTTGATCTCTCAATCATAGTCAAACATTGAGAACACCCTATAGCTAGTTCTCATAACAATACCAGACAACATAACACTCCACTCCACTCCCACAACCCTCTTCCGTATAACCACCTCCATCACCGTACCAGCAACCATTCCCGTCCTACCTCCCATCTCATCTCATTCATTTCATCTCATCACCCCTCACACCACAAAAAATCTACACTCCCAGTCCCAGTCCCGAGCAACCCTCCTCCTCTTCCCGCTATACTTTTTCCACTCCTAACCCCCCAACCCCTCCCCCGGTAAAAACCTCTTCTGCAGTGCTTCATCCCCTAGATCTAAGTTCACATTATATGATGATGAGTGGATAAGAGAGTCTAAACCATTAATTATACTACCCGTGGACCAAAGCCCTTCCATCCAAAGAACACATGGGTAGCCACAGCAAATGTTGTCAGCTATGCACACTCAGCTAGACAATACACCTGTGGATACGATATAGTATTATACGAGTAGACTAATATTATACTACGTCATATATCTTCACAGTCTAAAAAGAAACCTATCGATCAATTCGCTAAACTTGATGCAATCCTGCGAATACTATCGAACTCACTGGCCAGGTAATCTGGAGTGCCCATCTTCTAACCTCGCTCGAGGATAACTCGAGTGCCTCATTACCAGATAGACCTTGAAATTTTATATGATGCTGCCTTCCGAAACTTGGTAGGCGCTTATCAAATTATATGACTTTGTGTTGCGAGCCTGCGTCGATCATTTTTCAGTATGTTGGAAGACAGCTGAATGAATTTTAGAAGAACGAAATGACATCAGGCATTGACGCCATGACTTGAGCGGCATGGGGATCAGGAGAGCGACCTCGTTTGCCTTCTGCGATCCATATGGCAAGGATAGACGGGATAATAGTAACGCTTCTCAGACTCGGGCCATCTTGTCGGAGACAGGTGGGAGCTCCAAATGTCGGTCCGTGTTATATCGTTCTGCTTCATGACAGTTCATGCAACATTTGGATTTGGTGAATCCGAAATTATTTTGCTAGTCAAGTTACTTTCAGGGTCACTACCCTTTGCTAGATCGTAATCCTGATCTTAGAATGGTTTGTGGTTCTTAATACAGCCTTACCTCAGATTATGGCGAATTCAATGCAGTGGCCTTCGAATTGGTGAGCTGTGTACTGGTATATAAACAGTGGTAGCTAACATCGCCAAGACAATTAGGAAGGGAGGTGAGTTGAATCGCGAGGAGCAACCCGTGATGATTTGAAGGAGATAAATGCTATATGTACTGGATTTTATTAAATGTAGGTGTTTGCCTAGAGCATCTACCCAGAGATATCTAGGAAACATTCTTGTCTCACGTTGCAAAACACCACCTGAATTGGACGTGACACCTCGACCTTTCCCTTACCTGTCGTTTTAACCAGTGAATTACTATCCTCCCAGTATCACTTTAACTCACCTCTCATCCCTTGCAATTATCTATACGGATACTAGAAGTGAGCCTTTTGCTCATCAGAGTATTGTTAGGGCTGTCGGTCTATATTTAGCAACGGCAGAAAGCATTCCTGCTGAATTAATGTGTAATGGTTTATAGCACTAATGTGAGAGCGACTGTACTCACTCGAGTTGCGTTCGTAAGGTGAAAAAAGGAACAAAGGGGAAAGATTGGTAATGTATGAGAAGGATTAGAAGAATTGTGTGTGGGGAAGAAGTATTGCAAGTAAAGGAAGAGTCGAGGTCGTTTTAAAAGAATGAAGTCAAGCAACCTCGTTTTCGTTCCCTCCCTGTGCCTTTGAACTGCTGGAATCGATTAAGCACAAAGCTTCGGTACATTTAAGCAAGAGGGCCAATGGTCATTTTCTGCGTCTTGGTAAGTCTTCATCAATCTCCTGTTCCCTCAGCAAACATCCTATTCATTAAAACGTTGTTGCCGCAATCTCTCTCCAACATAGAAAATACCGTAGCCTAAGATAATCGCGAGATCTGTTCCTTTCCTTTTGTTGTGCGGCATGCATTTCAAGGAATTCCCCCGTCTCTTCACGGCCTATCCTTCTCAATCCTTCGTAATTCCCTAGTCTCTCTTGCTTTGACTCTTCTCGGTTTGTGGAATCAATTTTCAGCCTCGTGAGCACAGCAATTTCATACGTTCCTATGTGCTTTGACAAGTCTACTGACATTCCAGGTTCGAAATCTGGTGAGTTCAAATGGTACACCAATGAAGCGAGCTAATCCTTCACTTAAGCTACTTCCCTCCGACAGGTCTCCCAAGTAGCCAGATTTATCCAGCTCGAGCCCTCCCTTATTCTACAAGCGAGCAATGCTTTCGCATGTGTCCTTGGCTTTTTCAGAGCTTTCGCTTCAATGTTTGACAACGGTTTAGGAGCATCAGGTCTTGAAACAGAAGCGAAACAGAACTTGTGTATAACTATTAACTCGATCAGAATTTTGCTGAGGAGCTTACTGAGCATTTACATTGACATGATTTCGGATTTTGCTATGGGCCGGTATTACGCTCAACTGCCTTAGTCAGAGACGAACGCCGTTCTGTATGTTATATCTCTAAACTTTTCATGAAGATAGCCAGACCGACATTCGCAAAGATATGTAGTAACTCAATCAAGTTTCTTCCCTATTTAAATGGTACCTTGAAGGTCATACGTAACACTGAACAACATACCACTTCCCCAATAATGATTTTAGCACGCCCTTGGAAAAGCTTTCATCCTCGATGCTTCTTGAAGGCTTCTTGGACCGACATTCCCTGCTTAACTTCTTCCTTCACACGGTCATCTGCTGCAACAAGACCTGGCAGCATAGAGATTACATCGGCTATCTTTCCTTGCGGGATGATGACAACACCATTCTTGGGATCACAGAATGCTATATCTCCAGGACAGACATCTGTCCCGTCGATTTTTAATGCTACCTGAATTGCGTGAGGCTTAGATTCGCCACCAGCACCAACAATTGATGTGCCACGAGACCATATCTACAAAAATCATCAGTGAAGTTCGAGAATAAGGGTTAATCTTAGCGAATGCTACAGGGGTACATGTGGGTTCAACAAGCGGTCTTTGCATGTGAGAGAATGGACAGAAAGCTTACGGGAATTCCAGTAGCTTGAAGTTCATCAAGATCTCTGACCCTTCCACTAACAATCACACCTTTAGCGCCAAGAACTTGGGCCCTCAATGCCATTATTCCGCCTAGTACGGCATTTTTTTGCCCTTCAGGCTGAGTTATAACCACTATCGAGTCAGGGACGGTGAGATCAACCCAATGCTTATCAGAGGGAATGTTTGCTGCTGGATAATTGGAGAGATCTGTGCTATTCTTTGGGGCAAAAACAACAGTTGAAACTGGAGCAACAGTAATTTTATCAGGAGATGCCGATGTCGAAGCAAATGCAGGTCTCAGGTCGGGAAGGAAGCCGGCACCAGGTACTTTGAGCTTGAGAAGAGCATCTGCAATATCACATGCAGTGTATTGTTCTTGAAGGACTTCAAATTGCTTTTTGAGGGGCATCGCTTGATCCGAGGTGGACATTGCTCGGACTGAGAATTTGGTGGTTTGAAAGGAAACTTTCAAATATAAAATAGGGGCAGCAAATAATTTTGTCTTGAAAATATTTCTGTAAATAGACATGAGATTTAGGTAGGCATTGTTTACAATAATTGATTGATTCAAAAATAACATTTTATTTGATATAGGTAGGTATATGTTGTATATCTTGTATATCTTGTTGTTCATACCTCGGCCTTCAGTTAGGATTCTCCTCTTGTCCGCTGTCTAGAGATATTCCGGATGCCGGTCTCTGATACCTACTATTTACTACTTGCTCTTGCTACTTGCCTATTGTTATACCTGTGATCAAGACTAACAAGTCAATGCAAATGAACTTTCTCGTCTACAGTACTCAGTAGTCAGTAGTCAGCACCGTACAAAGCAAACACCAGGCAAAGGAGCAAGGAAGCAAAGAAGCAAAGAAGCAAAGAAGCAAAGAAGCAAAGATCCCCAGACACCTAACCCATCCAAACGGAATGACAACTTGATACCCATGCAACCCGTTCCTGTGGTTCGGAAAGTAGTGTCCCCTAGTACGTCTCCATTTATTTGTTAAATTTGTCCAAAAAATCTTTCGATTGTGCACTGACATCTGGTAAATCGGAAGCACAAAGTTCAACAGGTCTCAGATCTGACTCTTGATCTAGACAAGACAGAAGACTCACAGATGATAACCAAATAACGAGTAAGACTTACTTACAATTAAGAAGTTATCTAGAAGGATCAACGAATATCGTCAACTATCTATATACACATATCATGCGTAACTTGATGAACTTGATGAACTTGATGCATCTTTGAAGAGTTTGGTTGATTGATTGATTCAAATTTTGTAAAGAGAGCCAAGAAAGTTTTAAAATATTGAAATCAATTATATATTTATTTTATTAATTAATATTTTTAATCAAAATGTCTTTAACCAAAATGCCTTTAATCAAATAAAAACCTGAGGTATAAATAAGAATTATAATAAACTAAAAAGATTATACAATAAATATAAATAAAAGAATTTATTTCGGATATTGTAACTCTTCTTATTGGATAATTTATTATAAAATATTATATAAATCTTGTAGAAAGTTACGGGCTAAAGAAATCTATTTTCGAGCGTTTTGATACAGAAATCGTTGCCGGCCGCGGTACTATGGTTCTACGTTCTGGTGTTCTATGTTCTGCTACTTTGACGCACATGAATGAAATATCGCTAAATTTAATTTTAAATCTTTAAGACTTCAACACAAAAGTACAGGGCACGAAAACACCAATAGAAATTCAAGTTCCAGTCTCTCTCTTTCTCTCCTTTCCCCTTTTCTGTTCGCTATATCTGAATGAAGTAGTAGCAGTAACGAAAGAAACAAAGAAAAGACATCATTCTCGAGAGATTCCTCTATTCATCATGTCTCCAGCTGCTTCCCATCCTATCGCGAAAACCTCATTCGAGGATCGAGCCTCGAAAACAAAGCACCCTTTAACCGCCTACCTACTCCGTCTCATGACCCTCAAACAATCTAATCTATGCGTCAGCGCCGATGTCTCTACAGCCGGTGAACTTCTCCGATTAGCAAATGCCGTCGGTCCATCCATCGTCGTGCTAAAGACGCATTATGATCTCATCAACAACTGGGACTACAGCCCAACCACGGGCACGGGAGCGCGCCTCAACCGTCTCGCGCGTCGTCATGGATTCCTCATATTCGAAGATCGGAAATTCGGTGACATTGGAAATACCGTGCAATTACAATATACGGAAGGCACTGCCAAGATCATCGAGTGGTCGCATATCACCAATGTTAACATGATACCTGGGAAAGCCAGCGTGGATTCCTTGGCCGAAGCAGCGGCAAGATGGAGAGAACGCAAACGTTATGAAGTCAAGACGAATATATCAGTTGGGACTCCGCGACCCGAAAGCATTGAAGGCGACGAAGATCAAATCACCACTCCTATAAGTCTTAATAACACTTGCCATGAAATTCCAGATGGTTCTCATGGATTAGAAGCACACAATGAGGCGAATATTGGACGAAAAGCTAGTATCGTTTCTATTACCACCGTGTCGCAACATTTCGAACCGGCCGATTCGCCACGCTCGCGCATTGATTTCGATATTGAAGAAGAAGCATATCCTGGAATTGATGAAGCGCCATTGGAAAGAGGTCTTTTGATATTAGCACAAATGAGTAGCGCGGGAAATTTCATGACCAGAGATTATACCAATGCGTGTGTAGAGAGTGCGAGGGAGCATAAACAATATGTCATGGGATTTATTTCGCAAGAAACATTAAATACAGATGCGGATGATGATTTTATTAGCATGACTCCAGGATGTCAATTACCGCCTGAGAATGATGAGGAAGCAGAGTTAGAGGGTGATGGAAAGGGACAACAGTATAATACTCCTGGAAAGTTGGTAGGTTTAGGTTGTGATATTGTTATTGTAGGAAGAGGTATCATTCGTGCGGGAGATCCAGAGTGGGAAGCAGAGAGATACAGGAGGAAGGCCTGGGAAGCATACCAGGAGAGAATTAAAGCTTAGGGAAGAGGGGGAAGAAAAGCGCCATGCGAAAGAAAGATGGAAGAAAGAAAGAAATGCTAGCTAAGGAAATAATCCGGTTAAAGGAAGCACAATGACAGACAACCTGTCAACCGTGTTACAAGAAGCATATTGGTAGCAAGAAATGATTAAGAGAATTGGAAATTGCAATACCATATATAGCTTATTTTCTTAACTCGAGAGCTCCAAGTTAGATACCCGTTACAATGTGTTATTGTTATTGTATTTGTTATTCTGTTATTTTAGTTTTTTAGTTTTTTAGTTTTTTTTGGGTTTCCTTCTTAATGCATACGAATTAGTATGTATCATGTATCATGTATCATGTATCTTATATTCTGTATTCTGTATCTTCAACTATAGCTGGTTATTTATATCTACGAAAAATATTATTTGTTAACTATAACTTATTCTCCTTGATTCTTTATTAGATATTACTTTCCTGACTTATCGTTCTTAAACTCTCCAAACTCTCCAAACTCTCCAAACTCTCCAAACTCTCCAAACTCTTCAAACCCCCTCTCAATAACTAATCAACAAATACAAAACACAATATACAGAATTCCTTTATATTTTTCCCGAGATCTAAAAGCTACTTTTAGAAGATATAATATACATATCTATTCATTAAATCTGTAATCTATAAGATTAAGGAGGGAGAGAAGGAGGGAGATATTTATATAATATTAATATTAGTATTTAGATATTAAAACTTGAGATTTAAAATTTGAAATATATATAAAATAATATAATATAATATAACATACCTTTAAAGATATTATATTAAAAGTATTTATTATTTAAAGAATGAAAAAGAGTTTAATATAAATATAAATATAAATATAAATATAGATTAAGATTAGGATCTTGATTTGAAGTTGAGGAAGATTGTATAAAGTTTTTGAAAAAGAAGAGGTGTATATATATATATATTGATATAATAAATTAATTAGATATAAATAAGATAAGTGAGGTAAGTAAGGTGAGTGAGGTGATTATATATATATATAAATTAATAAAATAAAACAAAATAATAAGAAAATGAGATTTATATCTATAATACAATATATATATATATTTATTTATATCTGATTAGTTTTATAAATTTACAATAATTAAATCAAATTATAAGCTCAAGATAATTATATTCAGAGTTCCGAGTATTGAATAATATCTAAATAAATATTCTCAATCAATTTATTTATTATCTATTATCTACTCCTATAGATCTATTCTATATAAAATATATCCATTTCCATTTCTATTTCCATCTCCAAACAAAAATCTGGAATCAATATACCGAGGATAACTTTCGAAAGGTATCTCCCTTCCTGAAAATATAATACAATATACCCCCACACGCCTACAAAGTCCTAAATAACAACACCACCATTCCCAATCCCATTCTCACCTCCACTTCCACCCGCCACTCTCCTCCCCCTAGCCTCCTTATCCGCCTCCAACCTCCTCATCCTCACACCTCTCCCCCTCCCACAACACCCCAACGCCAACGGAAGAGGCATCACCACCGCCGCCAAAACCGCCTGAAAAACAAGCGCATTATACATATTTCCAGGCGGCCTCGTACTCCCATCATCCAGCGATCCATCTCCCACACCCTTCGCCCTAAGCTTATCACTAACAATAATAAAGACACCACCAAGTAACTGACCACCGGACCAACAAATCGTGCTAGTGACTTCAGGTGATACAGGATGAGTGATTTCGATGAGGTATTCGAGGGCGACGGGGACGAGACTGAAGGATGCAGCGCCGAGGATCGAGAGGATGGCGTAGATTGCTGCGAGATTTCGGGTTTGTGGCGCCCAGGTGAAGGCGAGGTAGCAGATGCTTAGAATGGGGATTTGGATTTTGATGGCGAGGAGGTAGGTTTTGGTTTTGTCGATTAGGGGGGAGGTGATTGCTGCGGCGACGAGACCGACGACTATTAGAAGGGCTCCGGCTATACCGGCGTTGGTTTCGGAGAAGGAATAGGGGGAGAGCATTTGGTTTATGAGGGATGAGAGGGAGTTGAAGAGGCCGACGAAGAACCAGAAGGGGAACATTATCATGTAGAATTCGGGGGATCGAAGGAGGAAGTTAAGCGAAGGACCTAGTGCATGTTTTGGTTCTTCTGATGATGCAGAAGAGGGAGTAGGTGGTTCTTTGGGGATGAAGAAAGATGGAATGGTGGCTATTGATGACTGTGATACTATTAACATTATGAGGGTTAGAGAGATTTTTGCGACTTACAATAATTGCAATGTAAAGAACCATATTTGGTATACTCCCAGCATTTGCAGCCCAAAAGGGATCAATTAATTGCGCCAATGCACCACCAAAAGGATTAGCCAAACTCATAACCGCAGTTGCAGCCACTCTGCCCTGATTCGTAAACCACAAATCCGAGTATCTAGTAGGTGCTGCCAGTACAAAAGGCTGAGCAACACCCGTTAAAATTTGTCCAAACATTACACCTCCAAAATTGCCATGTGGACCAGATCTCGTTGCACCATATCGTATCCAATTTCCAAGTAACAAAAGTACGGAGGCAATAAGGATAGCAGGTTTCGGTCCTCCGTGATGTAAGACGTAGATAACAAGCGGACTTGCAAGCACAAATGCGAATAGGAAACCGGTGCTAAGCCAATTTATCGCTGATTCGGATACATTGTAGTATTGCGAGACGGTCGTCGAACTTGCGGAGAAGGTTAACCACTGGATGAGGATGAGTTAGCACTTTCAACGGTTATACGATACATAACCATAATATGACCCCTCTCAGAACTTCCTATACATCAAAATGAAATTCCGTCGCAAAACTTACATCCCAACTAACAATAATGTTCAAAAGAACCAATTGTATCAAACCAAACCATCTCCTCTTATAAACCCTAAAATGACCTGTATCCAAACTCGCAGTATCGCGATCCGTACTCCCTCTGCCTCTCCCTCTTTCCAACCCCTCATCAGCAGCCCCACCCGTTCTACGCGCTGCATTCCCAGCATTCCCACCCCTCCTAATACCCCCCTCTTCCTCATCTGGTAATAAATCATCCCCGCTATTCAATTCCATCAAATCCAAATCATCCAGATCTTCGATTTCTCCTTCTACCACTCCCCCATGATTACCATCCTCCTGTGATTTCGATATTTCTGCATTCGTCATATCGGCCTGCGTATGTGTACATGTATGCGTATTTCCATTGGCTCCCTCCCCTGTCTTATGTTTATGTTTTTGTTTTTGTTTCTGCTTCCCTCTTGGATCTCTCACAGCTGTCCAACCTTTCGGCATATCGAGATGACGATGCGCTTCTTTTTCAAGAATTGTATCGTTATTTTTCTCCTCACTCCCACTTCCAATTCCAATTCCAACAATTCCAGAACTGTCGTTATCCTCTTGATTTTCCGCTCCCGGCGCTCCGTCGTCCTTTGACAATTTTCCCAAATCCTCTATACAATGCACCTCGATATTCTTCTCCCCACAATCCTCTTTATTTCTTTTATATCCAATCTCTCGATCTTTTTCCCCAACACTCTGATTTTTCGTATCCTTATTCTCCTCTATATCTTCCTTTTCCACAACTTTTTCTATCCCATTTAATCGATTCAATTCCTTCGAATGCGAAAGTGTCGAAAGTGTCGAAACCTCCATTTTCCTTTCCTTCCCCTAGCTGACGCAACACGATAAGCTTGGCGGGGCCACTAATCACTTCGGTTATCTAACTCGATGCTTTTTTACTTTGAGTTTGATTGTGTGTGGGGAGGAAGCACCGGTAGGGACGGGAGTGAGAATCTTCGGGAGCGAGAATCTTCAAGAGAAGAGGGATGCCGGTCAATAAGAATGAGAATGAGAATGTTCCTTGACATGAAGTGACAAGTATCTCGTGAAACACAGTTCACGTTGAACAAAGATTTATCTTTGCTTATCACACAAACTGGCTAAACAAGACATACATCCCTCACCCCTCATAAGCACTCCTCATCCTTTATTAGTATATCATCAATACCTAGGTATTATTTTCATTTACTATTGGTTAAATCTAACAGGGAAGTATTATTTTCATCCCTTCTCGAGTCATTCTGAAAGGACCAAGAGATAGGTCTCGTGGTATGTACGGGAAGAAGGGATCCTGATTGGAAAAGGTAAACGGATAAAAGCTGTAAAGTTGTTATTATCCAAAATCATATAAAGCCCCGAAGTATGAAAAAGATACCCGGTGATAGGTAGATGTTATAGGATGCCAAGATATCTAAGTATCCCGACTCCATCATCAATGTATTTTGCTTGTGATTGTACTTTGCATCAACTGAATATCCGAGTTGATAAGAAACCAAGTCTTGAATATGATTTGTTACAAAGACATATGCACAACGTTTCGTGGATAAAAAGCGCCAATGATAGATAGAGAGAACCAAAGTCATTTTTCTATATCGATTCCTTTCTATACTACATGCAGTGCGCTCATGGAAAAAAGGAAGATCTGATCTGTATGCAATGCAGTGCTCAAAAAAGGATTTTGGTTTCATATTTGTACAATACTACCATCCTCCAACATTTCCTCTCAACCCTCTCCATTCATCTAAAAAGTTCTTGTCCAGTTGAGTGCGTAATTCCGTGATATGGTAAGCTCTAATAGTTTACTTGAGGACGTTCCAGAGCTTGGGAGCAGCACAGGCGGTAGCGCAGTGTGCGAGATGGAAGACTAGTTATATTTATCAGTATCCAAATGATAGTGTGGGACGTAGGGTACATACACTCTTCAACACAGTCCTCACCAGGGACTTGTTCCTTACCACCTGTAACTCGCTCAACACACTCATCATAGTGGTGCTTAGAAGGAGCACAAGCTGTTGATTCCTTGCATTCTGCAGGCTATTAGCCTCTATCCTCATAACAAAGTACTTGTAGACCTGAAGCAGCTTTAGGAAATCCCAAAGGTTCCTGCATAGTGATTTCACAGCTCTGCTTAAAATTTATGCCAGTGTAAAAGGTAGTAACTTACCCTCCTCAAGCTTATCTTTTGGATCAACCATCTCCTCCTCATCTTCTTCTTCCTCTTCTTCTTCCTCCTCCGCCTCGGGCTCCTCATCCTTTGGTTCTTCTTCCTCAGCGGCCTTAGCTGCCCTCTTGTCTGGAGTGGGTCCGGATGGATCCTAAAAGTAGACTCACGTTAGCACATATGGAATCAAGTTTGTATGGTGTTTTTCGAGCATCCTCCATGCAGCCAAATGTATCCCGAGCCCCCGCACACATCCAGAAAGTATCTCATGCCCCTCCAATCTTATCTACCCTCAGTCTCCCTCCACTCCCAAACCCGCATCTAACTCAAACCCAACACAAAGGCAAAAGCAAAAGCAAACGTACCGCTGCCTCTCCCTCTCCTTCTTCATGCTTCTGTGCTGGAGTCTTCGTGGTACTCGACCCTCCAGAAACCGCCTCAGCTTCAGCCTCGCTCCATGGTTTAGCAGCCGATACAAGATCGCTCCAGGTGTCGAAGAAACCCATCTTGACAATCGATTTCAGGGGTTTGAACCAATTGTATAATGTTGAGTGTGTTTGTCTTGGTGGTAGAATGCTATCTAATATGGTCAAAATCCAGCGTGTCGGATGAGAAATGATCCTCGCCAAAATGGAGGCCTCAGTTGCAATTGGTCAAATTTGATTGGTCTATGAATTTTGGTTCCTGGTTTTTCCGACATCAATTCGAAATTTATCATCGGTGCAAAAATTATTGCCGTTTATTGTAAGATTATGTTTACAGAGCACATTTCACAGAATGTATAATAATTATTAGTTGATATTGTTTTAAATTTCTCATTCATTTCTCATGGTATAACAGTTATTTTGGACAATTTTTGACATCAATTCCATCTTGAAGCAATTTATCACCAACCTCTCGAACGCCGTTGCAGTGCTGCTTTATACCCCATTTCTCATCATGGACCATGCCAAGTCTTAGATGTAAATTTGTGATAGAAGAACGCCTTTGCCCTCCATAAGTCCCGCGAACCTTCCAGCATTCATTCATTCATGACTTCGTAATACCCGATGTAACAAAACATTTGTGACACAGCATGCTGTAAATGTTGCTTACCCCGTCTCATTGCCGCTCAGCCTGCTCTCGTAATCGCTGATCCAGGTCCACCGAGACGGCTTGTGCTTGTGCTTCTTCATAATCTGGAGGGGGCTCAGCTGGCGCGGTGAAGGTTTCGGCCCGTGGTGAACTCCTGGTTGTGCTTGCTACCCCGCTATCTTGAGTAACAATAGGTGCTTCATCTGTAACCTCCCTCGCAGGTTCATAAGCAGGCAATTGCTCTAAATCCATGTTCGCCAAATCAACACCACTAGTTCCCCTTCCCCCATGTTCCCGTGCGACACTATACGCTTGGTATAGACGCTCTTTAATTTGTTCTAGGCAAGAATGAAAATCAAATGCCCCGCCTTCTCTGAATGTCATCTTGAGCTCGACCGAAGGACAATCCGGGGGGATTCCACCTCCCGGAACTGGCTTGCAGAGGGCAGTCCAGTAATTGGCGCCGAAGAACGGCGCACGAACGTAGCTATCTTGTAGGTTTAAAATGGGTGAAGAAAATGATTGAAGCTCGGGAGTAGGTGAACTTGGAAGATAAACTATCTTGAGTTCAAGTTAGTAAATAGTTAAAAGAGTGAGAGAAAAGATGCACCTACTCTTTGATTGCTAATATATACGATTCCAGCATCGCTTTTAGCTGAATATGGCTCCGCGCCCGCAGAAGTAGCCGTCGTAGAAATTTGTAAACTCGTTCGAGGAGGTGAGGCATAGAGGATTCGTTCATTGGGAAGTTTGACGAATCCGGCGTCATTAGAGGTCATTACCCAACTTTTTTCGCGAGTAGATTTTAGCATTGCTTCTTGTGCCATTTGCAAGGCATAAAGATGCTGTTCTTGGTGAAAGGCATACATGATGAAGGAACTGTAGGTTAAAAAAACAAGGACGAAGAGGAGAAAGAATTGAGAGTAAAGAATGGGGAGAAGGGGAAGTAGAAATTGAAAGCCATGAAATACTACACTACAGAAACCACAAGGGACGACTATTTACTCACTTGATTGACATTATGAACTGCCTACCGGAAGTGTTTCTGTATCCGCTAAGGTATGATAGGGTCTTTCGAAAGGTGTGGGTCGGAAAGTAATAGAGGTGTAAATGCAACCGGTAGGTAGTTTAACTGGTAGTTATTGTGGGAGAAGCAGGGGAAAGAGAGATCGGTATGTGAATGGATAGAAGTGCTACAAGCGTGAGACCACACTCGCAGTAATCGCCACGGAACGGTAAGAGGAGTGGGAATATGGACTTGAACCCTTCCACACTTTTTCCTAGAACGTCGAAGCTAGGTTCTGACAGCGGGGGCCGATACAGTGATTGTATGGACGAGAGGATTGGGTCTCCAGTTCACTTAGTGAAATGATTGGTGGAAGAGAGTATGAAATAGTCTCGCTTGAAGATTTTTGGGAATTTTTGGGGATTTTTGGGTGGATGAGGAAATGGATGATCTGGCTGGCTGGCTGGCTGGCGTACGGAGTAAGCTCTGTTTGTTTGTTTGTTTGTTTGTTTGTTTGTTTGTTTGTTTGTTGTTTTTTCCCTTGGAGCTGGGGGTTTTTGGGTAATACAGTAATGGTATGGTATTATTATGGTAAGGATTGGAGCGTATCAGTAAGGGTTCCTTCCAGGGCTGACTGGTTGGTTGTGTTGTTCTTCTATGGATATGATGGATTTGTCGCAGATAAAGTTCTAGAATCATTCCTAGTCATCGTTCGTTCTTCATTTTCTAGAAGTTCATAGGTTGATGTGGGTGAATACGAGATTTGACTTGGTGGTTTTTAGGTTTTGGTCGGTAGTGCCCGCTACATTGAGTTTCTGATGCCCTTACCCAAGGTAAGGTTATTAATAATAATAATATTATCGCAGCAGCCAGTAGGAATTTTGAAACCAATCGTCTAACTACTAATAGAGATCTTATCGATAACTTCATTGTTTCAAAGTATCACAATTGCTCCAATTTGTTTCAAGGTCAGAGTCACGATTCATTTCGATATTCAATTAGCTACCAAGTCACGATTCATTTCAATGTTTAATGTTCCATGTAGGCAGCCATAGGATCAAGGTTACAGAGGCGCTTTTATTAATATGGTCTGATTCAATGCCAACCCCACGAATCTTGCAGGATTATAATATATTATACCGTGATTATTCCAATCAATTTGCGTGTCCCTTGTGCATTTGAATCCCTCAATCCCTCAGTCACTCAATCCCTCACTCTCACTCTCACTCCCTCACTCCCTCACTCCCTCACTCCCTCCTCCTCACTCCCTCACCCCTCACCCCTCACCCCTCAATACACTCCCCACCCAATCTTCAAACACAATTGATCCAAACTCTTTCTCTCATCTCTCCACTCCTCTCCTCTCTCCTCTCAACAAATGCAATCACCCTCGCATCGCATCACAATCTACATAAGCACATCACCATCAGCATAAGCACATAATCTTGCAACACAAACCAGTCGGGTATAAGCTTTCCCTTCCATCCCATATTTTCACATAATACCATGTCCTACTAGGCATGTCATAGCACTTCAAGGTACAGTACTTGTGTACTTGTACCTACGTACTCATCATGCAAGACCTGCATACACACTCGGTACAGAATCCGCCAACTATCTACCACCAACCAAACCCATACATATTGAGTAGTCTAAATCAACATACTAAGAGGATGAGGTATAGCTAAGTATGGAAAGTCTCCACGGTGGGAACGCCTTATTTGGATGTTTGGATGAAAATGAAATACGAGGAAAGGTTTAGCTGAGCTTTCGTTGGCCAAAGGAGTGGGGAATTATCCTTATACAGTTTGACCTCGATTTCGTTTTAGGAACGGATTCACAGGAATCGACTCTGAAGGATAAAAGAATGATGTCGACAACCCTTTTCTCTTGATGCACACAAAGCGTCTTCAGGGGTGGCAGCATCAACAGTCACTGTTCTTCCTAAAGGAGAAGCACATTGCAGGCACTGCCTCATCTATGTGGAGTTCAACATACATTTCGACTCCGGAGAATGAGACACCGGTAGTGATACCTACAACACTTCCTTTCTCAACGACGCAAAGGATATGGGGAGCCTTTTAATGTGCAATTCATTACGAAGAATAAAATATAACCTATTGGGCCGGCTCTCAATGTTCAAGTCTCTTTATGAATAATGAACGGATAGTATCGGCAGTCACATTTCTTCCTAAGAAAGCATATAGGAACGTCTCATCGTATGGATTTCAATATCCAATTCTATTTCCAACATGAAATCCTCACAATAAAGCCTACCATTTCCCTACGGAAGAGCATACCTTAACCACCTATATATCATTCATAAGATTTCAATACTCAATCTTCCAGTCCACAGTCCTATGTGGAGAACCAAAACCCGGATACCCAAGAAAATATCAATCAACCTCCGCCAAGTATATCCATTCATAACCATTTTCCCTCACCTATCCAGAGTTTTATCATTCCTCAATACAACGGAAAAATTCGAATGCCCGATTCTATACCTTCATATCATATTATATAATTCCCACTACCTCCAATATCCAAATTATACGAAGAATTATGAGAACTCAATCCGACTCCACCCAAAAGAACAAAAATAATATGTACATAATACCCAATACTCAACATTCAAAAGACGTCAAACAAATACTCTCTTCCCCTTCCGAGCTTTCTACTTTCTCGCCGAAAATCTGCCCCGAATTTCCGTCCTACAGAACGTATTTTCTATTAAAGTAAGATTGATTTTATCTTATATATATCTTATATCTATATGTCCATCTACACCTATATCACTCAAACTATCAAATCATCAAAACCCTCCATCTAATATTCACTCTCTAAAACAAAATATTTAATACTTTTAAAAATAAAAATAAAAATAAATAAATATAAATATTTATTTGATTTTAATAAATAATAATAATAATAATAATAATAATAATAATAATAATAATAATAATAATAATAATAATAATAATAATAATAATAATAATAATAATAATAATAATAATAATAATAATAATAATAATAATAATAATAATAATAATAATAATAATAATAATAATAAATATTAAATAAATAATTTTTTTTTTTTAATTAATTAATTCATTATTTTTATATAGTTGATTGATTATCCTTAGAAGATTGAGATGGAGATATTAGATTGTCTACTTAATTTAGCTACAATGAGTAAGTAGGGTTCGAAGAAAAGATATGTCAAAGGACAATCTATTGTTTGAAGTAGTGTACAACAATCAAAAGTCGATTCAGCCATGGTAATAATCAAAGAGTCCCCAAGGTGGTTTCACAAAAGATCCATTCACATTCATTTCCAATGAAAGGTAAATATTATTTAATGATTTAAATTTTGTGCTCCTATTTAAAGCTGTATTACATTGAAAACACCGGCTTTTCCGGTGTAGAAAAGCAGACCGCAGATCTAACCACAATAGAAAACCCAGTAAAACACCCAATTACCATAATGTGATGAAGATCACACTAGGAGTGTTATCATATGCAGATTAAAGGAAATTCGTAAAGAAAAAAAAACATTTAGTCAACCTCCTCGATCTCAGCATCTTGAGCCGACTCTCCACCAGCACCGCCAGCACCAGAGGTAGCCTTCTTGATGGCAGCCTCAAGGTCAGCCTCTTGTTGTGCGTATTCCTCCTTGGTAGCTTGTTGGTTCTCATCAACCCAAGCGACGATTTTGTCAACGGTAGCTTGCAACTCAGACTTGGCAGCTGGGTCTGGGATGGATTTTGAGAGCTCGTGGTCAGCTTCGGACAAAGAGCTTCTGATTTGGTATGCCTTGCCCTCGAGAGCGTTCTTGGCAGCGACACGTTCAGCCTCGGCCTCATCCTCAGCCTTGTACTTCTCGGCCTCAGCCAACATACGCTCGATATCCTCCTTGGACAAGCGACCCTTGTCGTTGGTGATGACAATCTTGTTGGACTTTCCGGTTCCCTTCTCGAGAGCAGAGACGTTCATGATTCCGTTGGCATCAAGATCGAAGGTAACCTCAATTTGAGGAACACCACGTGGTGCAGGTGGGATACCAGTGAGCTCGAATTTACCTAAGAGGTTGTTGTCCTTGGTGCGTTGACGTTCACCCTCAAAGACTTGGATGAGGACACCAGGTTGGTTGTCGGAGAAGGTAGAGAAGACCTCTGACTTCTTCGTTGGGATGGTGGTGTTTCTTGGAATGAGCTTCGTCATTTGTCCACCAGCAGTCTCAATACCGAGAGACAATGGCGCGACATCGAGAAGGAGGATCTCGTTGGTAGACTTGGAGGAGGTGTCACCAGAGAGAATGGCAGCTTGGACGGCAGCACCGTATGCAACAGCCTCATCAGGGTTGATGGACTTGTTTGGCTCCTTACCGTTGAAGTAATCGGTGATGAGCTTTTGGATACGTGGGATACGGGTAGAACCACCGACGAGGACGATCTCGTGGACTCTGGATTTGTCGATCTTGGCATCAGCAAGGACACGGTCGACTGGGGTAGTGGTGGAGCGGAAGAGGTCCTGGCAGAGTTCCTCGAAACGAGCACGGGTAATGGAGGTGTAGAAATCGATACCCTCGAAGAGAGAGTCAATCTCGATGGAAGTTTGGGCGGAGGAAGAGAGAGTACGCTTAGCACGCTCGCATGCAGTTCGGAGACGACGGAGAGCACGGGCGTTGGAAGAAAGATCCTATAAGAAATAAATGTTAGCAAGGTGTGAACTTATAGTGTTGCAAAAGCGGATTAGGAATATCCCCAGCAGCGCACTTTCAATGCCTGAACTATTGTGAACAATTGGAAGGCATGTCAATATCTGACATACTTTCAACAATTGAAATGCATCCCAATGTCTGGAATATTCTGCATAATTTGGAATGGATCTCAATCTTTAAAATACTCTGAACAATTGGAATATATCCCAATGTCTAGAATAGTTTAAATGACTGAAATGCATCCCAATATCTGAAATCCTCCGGAAAATTGAATGTAGCTCTTAGATGCATGGATGGATGATCACTGGAACATCGCTACTACCAGAGCTTTTTTCAATAGCTCGAGTATTTGACAAATAAAAGTACGCGCTGAGGGAAGGGGGAGGGACTGGATAAGGGGATGAAGCAGGAAACTCTCAATACGAACTTTCTTGTGTTTTCTTTTGAACTCGGATACGAAGTGGTTAACAAGACGGTTGTCGAAGTCCTCACCACCCAAGTGAGTGTCACCAGCGGTGGACTTGACCTCGAAGATACCCTCCTCGATGGTCAAGAGAGATACATCGAAAGTTCCTCCACCAAGATCGAAGATGAGAACGTTACGCTCACCCTCAATCTTCTTGTCCAAACCGTAAGCAATGGCAGCTGCGGTAGGTTCGTTGATGATACGGAGAACGTTGAGACCAGCAATGAGACCAGCGTCCTTGGTAGCTTGACGTTGTGAATCGGTGAAGTAAGCTGGGACTGTGACGACGGCGTTGTTGACAGTTCCTCCAAGGTAAGCCTCAGCTGTCTCTCTCATCTTGACCAAGATCATAGACGAGATTTCTTCTGGTGTGAATTGCTTGGTCTCGCCCTTGAACTCAACCTCGATAACTGGCTTTCCTGCACGGTCAATGACCTTGAAGGGGAAGTGCTTCATATCGGCTTGAACCTCTGCATCTGCGAACTTGCGACCAATCAAACGCTTAGCATCGAAGACAGTGTTGATTGGGTTCATGGCGACTTGGTTCTTGGCGGCATCTCCAATCAGACGCTCGGTATCTGTGAAAGCGACGAAGGAAGGTGTGGTACGGTTTCCTTGGTCGTTGGCGATAATTTCGATTCTATCATCACGGAAGATACCCACACAGGAGTATGTGGTACCCAAATCGATACCAATACTAGAAGCCATTGTTAGCAATTGTTGTGGTTGTTGGAATATCAGCCCTTCGACCTTGGATAGATCGATAAGGCTGAAGGAGGGGTTGATGAACAACTTACGCTGGAGCCATCTTGTATTAATCTAGTTGTGATATGTGAAAAGGATAAGTGAAGTGATTTGCTTTTAAAGTTCTTTGATCGCTCTGAATGAAAAAAGAAGAAGAGTCGTGGTATCAAAAAAGTTGTTTGAGAAATATGCAGAATGGAAAAAAAGTTGGGTTGAATGAGAGACTTTTAAAGCGAAAAGTTCGATTCCAGCAGTTTCGATTCTGGAATCTTCTTTTTCCACAAGCGGTGGAAATGGTCCGAACTAGAAGGCGGTAGGATGCTCTCGAATTCACCATGACTTTCCAATCGAGATACAAAGAATGGTATAGAATTATTTATGACAATGGATTACGATTTTTTGATTTCATTGCCACATAGTGATGAAGTTTCGATGGATGATATCATCTTGGAAGAATGAACTATATGCCGTTTGATATATAGATAGTGTTGTTGTTGTTTATTACCATTGTGAAGTCTATGTGTGATGCCTTTTGATTTTGGAATTCTGCCATTAATTTTTATTTGCATACAAATTGATTGCCCGATTGCCCCTCAATGCCTGCCTGAACACGATACATCCTAAAGCTTTTCTATTTTTGGTTCAAAACGCTCTTCTACTACTTTTCACAGCTGCTTGTCTGGTGTCATCTGCTAATCTTTGAATTCTCCTATTAATTCTACTTGCAATAATGTCATACCAAACATCTCCAGACGGCCCCTCGATAATATTGAACATCATAGATGCCAAACTTTTCAAAGCCTTTTCTATCGCTTTCCACCACCCGCCCAATGACGTCGCCTGGTCAATGAGGTCAATGTGTTTATTACCTTCCGCACGAATGACACTTTTGCACACTGCACAGTAATCTTTTGCATTTGCCCAGGGTTAAAGATAAAGATCCACTCAAAATTAATAGGGAAAGAATGAACCTTGATAATTCTTTTCATGATTTGCTCCACCGAGAAACAAAATTGCTCGCAACTTCTTTTCCAGGCCATTATTGTAGACTCATTTCAACCTAGAGAACGAACCCCACCAACTATCACGTCACAATCAAAAGATTTTTTATCTGCAAGTCAATAAAGAAAAGTGTTGTCATGATCTGGTTGTGAGGGCAACCAAATGAACCGATAGGAGGTAGATCAGGTAAGCTATCACATCACGTAAACAGGTGTGTTTGGAGTACCTGGTTTCAATGTACTCCGTGCAACTTGAATGGGAGAACAGAGCGTTGGGGGAATGATTGTGCAACAATGTTCTTGTGCTTAAAAAGTTGTAAAAGTTTTGGCTCCAAGATGTTGTCCGAAAGATGTTTGCTGTGCCGGTCCTGATGCGTTTGTCTTTTTGCCTGATGTTGGGTTGTCCATCAAGGTACATAGTAAGGCTTGAGACAAGCTCTTAGCCCCCAATGAGCGTGTGATCCGGCGGCTAATCCACTATCAAGGCACGTTGCCGCGGAAGCTGTGGGTTGGGGGTAGCAACATGCCGGCGGCAATTTTGAAATGCCCCTCAGATTGATGAGTGGAAGATCTCTGAATAGATTGGAGTCATCGGACAGGCGGATAGATAGGCCTGCAATTCTCCTACTCACCTCACAAGTCGCGGTTGGATCCAGGATCATGTTTAATCAGTCGGCCCAGCTTCAATACCCAAGAGAGGATTGGTCCGCACTGGGCAAGTAAAAGCTGCGACCGGGAAATGAAACTACGAACTTCTTGGTAATTGTTGACCTAGAAGGGCATGGCAGTCGACTATTGTGACTCAAGGCTTAAAGTGGAAAAGTCTGGCCCTATCAATTTGACTCATCATAATCTGAGATCTGGTGTTACATCTATGAGCCATCTCCCAATGCCACTCCAGCCACATGTATTCGGCCAGTCCCATCGAGCACATCGAGGCTCTATACAGGTCAGTCTCTTTATACTCATTAAGATGCGCCCAGTGACAGACGGAATGTATGTAACGCCTTACTTGTCATCTTGATGTCCAAGGATTGGGGCTGGGTGTAGTAGCTGTTGCCTCCTCTTCCTGACAATCTTATTACGACCTTCCTAAGGAATCATCTCACATCACCGAGACAGATCATGATAGATCTGGCGATATTAATGCCTTATCTTAAGCCAGATCGCAATTCATAGCCTTTAGATTGTGATGTTCCTGCATTGCATCACATAGATTTATTGCGCCAAGCCCCTTCGTGGATATCTACCGGTACTCATGGTTCAAATATCGTGGGGAAAAACGTGCCAATTGGTATATACCCAGCGGCTCGGGAAATATGAGGAGGTGATTGTCCTTTGGAACCGCTCCATCGGTAACAAGCATCTTGTCTCGGCGTAGTGCGTGCACAGCCCTGTAAACCGTTGGGATTGTATTGCCTGACGTTGCCTTGATGAGTAAATAGAGTAAAGTACTTTCGTTGGCGAAGTCAACTGCGCCCTTGTTACAAACGCTAACCCCTTAGTTCAACCAATTAGATAGCTCCAGCCTCAAACATATATCCCCGGATTTGATATCAAACATTTCTTATTCCTCTCACATATACATGAAATTGATTTCACTTTACTCAACCTCGAAAATCTGTTACATGGCAATACGGATCTATTCGGTAAGTAACAAACTACTAACACATTAATTTCGTTTATGTGTCAGAAGCTTTACTTCGCCTTGAGGGCAGAATATCAAAGAGTCTAAAATCCTTGGATGCACGACTCCAATTTCATATGACTTTTTCGTCGTGGAATATAATAAGTACTCATTGACCATATTAAATGGGTGACCCAATTTCAAAAATCATAGTATTCATAACATTTCAAGTCATAATTAATCAATGAATAATTAATCAAACACCTGGCGCAATAACCAGTCATCAGGTTACACATATACAAACACACGCCTACAAATTCCACCAGCTTCCCGGCTACCAGATCTTACAGCCCCACCTTCCTATTCTGATACACGAGTCACAAGAAGTTGAAGCTTCGCTACATCCAACAGCCTCATCATGTCTTTTAATTCTCACAATGATGGCAAAAGCATCAAACGTAAGACCGGTTTGTTTGGTAGTATTCGCGATAAGTTAGGTCGTTCAAAGAGTCCCGCTTCGAGTAGTCCATCATCTTTCTCAAAGGGAATCCCGGAGAATGCTGCTCCACCGGCATATACTTCCACTTCTCCTACATCATATAACGACGCTCCCGCGTTCTACAATAATGCTGCTGCGGCAAATAACACTACTTCTACATCGGAGAGCTATTCTCCTACACCTCAGAACTATTGTCCTACACCTCAGAACTATTCCCCTACATCCCACAGCAATAATTTTGCATCACAACAAACTTCTACAGTTCCCCAAACTATCCAAACTACTCCACCACATGACCTCGACAGTTCACCATATGCCCTTCTTTCCACATTCGATACAGTCCTTCTAATCGATGATTCTGGCAGCATGGAATGGGGTTCTAAGCCTACACCTTGGAAACAAGTCTTCTCCGCTCTTCAAACCATAGCACCAATCATTACTTCCTACGATGCTGATGGTATCGACGTTTACTTCATGAACCACAAGAGTCGCCACATGGGTAATCCAAGCAAAGGCGTCGCACCCACTGGTTACTACAACATTCAAAATGCAGCTTCAGTTGAAGAAGTATGGACTATAGTAAATAGTCCACAGGGCATAACCCCCACCGGCAACCGCATCAAAGATATCCTCTCTCCTTACATGAAACGACTCAAGGAGGAAATGAGAGCGGGTCGAAACGTCAAACCATTAATTCTGATTGTCATAACCGATGGAGACCCATCGGATGATCCGGAATCAGAAATCGTCAAAGTCGCCAGACAGCTCGACGCACTTGACGCACCACTTACGCAAGTAGGAATCCAATTCTTTCAAGTAGGACAGGTGCCCCAGGCAAAACGAGCATTGGAGGACCTTGATGATGCTTTGGAGCATAAATATAAGATTAGAGATATGGTAGATACTGTCACATGGAATGGACGTAATAGCGAAGCAGGATTATCTGGTGAAGGAATCGTCAAGGCTGTACTTGGTTCGGTCATTAAGAGACTTGATAATAAACCTGCCAGTGGAGAATATAAGAGGAGTTAATTGTTTTACTTTTTTTTTCTTCTAATCTCTTCTCTTCCAAGATTCGTCAATATGGCCGGCGCTATTCCACTTGTCTATTTACTTCTTTAAACAATTTTTTTTTCCCTCTTTCTTTGATAGTTGAACTATTACACACGCATGGTTTTCGAGGCACAAAGTGAGCCCTGTTATGATATTTAGGCGTCATGGCAAGGAAAGAAAACTTTAGAATCCCTCAAGGATTCCTCCATGGTATCTATTAGGATATGACACGTTACCGGGGAATCTAGAGCTCGAGGACAATATTTTCTTATTCTATAATGAGTAACGTTAATAAATAAATATCTTAATCTAATACTTTACTCACCCTACCTTATATATGTATATTTTATAAATTATAACTTGATTATTTCGCCTCCTGCTAACTTAACATATTTATATTCTTCTTATATATTTGATTTGATTTGATTTGATTTGATTTGATTTGATTTGATTTGATTTGATTTGATTTGATTTGATTTGATTTGACTTTTTATTTAATATATTTATATATATATATATAAAATTCCTCCCGGAGGATCCGCTTTAAACTAGTGAACTTCAATATATACTTACTCGTTTAAGTTTTTACTCGAGTATATAATCTATTTATTTTTTTATTTTTTTTATTTTTATTTTATTTTTATTTTTATTTTTATTTTTATTTTTATTTTTATTTTTATTTTTATTTTTATTTTTATTTTTATTTTATTTTATTTTATTTTTATTTTTATTTTATTTTATTTTTATTTTTATTTTATTTTTATTTTATTTTTATTTTTATTTTTATTTTTATTTTTTTTATTTTATTTTTATTTTTATTTTTATTTTATTTTAACTTTATAAATAAATTAATATTATTAATTGAAAAAGAGAAGAGAAGAAAGAGATAAAAAGAAAATAAAATAAATTTTTTTTATAAATATAAATTTAATTTATAAAAATCTGAAATTTAATTTAAATCTTTAATTAAATTTTTTAAATATAATCTATTTAAACAATTATAATATTTTATGTATTTAGATATTTAAATATTTGAAATAAATAGTAAATAAATTAAAGATTAATTATTAAAGGTTATTTTGAATAATTATTATATTTATAACTTCTTTTATTCTTTTTATATTCAACTTCCTGCTCGCTCTTAGTATAAACCACCCAATACAAATAACCTCATAAGTTCGTGATAAGTACGCCGTGTATTCACCAATTCCCCCTCTTAAAACTCTTCCATCTCTATATCTTCCCATCCGCTCATCATCATATAGAAAACCTTCCATCCAGAGCTATATTCATAAATCCTTAACTCCATAAAACCAGTACCACCAGTAAAACCTTGACAAAGCAAACTCTAACCCGCTTCCATCCGTCCTCTTATTCACTCCCTTATCCCTCTTCATTCCTTCATTCCTCCACCTCCCAATAGCAAGAATATCCGAAACCACAAAACCATACAATACAATATCTACCTAGGTAGGTATAACCGTATGACTTCCAACTTCCAACTACTCACATTATTCAATATAAACAAATTCCTAATTATTCACTTACTTACCTACCTACTTATTTACCTACCTATTCCTAAATGGTTAATGAAATCAGCTACAGTATCTAGGCATCCTATTGTAGCCGCAATCCAAGTCTAAGATTGGTAGCTAGGTACTTATAGCATGTTTGGTTGGTTTATTTGGTGTGTATGCTGGGTTTTTGATATTTGATTTGTGATGGGATGGGAGAGTGATGTGAGAGTGATGAAGTAAGGCTTTTTGTTGAGGATGAGACGTTCATTATTAGCTTTTTTATTACAGGTGTCATTTCATTTGTGTGGACGATTCAGCATTTCATCACTGTATATGTATTCGTCTTATTCCTAACATCTTCTTCTTCATTTCACGATATATCATCGCAGAATGCATATCACAAATAAACAAAACACAAAACACAACATACAACACAAAAACACGTAAATAAAAAGCTTATCCATTCATTCATTCATTCATTTATTTCCTCTCTGCAAAAACACCATCTAAGTCCTTTTTCCTTTCTTGCTTGCTTGCCTACATGCCATAACTATCCACCACCCTTCTCTAAACCCAAGCCAATTGATCAACCAACCAACCAAACTACCCACGCAAGAAGGGTAAAAAAGAGTACCTGCAGCCTAAGCATAAATATGCAGATTCAGGTACATATCTGTAAAATCTCTGTAAAAACAAAGATACCTAAGCAATTAAAGAAACTTTTTCTATGTCCGTAAAAACGCCCATTCCTGAAAATCACCAGAAGAACCCTTCATCAAATACCAACCTGGAAAGGAGGGAGGAATGAAAATGAATGAAATGAAAATAAAATAAAATGAATGAGAATGAGAATGAGAAGACCCATTGATACCCATTGCGTAATTTATCTACTCCTTGTAAGAAACTAGATAGGAGGAGGGGAGAAAAGTAGCTTAGCCCCGAGAACAAGTGTTCCATCGCTGCGTAGTATCTGATATTTCTTCATGCATGTATATCTTTGTTTGTAAGAAGATATCTGGATTTAGCGGAAAACTAGATTGGAAAACATGGATTCGGAAGCTCAAGTAGGTTTGTTGTATTTCTTTCCTGAGAGGGGAGTTTGTGGTGGACTGCGTAAAAACATGAATAAAGTATGTCATCCATATGCATATCCAGATGTGATGAACCAAGTTTCCATATTGTTATATTGTTATTGATTGCAAGGTAGGGACCACCGAGTAGCAACGCAGCTCAAATCCTATCCTACGGAAACTAGAGAGAGGACACCAAAAGGAAAGAAGGAAGAAACATATTCATTCGTATCCAGAGTAAAATTGATCATTGAGCTGCGAAGTTTGGAAAACCAATCGATTGTACGTGCGCGAGGAAATAAAGGCGTTGATAGGAAACTATGGTACAGGTTGACGCTTTGCAAATTGATTGTCGATGTCGGAGAAAAGACGTTGGAGCTTAGATGAAAGTGGATATTTATGTTGAACGTCGGATGAAAGAGTTGAAATTGAATGCGTGCCAAGGAAAATGAAAACGAGAACGTGAATGAACTTTTTAGGGTTTTGCATGAATTTGGTGGTTGAAAAAGTGATATTGTGTCGTGAACCAAAGGATCTCCAGAGACGCTTTGGAAGAAGATGAAGAGCTCGAGTCGAGGATGAAATTGTAGTAAGGTTGCTTCCCACAGTAGAACTTCCAAGAGAAAGAACAAGTAGGTAGTAACTAAGTGCAGTATCGTACGCTGATCGAAGCTCTGAATAGATAACGTTGACAATGGCTCATCGGTCGGACCAGAATAATGGAAGTTAGAAAGATGACGATCTATATGCGAGAAATCTGTGCGTAATACTGTACGAAGTACACTTATGTCATGAGAAGAACATTCGCCTTATGAAGATTCTTGGCGATGATCGTGATGGAGTTATCATCGCGCATGGTAATAGAAGGAGTCATGACTAGCTTGAGTCGCTTTTGCTTTGTCTGTAACTGATATGGATTATCCCTAGGATGATCCTTTGGAGTCATGGTACCGGCTGTAAACTTAACACCTAGAAGATCGGGAAAGACGATTTGGAAGCTCAACTTAGCAGTCCACATCTTAGCACATATTTCCATAGAGGAAATGATCATTACACCGAGATCTCCGCCGGCCTTTGTGCGTGAGCATCCTTGGTTCATTAAAGGACCAAGAATGTCACGAAGTCTCTTCGTATGGTGAACAAGCATGTCGTTGCGGAATGTAACATAGTCGGGTGAGTTAATGACTGACTTGATCAATGCGGTTTGCTCGGCAATAAGAGCTTGTCGTTTTTCATTTGAAATGACTGATAATAACAGATTAGTAATTTGCAGAGTAATGGGGAGGAATAATTAAATAAAACTTACTAGGCTTAGCAGCAAGGCGCTCCCTAAGGCTGACCAAATGTTCCTTAACACTTTGGTTATACTTCTCATAAGTCTCGATGCACATGATTTTTTTGAAACAATATTCAAGCGCCAATCTCATGACAAACCAGAAACGAGTGTTCTCGTTACCTAAAAGAGCCATGACATGGCTATGTGCACTTTGAGGATCATGGTAAGTAACGCCCATCATGTAGTTCCACAGCTCCTGGTTTGTGCTGGCAATATTGCGATCTCCTGCAAGATTTGGAACGCAAGCATATTCGCGGCACCATCCTTCCATAGACGCAAAGAGATTACCGAAGTCGTTTGTGAACTCCTTACCCGTGTCATGGACATTCGAAGGTTGGCTCTTATATGGAACCAATGGCATAATTTGCGAGCGGCGATGATTAATGACAGTTTCAGTTTCGCTACGCATGGTATTTCGCATATTAAGTATGGACGGAACATTCTCCAAAGCACTATCTGGAACTGCTACGGATACGGATGCCTTGACTCGATCGTATTCCTCCTGTGTAGGTGACATATGGTCTCCAATGGCCGCATTCTCCATTGCTGCCAGGGAAGCTCTCGAGAGGCGTGTCATCGATGTTGGGCCGCCACTGCGATATCCAGAATGCGAATTGTTAAATGAAGGAGGAGCCTCCAACTGTAATTGTGAGTGAGATCGACTGCCGCCGCCTGGAAGACGAAAAGGATTGGTGTCTGATGATCTCAGTTGGGAAGCTGGCGGATGTGATGCAAGCCAAAGGATTCTCTTTCCATTAAGTTGGTTTTCCTTGACTTGTAACTCCTCACGTTGAGAAGCAATGATGGCAAGTAATTCACGACGAGTTGGTTCACCAGACTCATCCGAGAAATCGCTGGAAGCCTCCAGAAGCTGGCGCTCGAGATCTTTGACTTGGTTCATGTATTGTTCTTCGGTTTTAGTAACGAAGACTTGTTGAGCGGCGAAGTCTACAACAAGGTTTTGAAGTTCGATGCTGACCTTGTGTTGAACTTTTTGTGGGATAGATGTAGTCTCACAGATTGTCTTGATGATATCTGACACTCTATTCTCCATCCAGTCCTGAAGACTTTGAGAGACAGTTCGATTGTCGATAACTTCTGCTCTGTGACCTCTGGTTGATGGTGGACTGGTGACGGAGGGACCAGAGCTTGAGATGCTATCTCTCTTTTTGTGCCTTGGCTGAGAAGGAACGAAATGCGGAACAGAAGGGTCCATGGATTCCGATCGATTCATTGTAGCGCGAAGATCGGCTTCGGCTGGCTTTCGAGACGGGCGGGATCTACTCGGTAGGTGCGACATGGTTAGCAATAGTAGTTTTGATAGTAATAGTAGTTGAACGTATAGTTGCAAGGACTTGAGAGTGTGCGCGAGCCCCAAAAAGATTGATAAAGTGCGAGGTAGAACTTCAGGAATTGACGTGTATCTGCTATTGTTGTAGAAAGGAAGAAGGAGTAACTTGTATCTGCCGCAGAGAGAGTATTAAGAGAGTAATTTAAGATAGTGGGGAAATAGACCGCAGAGTCTCGCTAGTTGAAAAGTTTTTTCTTTCAAGTAGAAGAAATAATATCGATCTTGAAGGTGAAGTAAAATGGGTCATGAATTAAGAATTAATCTTGGTGAAGAAGCCGCTCGGCATATGCGAAAATGCTCTTGGTATCCGAGGGAACAGTGAATTGCACCAGCGAATAATGAGTAGATCTGGAGATGAAGGGCGGGGAAACATCCATCACCATGACAAAGCAAACAACTTAAAAATATATGACTGCAGTTTCATGTATCCTTCAGACTGCATTCATCATATTTTGTATTTCACGATAGTTGCAGAATGCTCACTGAGCTTTTGGGATGTCGTTCATGTGAAAGAAGCGTTATGTGTTTACGGAAGTGTATTGGCCCAGTAAGGCCGTTTGAATATTTTAGTGCATGTGTGCAAGAAAGTGCTTTTGGTATATATATGAACCCACCTCGATCAGTACTTTTGGTGAGGTGAGGCCATTTATTGCTCAAAGACAATATGTCAATGCGCAAATATAGCACTTGGGAAGCTATTCCCATGTATGACAAAAACTTGAGCACCGTATGTCATGAAAGTTGAACCAGTACATTTGGAGCTCTATGAAATATCATGATGAGATGAGTAGAGACATTACAATAAAGGAAGGCGGTAGGTGATCTAAGCAATAAGTTTGACTTAGTCAAGACTTCGAAGCGACCCCTCGCGTAATGGCCAATGATTTGCAATAAAGGAACTGAAGGAAAAAGGGGTTTGAGTAAACCACAAAAACTTCAACACATATAATTATTGTCTTGTTGAAGAGAATGTACTTTGGAAAAATTGAATTAAGGTACATACCTTGCTGTAGATCCATAAGAATCGTACATCATGAGAGAGGTAGGGCTGTAAGGACGCCGACCATAAGAACCCGAAGTACCATAAATCATACCAGAGTCGTCCAAGTCAGGATGTTGATGCGTAAGACTGTATCATGGTAAGAAGGTTCGCCAATATTGTTTTATACCAAGGAGGTGCACTGTACTTAGGGTGGATTCCATGAGCTGGAGCTCCGAGGACGGGACAGGAAAGACGTGGAACTAAATTGCTTCTCAACTATTAATAAGAGAAATACGTTAGCGTTGCTGCTGGTAGTAAGGCAGAGCGACGTGGTAAAACTTTGAGCTTGATTTCTGGGATGGAATTAAGCCCTAGAAGAATTATTTACTTACCATGATTGATTGAGGTTTGATTTATTGACTGTGAAAGCAAAAAGGTAAGAGTGAGGGTAAGAGTAACAAACAGTAAGGTTAGACTAAGATTAAGGTAAGAGTAAGGTAGGAGTAGATAAACAAGAAGAATGGAAGAGTATGGTGGTAGATAGGAAGAAGAATAGGTTGGGAGTTGGAGGTTTACCAAGAAGAAGGAGTATAGGTCTATATCGAAAAAATGAGGGGCACTAGAATCAGCCCTTGCGCCAATTCACCTGAGGTAAGATCGGGTTGCCTAGTCACTCAACTACCAATTAAACCTAGTTTATTTTATCATGCATGTAGCTAGAAAAGAGCAAGTGTTTCAGAAAGCTAGGCAAATCCCGAGAAAACTAAGTGAATAAATATTCTTGATCTGACTTTGATAATCATTAATCCTAATCATTCGAGTAAACAGAATCTTAATGAAAACTGAGAGCCGGTTGTGTTGATGATTAGTGATTCTTATATCTAATATCTTGTTAAACTTCATTATACTGGTATATTACATACCTTTATCTGCTAAATATTCAATAGGTTCTGCTTTTGTCTCTATCAAGATCTTCCTTTATTTTATTCTTCTTTTTTAAGTTTCAAAATGGTTACTTTTTTTTTTTTTTTTTAAAGTATAAATCTGCCATATCTGTAGCATTGTTCAATGAAGTTGCTGATATAACTCTTCTCAGATTGAACATAATTATGTTTTTGGCTCACTAGTGCCAGATTATTCTGTCTTATTTATATTTTAATCAAACTTTGTGACTGAAGTCTTCCGGAAATATTTGAGACAGTGAGGAATCCGCATCCAGCAACACGTCAACTAGACGAGAAGATAATATCACAGCTGCAGCTTGATATAACGGTCCTCCTACCTCAATAGACTGCGCGTTTAACCCCATTCATCTATTGATGCTATCAAATCAAGATACAGGATACACGGATATTTCATGAAGTAATACTTAAAATACTACGGATTCGAATGAAATCCTCCAGGTATCTGATTGTGACCTAGTTTACTTTGAAATATTGGTCTTGAGAGCAGCTCTAGATATATATCGACACGCGCTGTAAATTAGATACTATAGAAGCTGCAGTGGAGATTGCACCATGCTCAACAAACCTACACAAGTCGAGTTAGACGTTTGTTCTTCACGGACTTTTTAACTTCCAGTAACCAGTGGTCTAATTATAAAAAGATGCATGTCCAGACATGGAAGTTTTCATATGACCCAATGTAGCATCGTCAGTCTTATGACTGTAACTCATGTCTATACTACTACGCCTTCAATTGCAATCTTCCTTCATGAATTCTTTGTACAGACTTATCCTTCATTCTTCATTCCCAAGATTCATTATCTCTCCAATTGCTCACCGAGACTTCATGAGCTCTCATTTACTTCCAAGTTCCTAGCACAAGTCCACCTGAATAAGATCAGCGCGGGAAGGAGTAGCCAGTCAGCCAGTCTCAGAAAGAATTCCACCTCGTGAGTGTTATGTCGGGCGAATTTTGCGGAGCTCGAGGCAATTTCGAGGTTCGGGTCCATGAAACTGAGTTACTCGAGCTGCACACTGAACTTCACCCATCCATTCATTAGACAAAAGAACTTCCACAAGAAACGAAACAAAAAATAAGTAGAGAGCGAAATTATTACTCCCTATTCCTAATATTCCTTTTACTTCTTTCCACATTCCGGGCTCTACATATCCTACCTACAGCACTGCTGTGATGTGATTGGAACATATAAATTTGTTTTTCCTTCACGAGGAACGAGACTTCTATCGCCCGCTCGTTTCACCCCTTTCCTTCATAACCTCCCGGCCATAGTCCCCTCTTCTTTTATATCCCGGCACCTCTCTTCTTCTTCTCTTCTTTTCTTCTTCTTTTCTTCTTCTTCCTCTTCCGCCATCCACATCAACATATCGAATGCTCCCTCTTCACCTCTCCACCTGTCCATCCGCATCATAATATTAATATCAATATCCTCAATATCCTCAAACAGTCAATCTCCCCCGCCCCCACCCCACTCTGCCAGCAACGAAAAAATCACCAAATCACCAAATCCCCCAATATCCCACTCAAATCCTCCATATGCGCCTTCTTTCTCTTAAACCCCCCTCCCCCAAACCCAATCTTAACACAAAACTCCAAGATCAACATTAATCAATAAACAACACAACACACCCTAACCCCTCGAGCTCGAAAACGAGGAAGAATCGCCAAATTAAACCAGCTAAACAGGTTAAACCAGCCAAGGCAAACTAGCCAAGCAAAGCCAAGCCAAGCCAAATCAGCTTATATTAATTAACCGAAGAAAATAGGGAGGGGATTGTACTCCGTAGATGGAAATCAGCGGATCTAGTGATTTAGATAATTGAGATGGGAATGAATTTCTCCATCACCTCCCCCATACACCTGTTTTCCTTACATCCATCATCTCTCCCCGCTAACCCACATCCCCCACCAAACCTATATAATTATTAATTCCTCCCTCCCTTCCTCTCTCCTCCCAACTCCCTCCTTCCCTTCTCTTTTCCTTTATTTTATACTTTATATTTTATATTTTTATATCCTCACATCCTCACATCCTCACATCCTCACCCATATAATCAACAATCCCTCCCTCCCTTCCTTCTCCCTTTCTCCTCCTCCTCCTTCCTTCTTTTTCTCTTTATACTCCATATCATACCATATCATATCATACATTATAGCATATATTAAAACCAAGAACCAAAAGCCAAGAACCATCAATCAAAAATCAAAAACCACCAACCAAAAACCACCAACTCCAAGCCTAAGACCCAAAATATTCGATCAATTAATTGACTAACTGACTAATTAACTGATAATCAACTGATAATTAACTAATTAGTAATTGATTTATAGTTGATGATTGGTAATTGATAGTTAGTAATTTATAATTAGTAGCTGGTGTATGATTTTTAGAATAATGAAGCAGTAGAGTGATGAAGAGAGAAGAAGTGAAAAGAGGAGGAGGGAAGAAACAAGGAAGGGGGGAGGAAGGAGGGAGGGAGGGAAGAAGGAGGGAGAAAGAATTGTGTATTTATTAAGAGAATGGGATGGGATGGGATGGATATTCTACCTAGTACTTGTCTTTTCATTTATTTCTCTATACTCACACATATGTAAGGTTGCTTATATGAGGAATTTGTACTCTTTCTTATCTATAGAATGATGGGAATGGGAGATATGAAAGGAATGGAAACAAGACGGATAGATCAACAAAAAGCACAACGCAAAACACACAAAAAATCATCAAATAAATTCCTCACATCTCGTAAAAAATCTGGCATTGTGTTATATGTAACTCTTGTATTGTAACGGCATAATATTATCATTCATCCACCATCTATCCACACACCCACCACCTTAATAATCCCCTTCATCTTTCATCATCATCCACATAAAACATCAAGAAAATTCATCAACCCATCCCTCTTCCCCTCCACGTCCAATCCCTAAATCCACATCCATATCATGGATCACCGGGTATCAATCATACTATCCTCTCTCCAGATTCGTTCATCGTGATATATACTATAATACTAGGTATTTTGTATCTATGTATTTATATGTACATATGAACGAATGACGAATAAATGAACGAGTTGTTGTTTAACAACAACATTCTTCGCAGATGAGACAGGCGCAGAGTTCGTCGAGGAGACAGCAGGCGAGACAGGCTTCGCTGTTGGGGGGTTGGGGTTAGTTTTTTTTTGGTTCACTTTGGTTTGTAGCGGAAGGGGCTGGAGGAGAGGAGGGTAGAGGATGATGTGTGGGAAGGGAGGGAAGGAGGGAGGGAGGGAGACGGGAATTCAAGAGGAAAGTAAAAAGTAGGAGAAAACGTACCAGCATCCACCACCACCACGCATAGAGACATCAGCGTTCATTCCCTCATTTTGACGCTATGGATTTGTTAGTATTTATTCATACTTGTGGAGGTATTTCTTTCGCAGTGAAATCTATAGAAGATATAGAGAGGTATGCGATACAAAAGTAGAATGAGAAGAAAAGGGAAAACAAACAGGTTGTTCAGTAATAGGACCATTTGAAGACATCTCCATTTGTTGAGCTTGAGGTTGTTGAGATTCGAAAGGCATTTTGATGGTATGTGTTGTAGGAGGTTGTTGATTGATTGGTTTGATTTGAGTCGAGTTGAGTTGATTTCGTATGGAAGATATAAAGTAATGTACAGAAGTAAGTTGATTGTAAATAAATAGCAGAAAAGAGAGGTTAGACAGGTAGATATAAAACAGGAGAGAAAGGGTGAGTGAGTGAAGTGAATGAATAAGAGTCCTAAGAGTCCAAGCTCAAAAGGTAAAAAGGTAAAAGGGTAAAACAAGTAAAACCGCTGGGGCCGATTCAGCCATTCAGTAAACTTTCCATTGCGCTCATTGGATGCATTGGATGCATTGGATGCATTGGATGCATTGGATTCATTGGATTCATAATTATCCAGCTTCTGTTATTTTTATACACTTGCACCGCCGCCCAAACGTACCATTTTCCCTTTCGGTAAGTACAGGGCTGGAAATATCCTTGTGCTTTTCTCCAGTACGGAGTGCACAATACCCTTGGTCACTTTATCGTAAACCAATCATATCGTATGATGCGTATGATGCGTATGATTCACATGATTTGGAGAGAATAACACCCGCCACATTCCAAACTCTCTTTTTTGATCTCGGATTGCGAGAGGCTTTGAGAGAGGCTATGCTTGCGGTGCTTGTCATGCTCGTGCTGCTCGTGCTGCTCGTGCTGCTTATTATGGATATCTTGCTGCGTATCAGATTTCTAGAATGGGAATAGATGCGTGCGTGGAAGTAAATGGACCCTTTGATTGAATTAATGATATGAAATACGTAATTTTCCACAATAAATTCTGAAGGTGGTTGTTCTCTGTTCTCTCTTTCCGGGGTTTCGGCGTTGGACGGATCGGCTTGGATGGATGGGCCTGGCAGGGCTGTGTAACAATAACTGGGTTGTGATTTTGGGATTTTGGGATTTTGGGATTTTGGGTTTTTGGGTTTTTGGATTTTGGGATTTTATTTTGATACGGAGACGGAGTAGAGACATGATTGTACTCCGTACCCCATGTACCTATGACGATTAAGATATCCACGCGAGATTACTCTCACTGTTCAGTAATCATCATCAATCCATCAATCAATCCATCAAATCACACCTCACCCCCCAAACATCAATCAATACCTATCTAGTATCTAGCTATCTTGGCCTCTCTCATAGAACATAAATCCTCACAACTCGTCATAACCATAACCACAATCAAGCAAACGCCCATCTGGAAATTCCTTAGATAAAAAAAGCCTTGGTTGAGCATTCGTGAAGCTTGTTCTCGCCTTGCCGGAAGCCGTCTTGTCTTTTCTGTCTTGGCCAATGAGCCAAGGGGGCCAAGCCCGGTCTTCCCGTTGCTTGATTCTTTTGGGTCTTGGATGGATGCTCATGCTTGTGGATGTGGTAAGGGGGGATGAGTCAGCTGTTTGAGTATGTATGTATGTACAGAGTAAATGCGAACGGACCGAGTTAGAGTAGGGCTCCATACGAGTTTACGACTTTGTATGATTGTGGGATTATGCGATTTACGATTATGGAGCTGTACGATGTGCGATTATACGATTATACGATTTCCGATTGTACGATTACACAAAGAAATCCGAATACTCTCGCACGGTGTATGAGTATTCTGTACACCGTAGTATTGCAGAGGTAGTATTGGAGAGGATTAAAATAAATGTAGGAGGAGCAGGCCCTTGAAGCTAACGGAGTATAGTCCTCCACACGGAAGACAGTAGATTGAAATTTAATCTTCCCCGGATTTGATCTAAGGCTTTGGTTTATATCTCTTGAGAAATTATTCAGTACACACTCCAAGTAGAAGAATATCTACGAGGAGGATGCTAAGCCTATAGAGTAACACGCACGTGCACACCGACTGTACTCGTACTATCCAGTGGAGTCATTTTGTATCACGAGGATAAAGTATTGGGAGATCTTGTTCTGAATATCAATGTTTGGTAAAGTGCTAGTTAGGCTATTAAAAAGGTGTTGATCTTTATCATGAAACTGGTTCCTGGTTCCCGAAGAAACACCAGTATATAATCACGTGAAATGTGATATCATCTGACATTTGTAGGTTGCTGTGTAAACTCAAGCATCTACCCGTCCATCACATACATCGATAAGGTTTGATATTCCCAATACTGTCTCTCAATCCCCAACTCCTCTTGATACTTCTCCCCAAACACAGCTCCTGTCAATTTCAACCATCTCTTATGAATCCTAACGCCAAACTGACACTTGGTGAACTCCCAATGCTCAGGATACCATCCCGCATTCTCCCAATCCACCATTCCCGAAATGCTCCCATCCTTAACCATAATATTCCTCATATTCAAATGCGCGTGCGCAAAAGGTATCTCATGATCAGTGCGATGCATTAAACCAGGAAGGATCCCCAGCTGTAATGATTCACTGAATTCTTTCTCGTCGTGAAAAGGTCCTACTATTTCGCTAGAGATGCGATAATCCAAACAAGGACCTCCAGTTGCGCTGGTAATAGAGTACTTCGAGTCACGGTTCACCTTGATGGTATGTAGTTCTGCGATGCAGGAACGTAAATCTTGGGCGATCCGATGCATTTCTTCGTCAGTGCATTCGTCTATAGCAATACCAACTGACTCGCCTTCGATGCGGGAAGTGACGAGGAACAAATCAGTGGGTGAGAGTAAGAGATCAATGGGATACGGAACAGGAATGGAAATTCGACCTTGCACGACTTTTAAGGCGTTAAATTCTGCGGTATGCCGGTCTTTGTGGGCTCCTGGTCCATATTTGAGGTACATTCCAAATGGCAATCTCTGGACTCCGAAGGTGATTTGCTCATAGAGATATGATCCACCGGTTCCCAAAATTCTGTATGTTTGAAACCGGATACATTCAGGGAAGCTGGTCCATATAGCGAGCAAAGTAGTAGTAATCGATTGTATGAAAAGATTCCTGTCTTTATTTCGACTTGGGCGCAAGCGTGGACGACTATCTATGTTGCTAGCAACATCGGTCCAGTTTAAAGCCCTAGAGAACCTGGAATGTATTTCAAGGAGTCCCGGATCAGGACTCTCGATCCCGGAATTTGAGCGACCAGCTAGATCACATTTCCAATTGTAATGTCGGGAACCCTTATAAATAGCCGGAACGCCGCCAATATTGTTATACAGGATATTGTACTGTACACAGTTAGCGTGGAAAAGACCAAGAACAGAAAGGAATCTGAACCTTTGCTGCTTTCAACCTTTCGAGTCTAATCACCCCTCTGGAAAAGGGTATTGCTGCATCCTTGCTCAAAGTCCAATGATTTCGGATCTGACCTTCTAGAGTTTTGTCTTTGAGTAGGTCTCGATGGGAAGACGTGATAAATGCACCGAGCATATCATACAGTCTTTGCTATAAAAAGATTAAAAATTGCCAGCAATACATTGTCCGAGTCGTTCTCACCTCTTGTGTACAATATGCAGTCGGAGGAAGAATGGGATATACATTCCAAATACCCCAGACTCGCGCTCCAGACAAGCAACATCGGAATCAATCTCGTCGCGCAATTATTTCCCTCAAAGTCTAACTCAGGTTACCTGAATGAGGAAATTGCACATAGACTTGATATCACTTAGCTATGGGTATTTAATCTAATTTTGGGGATAAAACATACAACGTCTCACCAAGTCCTTCCAATCCTTTCGAAATCTTACAAAATCTACATGAACTCCATCAATGGCGTATGTTTCCAGCAGATATCTTGCAGCTTGGTCACCATCCACAGTGTCGTTGAGAAATGCCTCAACTAAAGGAAGACTAGGGTGTGCAAGTCCCGCATTTCGAACGATTCTGAGAACACGATTTTTATCGCTTTCCATAGTCCTCAGAGCTACAAATCAACACAACGAGAGGTAAGCCTGAAGAAAAAGTGGAATCGATCAAGAGATATGGAGTTGAATTGTGAGTAGATGGGATGCTTAGGCCAAGTGTCCGCGCTAGTCCTCGAGGTGAATATTATGTGAGAACAACACCGTCTATATGACCCTTAACAGCAGAGGTGTACCTAGGACATTCATAAGAGTCTCCCTCCCCAAGTTTCCATCCAAAGCTCTACTGACTATCTATAGCATTCGGGAATAACCATAACATCATCAGCCCCAAAGGGGATGTACTACCATGCAACAAACAAATTTGAAGGCTGGATACCAGAATTTAAACCGAAAGCCAACATTAGCCAGCCCTTGACACTCGTAATCCTCTACAAATCGGCCCTGTATCCTCCCAAACTCCTTTGAAGGCAGACGAAGTCTTGCAAGCTGTACCAGCAAATGGTTCTCCATCTCTGCGTACTAGCGAAGCTTTTACTTGCCGCATCTGGACGAAAGACGCCCTTGTAGCGCTTCACGACAATGGTATTATAACTTTGCCCGTGGATATTGGTAAGTCCCAACCTCCACATTCGCTTCTGCGCTTATTCGGAGAAAAATATTACTAACAAAATTATCGCAGACACAGTAGAGAGACAGGCCTTTGCTGCAGCGAGCGATCTGGAGCCCGAAATTGAACAGAACAAAAGCGGACCAAGTATTATTGATTGCACGGGTGGCGCTCCTTCGTTATAGAGGAATTCCTACAGTTACGGCTATGTCTCTGGCTTTGGTTGGGAGGGTCTGCAAGTCTCTGATACTACTTATTGTATTTTTCAGTCGTTGTCGTATGTCGTATTATCCATATGTTGATTCGGCGGAACTGGGTGTTTAAATAGTGGTTATACATTGAAATCCTATTGATTTTACACTCGAGCTCACGCTTTTCACAAAGTGATATAGATATAAAAATCGGAACTCAAAGTCTCGAAGGAGGTTAATCGATAATAAATAATAATTATTATAATAATAATATTATTTATATTAATAGTGGAAGACTTAATCGTATTTAAGCTTAATAGGGTAAAGTCGAATATAATCATAAATTGAAAGTCAGAATAGTAAAGTAGAGATTTTATTTCTTTTTCTGCCTTGTTATTTCTAAGGATTCTTTGAAGAAAACCTTTGTATTTATAGTATTTAATATGATTCTAATATATTCTATGATTAATAATAAGATCAATTTGAATCGAATCTTATAGAATTATTTTATATAATAAAAGGAAATAATAATTAATAATATTCAATCTAATGAATAAGAAATTCTATACACTTCCATTTCATTTTATTCCCTTATAAATCAATCTGATATGAATTATAATCGAAATTTTATATAATAATGAAATTTAATAATATATATGAATATTATTAATATATCACATTATTATCCGATCATTGGTTCGGCTAATATTATTAAGTGATTTAATAACTTATTAGAAAATCTCACACAAAGAACTTCTTCATATTTTCAACACTGTGTAATATGGCAATTTGATAACAGTCGCAAGATGCGAGTGGCTTGGGACCTGTTTCTTTTGGTTAAATGATATCAATTAATTAGATGACTGGAAAGGTAGGTCCGCAAGTGATGAGGACGTGTAGATGCGGTATTTTCCATAATGAAGCAGGGAGCTTTGAAGACTTTTTCTGGGTGGGGGTGAATATTGAGTTTGGGTAAGGTGTATTGACTCGTGGCTGGTTAATTATTTGTTTTTTTTGGAGCAATGAGACTCCTGTGCGATGGTTCGTTTATATTAGTTTAATTTTGATACATTTGAGATGTTCAACTTTATGGAAAGACGAGTATAAGGTTGCGTGCAAGCTTCCATATCTAGGTTTCTAGATGGTATGCATGTAATTTATCCGGAGGGTAATCATTTAAATACTAGGAAAAATGTCTGAATCATCCGTCATTAACCAAAGAGGCAATAAGGCAAACACTACCACCAGAGCTAGAGCTAGACCTCCCCAAAATCCCAATCCTATTACCCTATCCAGGTCCCTAAGATTTAGCACGCTCCCGGCCTAGAGGGACTCTGTAGCTCTCGCCGATGCACTCGCTATAGTGTGCAAACCGTTGACTCCAACCCTCATTATCAATTTTGCATGACCTCGCCCCTAGGATACTGCCAGAAATTAATGCAAAATCTGCTATACATCCTTTAGCTCAAATGGGACACTAAGCACGGTTGATTTTGTACGGTGAGAGAGAAGGATTGTGAAGAGGATAGCTCAGTAGAAGGGAAAACCTCCAAGACTGCAGTAGTAGCGAAAGATGCCTAGGGTGGGAAAATACTTATTGAGGAGGCCGACTAGCAATAAGGGGGATGAAAATGTAGAAGAAGAGCATTGTGAAGATGAGGTTAATCTCCGAGATGTCTGTGTTTATTTTAGTAATTGGTTATTTTCGAACAGATATAGATAATGAAAATACATCAGAAACGGATCCATCATTAAAATCAATGGGAAGGAGAATTCTTGGTGAACAAGGGCCTTGTTTGGGAAACGCCATAAAAACAGATATGAGCGTAGCATATGACAATGAGTGTATAGCCATATGAATTGATGCACATGACAGAGTTTATCGATAAAAAAGTTGCGTCCGGTTTGCTAATAATTGATTTTAAAGTCCTTGTGGGTGACTTTAAGTGTTAGTGATAGGTGGCCGCAACGAGTTTTCGACCCATAGTAGAGGAGCGGGTTCCAAATCGTCTTCTTCTTGTCCTCCTCACCATTTTCTCCCCTCAGTCTATTGTAGAACCTACTGAATGCTGCAGCAAACCTTTCTTTTAACTAATCCCTTAATCAAATTCCTCTTTCCTACTTTGCAATGGTTCTCTAAGCCCGAGAAATTACGACAAACAAACTAATGAAGAAGAATACTGTGACAATGAGGTTAGGAAGCGCATAAAGATACTCCTCAATAAACCCATCACTATGTGGTTTTCCAGACTCAACATGATATGGATGTGCCGCGAGTGATCACTCAGATGAGTCAGATCAGACCGACCGTCTACCAATATTGAGTCCAAATGGAATTGAAAATGCGACGTTTTGGTGTTGCTTCAAGCAAGGTAAATCTCTACCGAAAGAGCAAGGAATGTGGAAAATAACTCCACCTTTAATCGCCTCCGTAGACTCGTCACTCCTGCATCTTTATTACCCAGACCCATAGTGACCAAAGTTACGAGGACATCCATAACTGCGTAGGAAACTCTAACAGCAGAACACCCGCCACAGTCATCATGCCACAAATCATAATTAGGGACTTCGGTTTTATATCATTGGAGATGTGACCCCATGACACAGCAGTTCCTACTTGACAGATAGGAATGAGGAAATGGCAGCTCTAACCCAAGAACTAGCATCCGAAAGAACAGCGGTGTAATTCATGACCTGGGGATATAGATTTCCATTGTTGTACTGGGAGGAGCAGAGTCGGTGGCACAATAATACACTGAAATATAGGCTTACTTCTGGCTGCTATGTAGCCGGAGATGGACAATTTTGTCTTGAAAAGAGAATATCCCTCGCAGCTTCGTAGTGATAATGAGAACTGAGGGTACACAAGAGTGATGATGCCGGAAAAGAAATGTACCAGATGAGATGTCTTAAATTCGAGCTTAACTTCAATCCACAAGCATACTTGCTGTTGTAGAGAACTGAATGCTTGTCTGTATACGATGTCTCATTGTTTGCTGGATATATTCAAAAGAGTTGAGCTGCTTATCACCAGCCTTGCATGTGCCTGCTTGCAATGGTAGACCTCGCAGATTTCTGATTTGCACTTCTGCCAACAGCATAAGCTAACTGATGGATTGACTTTAAATTGAAAGCTCCCGAGCACAAAATAAACTGAAGGAATTTCTCGGTGAGAATGGAGCTTTTACGGTCGTGAAGATCTCCCTTCATACCTACCTAGTATATACATACGCATGAGTTGGTTGAAGGCGATTTCTTCTCGGCTGTGTCCGCGCTGTCACAAAAATGTCATTCTGCCATAGCAACACGTGAGCGGTGAAACTCCTTAAATATTTTTGTTGCACGTCTGAAAATTTGTGACCTATTTACCCTCTTTCCTGCCTTTTCAGTTAATTAATTAATTTAGTTTTTGTCACCCACCACCGCCTTGACCCACCCATTAAGTGTAAGAAAGATGCCGTCAGAATTAATTCTCTCGAAGCAAGTTTCCACACAAATTTGTTCAATCAGTTGGAACCCATTCTTGATATCACGAGCAAAAAATCTGTTTTTGATTTTGCCTACGGAAATGCTCATGAATACTCGCAAATCTCGCAGATTGTGAGAATGACTCAAGAAGCAGAGATATTTGCGTGTCTCCAAAAATGACATTTGTCACGAGCTGACGCAATTATCAGAATGGAAGTCTACCCTTCGTAGTGTCTAAGCTGACAATTATATGAGCTCTTTAAAATATAGACATCAAATTCTCAAGCTTTGATGAGCTTTTTGGACTCTATAGACTGTATAATGCTATCTATGGTTCAAACCTGGTGCTTGGACCGGAAGTACAGGCATATCTTGCTGAAATATCCTCTAACCATCCATCAGGAGCCAGCCTACATCCCGGCGACTGCACAGATAGTAACGACTCTTGATACTCAATCGAGCCTCTGGGGGAGCCACTGTAACAATTAATATCTCAATCGAACAGGGAGCGCTGACTGTGCTGAGGAGTAATAGTGATGCTGAAACCTAATAAATTGACCGTCTTCTATCCAGAATCATGGTACATAATTTTGTCTGTGGGCATCTACACTTGGTTCAAAAGCCGTCGGTAATCTCCCATACTAAGCTTTGAATTCTCTCACTAATCAAACGAGCTTCTCTCCTCCCTTCCTGAGAAGCAATCCAGAAACAGGCGATGCCGCTTGTTCGAACTCTCGGATCAGGAACTTCTTGTCCGTTATGCAAAAATCCCATGCATTTCTTAATATAACTGCGTAGGTGTGGCTCACGCTCTAATACGGTGGAACAGATGTCTCCAGACTGATAAACACCACCTTTTTGTGCCGCTATAAACAAGACCTGCATGTGGTATTGTGCGTCACCAATAAAAGAAACCGTCAGCGCCCGCAATCGCTCGTGATCCCCCACTGCGGCGAGCAGCGCCACACTTCGATAAGAGACTCCGTATGCTCGGGCAACAGCTGCATGTGTCCGCATTCCTGGTGGTCGCGGGTTGACCTCTAGTATGAAGACCGTAGGAGTTGCACTTTTGGTGTTCTCAATCTCCGGCTTCGCTTCAAGGTCTAGGACGCCATCTTTCCCTAAGACGAAGTCATAGCTGGAATTGTGAACTCGGGCTTCTACATGGAACATGCCAGTCCTAAAGCCCATGGCTAGGGCCGTAGCATGTACTTTTAGGCGGAGAGCGTCCATCTCACTCTCTGGCAAGGCAGAGGGCATGGCATTCAAGGTCTCAATAAATCCCTGTCCGTCGCTATCGCCGGTGCTTGGAAAGTCATCGTTAACTTCAAAGAAGACGATTTCTCCGTCTACAAGCACCAAATTGGCGTCAACTTCAGGTCCATCAACGTAGGGTTCGACCAAAACTAAGCCGTGGCTGTCTCGGCCATACTTGTCCGAGAAAGGAGGTTGCCATAGTCGAATCACTGCATCTCGCAGTTCCTCCTCGCATGTTACTTTGCATACACCCTCTGAAGCCCATCCATTCGCAGGTTTAACAATGAGCGGCAGAGAGAATGGCAGAACACTCCTATAGCGAGCCACAACGTCTTCAAGATCTGAAATACTTTGTATGCGATAACAGAATAGGCTCTGATCGAATTGGCGGGTTTGATACTTATCACGTGCCGCCGCTACTGACTTCGGCAACGAGGTAGAGAAGCCTAGCAATGTGGCAGCTTCTGCAACTACGGTGAGGAGAGGCTCATACATGCCAATTATGCCATCAATTTGTTTTGGGTAGTTAGACACTGCCGAGGCGATCCGCCTAGGCATGTCCTCAGTAAAAGCCATATCCATAGGGACAAAATCTTCGCGCAGGTGTTCCCATTCGGCATCTGCAAGTCCATGGCATGGGTCATCAAAGAACACGAGTACCATGTTGAGCGATGCAGCCGTTTTCGCAAGATCTTCAAGCTTTGAGAGACTGAGGAGATGTGAAGGAGGACCAGGACGGATCACTGCCAGACGTCGCTTTGGGGTCTGTTTTACACAATGCCATGCGAAAGAGAATCGTCTCGTTAGCTCTGTGTTCGATTTTGCAGCTTTGATATCGGACCAAGCTCTGCTTGTACATGACATGACCATGGCTCCGACAGCATTTTCTGAGATGTCGGCAATGTCGAGCACATTACAAGCATCAATGTCAACAATTTTGAGATATTGATCAAGCGAGACGAACGTCTGCACCTCCACAACATTGTTACAATCAACTAGGCGCCTGTCTAAAAAATCCGATTGAACAAGATACGCGCCGACAGTTGGAAGCAGGAGTCGAACAATGCAATCGTTTGCCGCAAGACGAGCCACGAGGAATTTTAAAGATAAAGAAGACTCCGAAGATACATTAATCTGGTCTTCTTGAAAGCCGCGGGGCATTTCGCCATCTGGTATTCTTTTCAACACGTCTACGACAAGCAGGGAAGTTTGCTGTGGCAGGAGGTGAGCTCGCCATGCAATTTCCATTGTGCTGACAACTTTCCGTTTGTGAGCTTAAATTGGACAATGTAGACGAATACAACTCGTCAATAGCTCTGAAGATTCTAGCAGCGCCTGAGAAGTCGAATCATGGTAGACGAAGATATTCAAGAATTTAGAACAGCAAACGAGATCTGAAAGCCCTTAAGTGCCAAGAGTTGTGAGACTTTAAACCTGGCTAGATAACGTAGCGGATGTAGTATTCCAAATAGATTGATCATAGCAATGAATCTAGAATCAAGAATATATCATCGTTCGATTAGGGTATGGATTGCAAACGCTGCGTAGGACATGGCGGAACCATCAAGTATCCACTAATGTTCAAGTTTCGACACTAGCAGCCCACGCCCCCATTCTCGATCACGAATAGGACTTGTCAAGATCCCTCGTGCGTGCGCTCTACGATAAGCGCCATAAGCACTAACTGAATATGAAATGATCTTATGGGTTTTGACAAAGCATTTATCCATATACAAAGCCTCTCCATACAAGGATCGCTTGAATATATCCCATTTGTGCTTCGTCCTAACAACAGGCGGTCTTGCAAACGTGCCATTACAGTGGGACGCTGGACAAGCGGGTCTGAGCCGATAAGAAAATAAGCTCTGAGACCCGAGTGATAGAGTGACATCGTGGGATGCTGAAGGATTCCTCGATCAATATAAATTCCATATAAGGAAGGTGGTGTTGACTTAATATATCAATAAAGTTATTGTAAGCTGAAAAACTAATCTTCAAGTTTTCTGCAACAATGATCTGAGCCGATAGGAAAATAAGCTCTGAGACCCGAGTGATAGAGTGTCATCGTAGGATGCTAAAGGATTCCTTGATCAATGCAAATTCCATACAAGGAAGGTGGCGTTGACCTTATATATCATCGCAAGCTGAAAAACTAATCTTTAGGTTTTCTGCAACAGTGATCAGAAATTCCCACTGTAGACCTCGATGCTGAGATTTTAGCTCTTCTGTTGATATCACAGTCCCCGCACAAAAGGTATCAAACATGAATAATTCGCTGACATCGAAGCCACGGGGTGTGCTCCTGCTCGTCTTACGGATGTACGGTGGTGGAGTTATCAATAGTGTGAATTCAAGGGTAAATTTCTGGGCAGTAGGTAGATCTCGACAACAAGGACATTGCAACATTATGTCGAAGATACATTCTTATACCTTTCTAAATAGTATAAAAGGGCTGTGAAGTCTTATTTTTACCGAGTTCGTTGTTAATGGCCCAAAGATATCACTTGCACTATTAGTCATGGGGAACTTACTACTTTTCCTTGTACCTTTGGCTTTAGTCGTTGCCGTTGTTCATATAATCAGAGCAGCGACCTCGACCAAAAAGTATGGATCAGCTCAGTTACCACCTGGCCCTCCAGGGCGGGATCACTCGAAACTCTTGGATAATGATCGTTGGAACATGTTCAAGGCTTGGAATGATCGATATGGTTGGTCATATATTCTCTTTGTTTTGAAGTTGCCTTGTTGACAAAGCGTTACAGGAAATGTGGCGACCTTTTATACTGGAAACCAGCTGAACATTGGTATGTCTTATGTAGTCATTGAGGCACAGTGGTTCCGCCATAGTAACTTTATCAGTGCTCGGAACAATGGAGGCAGCTGTGGACGTTCTCGAAAAGGCCGGTGAAACGTTCTCAAGCCGTCCACATTTCATCATGGGGTAGGTATCTTTCTCAGTCCAAAAATACCTGGACTAGATGTTTACACAAATTAGGGAGTTTCTCTTTTCAAGACTGCGTGGCTTCTCAATGACCTACGGACCTAAATGGCGAAATTGGCGAACGGTTTGACTTCCTTCAAAAATGTGCAGATTAGGGCCTAACTCGTCTGTTTTAAGCTTCAAAACTCGCACTTCAGTCCCCAAGTAGCATCTAAAGTCAAGCCGATGCAGATCAGTGAATCAGCTGTCTTGATGCATGACTACCTGACCAATACAGACCCTTCTAAGCAACATAAAATCCTTCGAAGGTATGTTGTGTTTAGACCATTTAGAAATGGAGGGTTAAGATTGACTTTCATAGATACACGGCATCTCTAATGTTTTATATGGGATATGGCCGTCGCGTTACGTCTCTTGATGATCCGCTTTGTGTGAAACATGACCAGGAAGAGGAATGTAAGTGCAACCTCCATGTCTATCTTTAAGATGTTTTCTAATCTTAGTAGATATTGAAAGGTATCTTGCAATCTACACTATGCTATATGAGAATATGTTCACCGGATACTCATTCTATTTTTAGTACAAAGTAAGTGTTTTTGAATGAGTTTATCTTAACATTTTGTGCTGAGTCATATGTACCAGAGTACCCGGACGATTTCCTCTTGAGAGCGTAAGTGAACTTCCCAGCATGTAGTAATGGCACACAACTGATAATTTGATCAGTGGCCTATCATGTTATGGCTCCCTGTAAGTTAATCACACTTCCCGGAGTAAGAGTAAGACTAATGGCTTCGAAGCGTCCTTTGCAGTGGTTCCGCCATGAGCCTGAGAAACACAGAGACACCAACACAAAGTTGTATACGACGGCTATGAATGAGGTCAAGAGAAAGATGGAAGACGGCACTGCTGTCCCATGCACATCCACTTATGGTCTCACAAAACAGAAGGAATTAGACATGGAAGATGACGTCGAACTGGCTTATGCTCTTTCTGCTCCATGGGCTGCCGGAATTGGAACGGTGAGTTTGACTTGTCTGGTTTTGTTAAGACTGCAAACTGATATGGTATAGACTACTACTGCATTTGAGATAGCAATTTGTACATCTCACCCTGCCAATTGGTATTCAAAACTTTAATGTTCTAATCTTTTGTAGTGGCCATGTTACACTACCCTGAGTGTCTCCAGAAGGCAAAAGCCGAAATCGATGAAGTTGTCGGACAGGATCGCATGCCCAACTTTGAAGATCAGCAATCTCTACCTTATTTGGGAGCCTTTATACGAGAAACATTGAGGTATGTGTCATAGGAAGATGATATGGAGATTTTCTAATAAGTCTCTTCTAGATGGCGACTTGTAACTCCCACTGGTATTGCACATTCATCAACTCAGGACTATACATACAAGGGCATGTTAATCCCGAAAGATGCATCTGTATATGCCAACGCCGCGTGAGTCCTCCATTAACCAAAAGGCGAGTCCATACACTGACATATTATGCATTAGCGAGATTATGAAAGATCCTGCTGTATTCCCCGACGGTGAAAAATTCATACCGGAAAGATTCTTAGAAACCAATGACCCCAGACTCCTCAATTACCGATTTGGCTGCTTCGGTTTTGGCCGAAGAATGTGTCCTGGTATGCACGTCGCACTCCAATCGTTATATATCGTTATCGCTCGGTAAGTGAATCTCCTCATCTTCTCACATTTCCATTCCCCACGCAGCTCACAACTTCATTTTTGAAGAATTCATCACTGACCCGTCAATCCAGGTTAATCTGGGCCTACGATGTACTTCCTGTCACTATCAATGGCAAACCATATATCCCAGATGCGGACGATTTTACCTATGGCCTGGTCAGCTACCCCGCTAATTTGAAATTCGAACTTGTTCCCCGCAGCGAGAAACACAAGAATATTATTATCGCTGAGGCTGAGCGTGCCAATGCCGATATGGCACATTTGGATGGTTCCAGTGCTTCGTACGATATCTGATCTCAAAACTTGGTACTAGACGATATTACAGGAAAGTAAAAGTTTTCAGATTTAGACCACAGCCGAGCTTTGACATCCGAGTGAGATACGGGAAAGTGGACTAGAAAAAAATAGGTTGAGACTTGTCTCTCGATCTTGCCAAGTGTTCGATTTTGGCTTTCAGTTATTTCATTTCTTGGTTATTTGGCCTATTGGGTCTCTGTAAGCTATTCTAGCTCTCGAATCTGCTATGCGTGTACAATCTTTCAAGGCATTTCAATGCTTGTACATATATTAGATAGATACATAGAAAAATAAGAGAAACCCTTTCATATTCTTTAACCATTTTAAACTTGGGCATGTGGTTTCTCCAAATATCTCCATTTTCTATATCGTACGGTATACTGACCTATTGAACTTCCTCCTACGAATACAACTGAATAATATTTGCACTGAACACCTTTAGTCCAACCTAATTACTCATCGAAAGTAAGTCATAGTCTTCCAACGCCAAACCACATAAAGCGTGGATCCCAAGCCGCGGAGCGAACAATCATCCTAATTATATCTATGAATATGCACCAATATTCAACTATTTGACGAGAAAAGCAGATCTGCTAGGGTGATTTCTGTGCTTTTCACGTAAATTTGCAAGTTGCTCAGAAGGAGCTCCCGTGGACAGTGATGGAAGTAGTGTGAATTAGTACTGTACCATAGTAGCTGATATTGAAGTATTTTACTTTAATCTATTTATATTATAATATTATGTATTGTAGGATGTATTTGTTTTGATATATAAAACATAAATTAGTGTATCATAATCTATAGAACGCTCATTATTATTGTTATTAATGATATAAAATTCAATAGTGTATATTTTAATATATATCCGAGAATTCGATACACTTTACTGTTATCGAGGAGTACAGGAATTGCATCATGGAATGCTGCCATCATCGCTGTGGAGTTGGCTCCTCCGGAATGGGGATTATAGAACGTAGGGCTTACCTGAAGCATTTGTTGTTTTTGGTGCATTTTGGGAGGTTATCTAGAGTGAAGGTAGTATTGAACATTTTTAAAACTGGTGGCTCAGTGTAATATGAATGAATTGCAGGTCTCCTGAATATACTAGGCCTCTATAAACAAATAAATCTTAATAACTAGGATTATCTATTGTTTCTCTATGATCTATATAAATCGAGTAATGCTCGATGCACATGAACCATAATACCGTTGACTCGTATCAACATATATATAAGACTTACGTCAACATCAAGGATCTTCCTCCAAACGAATTTCATGTCCATTCCCTTCGTAAACCAACCAACTCGCGCCAAAAGCAACAAAAGCTTCAATCATTAGTATCCACCACGCCATACCCACCACCCCCTTTTTCAAGCCTTGCCCATACACCGCACTAAAAACGAGCGGACCCAAAGTTCTGGCTCCGGCACTCACGCTCTGCGCAATACCGTGGATAGTGCTGAGGACACTCGGGTGCGGCGTGCAGTTATTGATAAGGATGAGCGAGCTGGGAAGCGCAAATGTACGGCCTGTAACAATGAGAAGCAGCAAACTATAAATTCCAATCCAAATCCATGGGCCGTCTGCTGCATGTGGTGACTCTGATTTCGTTGGAAATAATGCTAGGAATGGAGCAAGTGCATAAGCGAAGGGGAAAAGTGCTAGAGCATAGCGGTATGCATATAAAACGCCCAAACGGTGCGTTACCCATGAATAGACACCGAATTGTAAAGTCAGGCCCATGGCGCCGATGATACCGATTGCTGTTCCAATGATAACCGGTGAGAGGCTTAAGCCTCCTGTGAAGAAGAAGGGAGGGTGTGGTGTATAATCTGGCGGGTTTGGGCGGGTAGGATCAAAGCGAGGCGTAGAAAGGAACAAGAACCAAAGATTTTGAAATGCGCTTGTATGGCCTTGTATAAGCCCATGGGCGACCATAGTTGCAATGATATTGCGACGAAGTATGCGGCGAAATGGTAGTTTCGCACGTGGTTTGTACGAGTTTTTGGTTTCTTTGGTATATTCAGGAGGCATTGTCATTTCAATATCGTGAAAATTATCCTCAACTTCTAGCGGGGCATATTGAGACTGTCGCGGCCTGCAACAAATGATCCGAGCCATGAATCGACCCAACTTGAGGCCTGGATCAGAGAGATGCTGACGATCCATATGTGTCTGAAAAACGTGTGAGTGGAGTTTAAACAGGAACTGTGAGCTTTTACATACCTCTTCAAGACCCAAAATTACAAGGAAAAGCGAGACAAACAACAGTAAAGCATTCAACAAGTTTGGTAAAGCATATGGATACTTCAGCATCCATCCCACACCTTCTATGCCACCAAGCTTGCTTCCTGGCCCAAATGCCCGGGGAAAAGTGTGGACCGGATTCTGTAACCAACCACCAAGCAGGGGACCAAAAAGAACACCAACATTGAACATGATGGGCATCAACAAGAAAGCCTTAGTCTGATACTTCTTCTCGCGAATGATTTCAGAAGTCATCGTCCGCATAATGCTAACATTGCCGTTCAAGGCTCCGCCAAGGCAACGAAAAAATAGTGCAGGAGCAAAAGACCGGCAAAATCCAATGCCAATCGTGGATGTAAGCGTTCCTAACAAACCGATAATGAGTACATTCTTTCTGCCCACCGAGGCCTTGTCAGCCACACGACCCCATATCATAGCTGTGATGCACTGAGCGGCTGTAAAGCCGCCTGCAAGGTAGCCTGCCTGCGAAGAAATGGCTGAGTCCGAAAGTGATGGGTCAAAAAACCGCAGCATGAAGAACATGTAGGAGTTTATGCTGGATTGGACTATGGGCTCAGCCATACGCGCGAGGGCTAGGATGAAAAGCTGATCTTTTCTGGGCAGAGAAGGCCATGATGCCGGCTTCTCATTCTCGTTTTTAGGTGGCATACTGGCTATATCATTTGAGTTCCCCTCTTTCTCGGCGGTTCGAGTAGCTTTGGCTTTGATGAGCTTGATATGCTCATTGTCACTGTCACTTAGAGCGATATCAGAATTCTCGTCTAAGGAACATCTAGGTGAAAGATCGCTTGTCCGTTTTTCATTCTCTTTGTCTGTATCTATGTTTGGGGTATTGACTGTAGAGTCGGTGGTATGCTCGGTCTTGCTGTCGCCTACCACTGGCAACATTATTGCTGAAGCAGTGAAAGGATATTCGGCAGCTCCGGCAGCTGAGATGTTACCGTGCGCCTACACTTCAGTAGAAAAAGGTAACCTAGCCGATGAGATACAATGGACCCCACGAAGACAAAAATGTCACTTAATCTTTTGCGACGGGCGGCACGGGTTTGTGGGAAAATCTTGCGTGTAAAGAAGCCAAGAGCAGAATCAAAAAGACAAGGACCCTTTACGTCGCAGTCACTAGCAGGTAACGAAAAATCCTTCAATGAACATGGTAACTTTCAGGCGATTTTGCCACCCCGGTTGGTACTGGGGCTGCTATGCACCGAACCCTGCTTTTTAAAAAGTTGGAAATCCTACTGTGCAGATCGCAACCATCATGGTTGATAAGTGCAGGTCAGCAAATAACCGCAAATCGCTTGAACGACCTCAGGAGTTGCACTTCGATTGCAACGCTTTTGAACTAGTATTCAGCCACTAAATGCTTATCTCTAGACCCCAGTCCCGCGCTAGTGAATCCACTTATGGTAACAGTAAGCACAAAACAAGTTTTGTCCTAATAACATAGACTTATCATCTACTCGGGGTAACTGGGTTCTTCAACGTTTTAGTCCATGCATAACAGGTAGCACGTACTGTACAAAGCTTCTACCAATCGCGGAGCTCCTACCCTCCCCCCTTACCCTTCCCCTCTTACCCTTCCCACGGCTGGCTCCAACACGTAACTCGCAAAGGATCAAAGGATTAGCTAGCTAGACCGCCTTTTTCAGCTTTCGCTTTTGATGTACATCTTTTTGTCCTCGTGAACAATTCCGTCTCCCAAGGACAAAGGCATTTTCAAATATATAGACAGTAAATATGACCTATGAAATTGAAATTTTTTGAAATATGCGTTCTTATATGCCATCATGGAGCTGTCATTGTATACTGGTAGTGGACAACAATTGGTTGGACGATGTATCATTGTGATCGTAGTCATTGCCTTAGGTCTACTATTGCCGAAGTGGAAAAGATCCAGGCATATCCGGAATCTGAAGCGGCGACACAATTGCGCGGAAGCAAACAAGTATCCTCATCAGGATGTTCTGGGAACAGATCTAGCTCGCATTCGAGCTCAGGCAGTCAAAGAAGGCCATCTTTTCAGATTGTACAAGTCACAATTTGACACTTACGGCAAGACTTTCTCCGAAGTCTGGCGTGGTACGACGCTGTTTAATACAATAGAGCCGGCAAATATTCAGCATGTAGCGGCATGGGCTGCGGAAGATTTTGGCAAAGATCCTGATAGAGAAATAGCTCAATGGCCGCTTTTGGGACCCAGCATTTTCTCAGATGGACATGCCTGGAGTTTGTCGAGAGATTTGGTGAAACCCATATTTGCCAGGGCAGAAGTGTCGGATCTTGATTTCTTTGCTTCTTGTGTCGACAAGTTTTTGAAGTTACTTCCGGAAAAAGGCGAGACATTTGACATTCAGCCATTGCTGCATAGACTAGTATGTTAACCGCAGAGAGTTTTTGGATTATGGCACTAACTGCTACTTAGTTCTTGGATTCCTCCATGGATTTCATTTTTGGCCGCTCTTTAAATGCTCTACAAGCGGAAGCCTCACCTGAGAGTGTTGAATTCACTGAGGCTTTCACTACAGGACTGAAAGAAGTCAGTGCTCGGCGCGATGCGCCATGGTTTCAATTCCACTACCAGCGATTCATTGAAGGCCCCATTTGGAAGAAGGCCTACCAGACCGTTCATCGATTCGTAGATGGACAAGTACAGTTGGCTCTTGTAGATACAGCAAAAGAGGAGGCTAATTATGGAAATTCAGGGAGGAAACGCTATGTCTTGCTCCACGAGATGGCTAAACAGATCCGGGACCCTATTGCGCTCCGATATCATGTATTAGGTTTCTTCGCACCAGCACGGGATGTGACTTCTAGGCTAGTAGCTAATGCCATGTTCCAACTCGCCAGGCATCCGAATGAATGGGCGAAGCTTCGCCGCATTTCTTTAGAGCTAGGCGACGCCCCGCTGTCGTTTGGAAAGCTAAAACAACTAGCCGAGTTCAGGTATGTGTTGCAGGAGACCATCAGAACCGTTGGGCCCGCAGCAAGAATATGGCGTGCTGCCGTACGCGACACAATTTTACCAAAAGGAGGAGGTTACGACCAAACGCAGCCGGTGTTTATCCCTCGAGGGTCACCAGTAGTACTCGGCACATGGTGCATGAACCACGACAGTGACATCTGGGGCGATGATGTGGAAACTTTCAGGCCTGATCGATTCGTTGGGCGTAAGATGAACTGGGAATTCCTTCCGTTTTATGGAGGACCAAGAATATGCCCTGCTCAGCAACAGGCCATGATCCAGGCTACTTATGTGCTGGTGCGGCTGACACAGATGTTTGAGATAATCGAGAACCGGGATTCAGAGCCAGAATTCCTGCAACTAATCAAGATGGGTGTTGAAAGCATGAACGGGGCTAAGATTGCTTTCAGATGATCAATGAGTTATCTCCGAAATAGACGAGTGAGTAGTCCAGTGGAGGAAAGATATCAAAATCGAAGACGAGGCTCAGCAATCATATCCCCGTATCGGTTCAGGCTACTTGTGTAAGTAGGAAGAAGATTCATGGCTATAGATGTGGCATAAATTGGATGGCCAAGATCTTACAACCCAAGTCTTGGCTCAAGACAAGAACATGCCTTATGAATTATTGAGATACCTTTAGGAAGGCTTAGTGGCATTCAAAATGTCGACGCCTTGCTCAGGCTGCGGTGGTGACATGGAACCAGAACGATCTCTTGATTTTCAGGAAATTCCAGTCTTGTATGTAAAACTTCACTATTATCAGACAACTTCTTCTAAGGATGTCTCCATCTGATGCTGCCTGTGAAAGTCAACAATGATAGGCCTTGCCCCTTTAAAAGAAAGACCCGTCGCAAATTGCATAAATTCCCTTCTCTGTATTGCGTAAACCCCTCTAACCTCAGCATCCAACGTTCAGATAAGTTGCGGTGCGGCAAGTGCATTAGATCACACAGAAGTATTGCAAAGAACGGTTGAGTGATTCTGAAGTTATCTTGGTCGCGGTGTACTTACTGTGTTTAGTACTTTGCAGCAATGGCACGGGTAATGTGAAGTATGTATGCTACTCAACCAAACTCGTTCTACCTACTTCTCAGTCGCCTTTGTAGTAACTGTCTTCATATAAGTTGTTAAAAAAGCTTGGATTTTTAATGTGCCAAAATGCATTGGTGGTAGAACCTCAACTTACGTAATTGTTGCATGCTGGCAGAAAAAGGCGGTATACGAAAGTAAAGCGACATCAATCTTCAACCACCACTCATGCTTCAATCATCATTATCGTCCCTACCTACCTTTAGACGAGATATCAGATATCAGAAAGCTACCTAGCTGGAGTGCTTGTATTTTTTCGAACTTTGTCAAATCTTTAGATATACTATGCGGCGACTCTGTTCCATCTCACGAGCGCTTGGAATTGACCTTGACATTGTTCTCAGGATTGTAAATAAGTCCAGAAAGGGGTCGCCAGGAGGGAAAGAATCGAGTACTACCTTGGTCTTATAATGCGCAGAACTCTTATGAACTGCTTTTTGGGGACTTCTCGATAGGTCAAACCATATTTCAAGGTCTGCACACTAATTGGCAATGCCGCTCCACACTATGATCATCGTCTACTGCGCCGTTCTTCCCCTTCTCCCCCTTCTCTTCTAATTTTCTAGTCTTAAGTCGCATTGAAGCTTTCCGGGAATTTATCATTAATAACAGGAATAGGGTGAGCCAGTTCCCAGACATGTTTAATTCTGTTGAACATGAAAGCTACTAAATCTTCCCTTCCCCACAGCTTTACAATCTCTATTTCCTACCGTTGACTGGGAAAGATTCTTTGTGGGACTTATAGAGCCAATAATTAGGTTCTGCCATAGCTGTCTAAGGCAGTATATTGGTGTTCTTTAATGTTTGAGTTGGGATGGTATAAAAGCTAATAACTAGTCAACTATTCTTGTGAGGTTGACAGGTCTACCGGACAGGTCGACCGGGAGACAACAAGCTTGACCGTATCGCAGACTTAGGAGACATATCCCAGACACATCACCTCTATGATTGAAGTCTCAATAACCTTCCAACAACAATTGAATCTGTTTCGAAGATAGATTCTTACAGAACCTTTGCAAACTTCTGCAGTTCTTCAGACCATGCCATCATTACTGTGAAAATTTTGGCCCCGCTACCTAGGAATATTTATTGTTGAAGGTATGTGTTTCAATTGTACGGAAGTTCAGAATCATTACATATCAACTAACCCTTTTGTGTCCTCTTCTAGATCACTGAGCTTTGCTCTTCATATGTCTGGGACACCCGACTCATCATATAAATAGCGGGATATTCTTTAATGAGCTTCCCTTCTGAACTTATTCAACCTTCTTCAGTGTCGTTTCTTCTTCATGAACTTCGAAGCTATAAGTCAGGATCTTAGCTAAATTGCGATCTTTCAAAAGCTATACTGCATTGCACCTGGAGCTATGATAATCCTGGAAGAAAGCTACACTGGCATGTTGTTTACCTGACCATCAGAACCAATGCTGGCTTGAATCCGATGAAATACTCCAAAATCTATTAGTCTGATACCAACGCCTTCTATATCTAGCTACATTTCAAATTTGCCACGACTTCCGGAAAGCAGAGAAGCAATTCTTCACACATTTTATTAGCCTCGTAATACAGTCATCACAGCACAGTCACGGCTAGGGTTTGAGCAGTTATAAAAGTCAAATATATATATATTCGGTCCAGGTCATCAGCGAATGAGTGCAAAGGCTCAATGACCAAAAGTCGTGAGTAAATACAAACTCGATAGCATCCAACGCACCAATATGAAAAACATCCTATCTTCTTATCACAGATCATATATTCATCGACAAAACAAAGCAAAACCCAAGCTATTGTATTTCAGAAAATCGTAAACAAATATTTCAAATAAATCTCAACTTTGGAAAATATCAGTAAAGGCACGAGACATATTGTAAGAGAAAATGAATCGTGTTTACCTTGAGATGGACCGGAATGATCTCAACATAGTTCATGGGAAGTTGTGGTAGTTAAATGCACCAAGAACTCTGTTCGGAAAGTTGGGCTCTTGACGCATCATTGTCTCAACTCTACCTAAGGTTTCAAGGATACCAGCTCTATGAGTTGTGTCGGAGATTTTGTTGAAAAGGATACCAATTGCTGGAGCACCAACCAAAGGAGAACCGCCGTCCATGACCATGATGGTCATGTCAGAGCGTGGATATCTATTTGGTCTGGTGTAATGGACATCCTGGATCATGAAATGCATGTACAGGATGTTGTTAACCGTATGATCGATATAGTTTGCCTCGACGACCACAGATTCAAGTAATGGTAGGTTCTGGACGATCCGAGCAACTGTCTGAAAGTTATCGTGGAATTCCTGAGCCGGAAGGCAAACATGACGGATACTTGAAAACTCTCCACGAAACCTAAGAGCGCCGATGAAATCGAGAGGTGGCAATTGTCCATTAAGGGAAAGAAGGGACGCGAAGTCGATACAATCAATATCGGGGTTGACGAAAACACCCTTCTTTTCTCCATGGTATTTGGCAGGATTAAGTTCGAACATTGGTCGGTAGACACCAACCATTGCTGACAAGGCTCCCTTAGATGTGTTGAGAAACTTTGGACGCCTAGCTCCAACTACCGTGTACTCATTATCATCAGGATGTAGGACAACATCAACATTTTCTTCGACAATTGTAATGATCCGGGGGTAATTCAACGACACCATCACCCAAATCTTATCCTGGAGCTCAGTGGCAAGCTTGCGAAACAACGGAAAACCTGTGACTACCGGGTTGACTTCAACTTGAACTACCGTGAGGGTTGCGCCGACTGGCGTGTTTTGTACGGACTTCTTTTCAAGATGGAGCCAGTCGAGCTGGTCTGATTGCTTGTCACAGATCTTGTTTCCAAGCGCGAGATCGAGCCATTCGGTCTTAGCAAAATCAGCGACAGTTGCAAATGGAGTTCTAGCGAACAAGCTGATGTTATGGCTGCTCGGCACAAGTTAGATTAGCATAGTTCATCAAAGTTGATGCCGAGATAGAGGTCTTTTCAATGGGAAGTACTTACTTGATGGAAGACATGATGTTTGGCGGCTTTATAACTTTAGATGAGGAATGCGATTATGTCAAGTGTCGGTCAAAAATGACGCTCTAAACCAGTACCGAAAGTTGATTAGGTTAAGCTCCCCGAGCCTGTAGAAACAGCTGAGAGATTTGAAATCTGATGAGCTGCGTAAGTAGTTGCTCAACACCCAACAGCTTTGGTGGATTCCAAAAGATGCTGCTAAGCGGAGAGTAGAGATCACTTACAGATCGAAGATGGGCAAAACTTGTCAAATTACTTCCAGTGGGACAGGAAGGCCAGAGAACCGTGGTCCTTGGGAAATATGGGTGCTGAAGTGGATCTCGAAGTCGGTAAAGAACGACAGAGAACCTTCGAAGTGTTGGATTCAAACTGCTGTCGTGTAAGTAGATGTCCAGGTCTCAGATATTCAGCATAGTGGAAGACTATAGCACTTACAAGTTGAAAGAAGAAGAAAAAGGTAAGTTCAAGTTGAAAGGCTACTTTGAGATTTAGTTATGCAGTCTTCGATCTTGGTGTGCTATGAATGGATGTATTGGACCAGGATTTCTGGGTCAAGTAGAGGGGAAGATAAGTGACAAAGGTTCATGTTTCGAACTGGGGAAGGTTGAGAGAGAAAAATATGTGTGAAAAGGTATCCGTTTGAAGAAAACGTATGGTGGGATCAGATTCGTGTGAAGTTGAGGAATGAGTGATACACGCCCAATTAAGAAAAGCGGGAATGTGTTGTGCAAGATATGATGATTGCAAACGTGAAGATTTGTCTTTGAAGACAAGACCGGGCTTCACGGGTGATTGTGAAGAGCATTGAGCCGTAGAGTGGCGGTGGTAGGTATAGAAACAAGAATCGTGGATTGTGGAGTGTGGAAGTAGGAAAATTTTAATATCAGCTTGGAAGACTTGACTTACTCAGTAGTGAGTATACGGTTTTCTTCTACAGAGAAGGTGTCGAGAAAGTCCTGTTGAATGAAAGTCAGTACTGGTGATCTCGAGGTTGATGAAGCAGCCAGTTTTGGCTGAAAGTATTGGGCGGGACTGACGTGGTGTTGAATGTGAAACGATGAAGACTTAAGATGGCACTTACTTCAGATGATTTGCACTTGAATTGTCTGTGTAAAAGGCCTGAAAATGTGAGTCTCTATTTGATAGATCGATGGTTCCTTCTGTGGTAATATGATATATCTGGGGACCTTGATTTTAAGATGGAATTTGAGGAAGATGCAAGTGCGTTTTTTCAGATAATAGCTTCGGAGTACTCACAATAGAATCAAAAGCAGAAGAATCTTCTCGCAAAGCGATGAAAGTAATAAAAAAAAGAGCGTATGTTGGCTATTGTCTTTTCCAAAGTTGTATTCTCTGAGTTTTGTTGAAAGTGGTTATTGTGCGAGAGAACAATAAGTTTCAGATATTCTAGTCACGTTGCTGTACAGCAACAAGGCTCTACATCTTAGCGAGCAAATGATTTCTTGAGAAAATTGGGCCTTCCAACATCGGTTTTCTTATGATATTACCTTACTAATTAGGTGATGGATGGGAAGAGTGTCTTATGGTTATATTGTTTGTGGTAGCAGCAAGAAATTTTACAAAGTGAATATGTTAGTGAATCAATAATGGTGAAGAGCTCTTCGGAAGGCATCAGCTATACCTTTGTCATAGCACTTATAGAGGTTCCCCTCAATTTACCTACCTGCTTTGCCTCGTGAGGCTGAATGTGATGACTAGCTGGACTACCTGGGAACTTGTCCATATCCTATACTCCCAAGCCGATATCTCTTGCTGCCACTATACGATCTTACCAAGAACGCTGCAACGCTGCACCCTCTTGCTTCCTCTATACTTACCAACATGCACACTGTCGTAAGTCTCCATTACCTTTATCCACAAGACCCACTAAATGGGTTGTGTCTACATATCACTATTGATACAAGAATCGGTCCCACATCCTCTACACTACATGGCCGTCCTTTTGATATGCTGATCAGACCCCAAAGTGCAGGTCCAAGGATCCGATTCGAGCTCGGCGCAGAACAGACCCTTATAACCATTCACAACTCAGGCAAGAAAATAACCACCTGCAGGCTACGAATCTACGTTACTCCTGCTGCTGTTCCTACGAAGATCGAGTTTACTAGCTGTTAGAGCTGGATACCTATGCGCAGTGCTATCTGCTCTCAACATCCCTTGAGTTCCCCGGCAAAGAAAAGAAGAGCTTCTTCAAGTGAAACCGTACTCGTAACCGCAGCATATGCCCAAGGGTTACCAATATCTCGTGCGGAAAGAGTCATCAGTCATCAGTACAATCTCCGGATTCAAAGCGAATTCAGAAGAGAAGAGAATGCCATGCAGAGTTGTCTTATCCTAAAAAAAGACAGTGTTGCGAGCAAACGAAGCCACGAACCCTTTATTTACACCTCCCTCCATTATATATACATTTTTGTCCTACATACCATACGTTCGCTACAATGCACGTTTCTCCTCCATAACCCTTTACACGGCGAAAATTAAGCGAAGTCGCATCACAAAAGAAGCGATGAACATTACTAATTCTGTACATGATGGTTTGCATTTACTTACCCATTCATACTTTGTAGATCTATAGATATGATTAAAGCGCTCTCTTCAATCTCATATCAACCATGATATGAAGAACTATCACTGGTGAGCCCTGAGTCCAATTTTCAAACATCCATGCGTCTTCTCTATTCCTACCTAACTACACTGAACATTGTCCGCTATTTCTCTTTTTTTCCCTCACCTCCTCTCCATCTAATCTCCCACCACACCACACTCCCACAGGCTTACCATCTCCTCAATCCCAGATCCCAAAAGTAAACAAACAAACGAACGAACACATCATCCCCAATTCTCCAATTCCCCCACAACCCCTGCCAATCCCAGCCTTCCCGTTCTACCCTAGTAGGTAATCAAAAAGCAAAACCTGAAACGTACTAAAAACTAAAAGAGATCACGTCATCGCTTATTTACCCAATAATATGATGTGATATGTTTCGGTTTTGAAATTTGAATAGAGTTAAACTGTTAAGGAAAAGTGAGGAAGGGATGAGTTGAAGATGAAGAAAATAAAATATTTAAAAGACTCGGGAATGAAAGTAAAAATAAAAATAGTTTTTAGGGTGAAAGAAAGTTGTTGGTACCTATGGGTTGAGGTGAATGTAAGTGAAATAGGAGGGAAAGGAAAGAGAAGGAGATGGTATTGATAATTTCATGTCTAATACCTGGTATGGTGGTATAGTCAACAAGAGTTTAACCTTTTTCAGGCAAGATGGTCAATCATGATTCAACTAAAACTAGATATTTAAACTGGCCGTTCATTCGGTTGTGGATGTCAAAATATTGATGATAAACACATGGATATCTCATCTGGTCCAGGAAGAGTGGAATATATTCAATTTATCAACAATTAACGCCAACCAAGTACACCTATTCCAATCCCTTTGCCAGTAACTCCTGCCCTATCTCTTTAATTAAAGTTTCTTTTGGAAATGCCTTGGCCTTGTCCATTATAGTTTTCTGAGCATCCATACTTTTCAGTAAATCCACCAACTCTCCAGCTTTCGGACTTCCAAACACCAAATGACCAAACGCCAACAGATATCCCTTTAAAGCTTCCGGGGACTCTTTTTCTTCTTGTATAGCTTCTAATAATGACGCTGCAAGTTCTATTTGCTCGCTTTCTGGTAATACTTCTTTATGATCTTCTATACGAAGACTGGAGTTTGCAAATGCCATATTGAATGCAAGACTTGCGGCTGCGACACGAACATTATGATGCGCATCGTCAAGTAGAGAGGTAGTGATTAGTTGAACAAGCGGGTTGGTAAGAGTCGGACAACCGAGGATATGCTGAGGGTATAGTGGACTTGTGAAGAGATTGCAACCTGCTTGAAGTGCGACTAAACGAAGTGAGTAAGGGCAGTCCTTTAGACTATCAACATATGTAAATAGAGGAGCAATAGTTTTGTGGTTGCTCTCCTCAGCATAGTAACCACTAAGTCTGGGATCCACAAGAGCACATCGAAGAAGGTCAACGATTGTAAACATAATTTCAGTGGGTAATTTGGAGGGAGCTTCCCGGAGGAACCAACTAAAAGCATCTAGATCTGGCAGATGTGTCTCTGCTGCAGGTTTTGATTGGCCCTCCGAGACAAAGTGAAGAACTCCTTTGACTGCTGGGACATCAGCAGCAGGTCCCATCTTCGCTTTGAGTTTTTCAAGTGGTGGGACTTTCGTATAGATAACTGGCAGCATATCCGGGGCTCGAAGTGCTGGTAAACGTAAAGACTCGTGTGCATGAGGTGGGAATGCCATTTGTACAAGGAGCCCTACGTTTGCTCGAAGGGTCGCTATATCTCCTCCCGCCCAACGTTTCTCCTCCTCGCCTTGTAAGTAAGTCGCAAAGGAGGGCGTAGTAGTAACACCGTATTTCGTGGCAATCTCATATGACCGGGAGATATCAACTATTATGAGGATGGCTTTGCGTCCTGCATCCTTTGCAAGTTGCTCAAATACAGGGTATAAAGTCTTGCAAGGAGCGCAATTACGAGAGGTAAAGAATATGACTGCGCATTTCTTCTTGGCTGATTTCAAAAGATTATCCAACTCGGTAGATGTGGTCACATGTCGAACCTGGGACATCGATGCTTGCTGCTGTGGATCCTCCGAGCTTTGTATACCCAAAAGTCCGCCATTATTCATACTATTCAAGGTGACGTAGTCATTGAAGTGTGGTTGTACCATTCTGCCAAAGGGAGTGTTGAGTACAGTTTCTGGGAGATTCGTAATATACTCGGGGATTCCCTTGCCAACCAGAAAGGTGGCAAAATCGTTCGAGAAATTATTGCAGTTGTGTTTCCAGAGATCATACGCCTACATTTGAATTAGCTCATGGCTGAGGAGTAATACCAGAGGATAATTTACCTCAAAGGTGTAGATTGCTTTCAAAGAGTCGAGATATTCTAGAATCACATCCATAGGCAAATCTGTTTTCCCTAACTCCAGGACCTGCAATGGTTTGCCTAGATGGGTTGACCCAGGCCTAACAGTCTTGACGCCTCCATCGTAGGTATATTCAATACCCTCGAAGACGACTGAAGTATGATAGATAGCGTCAATTTGGACTCCTAAGAGGGCTCCCGATAAGTTGCGCGCTAGGCCTTTCGAAAGATCATAAATGTATAGCTGTACGTTCATTATTTTATTGCTGTGAATGTTGAGTATCTAGGTAGATCAAAGGGAAATGCGTATTCAGGAATATCCTTTTGGGGGTAGGATATGCGCAAATTAGGAGAAGAGAGAGTAACTGCTAGGTAGGAGATAGAAAGAGAAACCAAACTTAGGGGTTTTATTGTGGTAGCAATATTAACAATTTCATGTAGGCCATAAGATTAGTTCTATATCATTCTATGAAAGTAAAGCCATTGATTGAGATCTAGCAAGTACGTACCGAAGGCAGCTTCTGCATGACGATGTTCCGGAAACTCGGTTGAAGGGTGTGTCACTAACAGATTACTATAAAAACTCCGTCATTGATGGGTGCGATTAATAGATTACTAAGGAACTCCTGGTATCAGCCACTAGGGAGCCCTTTCACGATACTCGATAAGCAGAAATCTTTATCTCTACACCCCCACAAGCCCCATTCCTTCTAAATTAACCAATCATCCCTCGCCGCGATGCCAAATTTAGCCACAGTCTTCAAATTTAATGCAAGGGTACAGGTAAATTGTATTGTCCCCTATTTTCCAATTTCTGTCTTCTGCCCTTACTTTAAAGTTCTTCTGGAATTACTCGTACAGCACTGTTCTTTTTCCATCTTCATTTCCCCATTCTATTTCCCTGGCAATTACGCAAAAAGGATTTGGAACTTCACCAATCCTTTTCTATTTCATACTTTTCACTCGCTTTTTTCGTTTATATTACTAGACTTGAGTTGGTATTTAATCTAAGGTGGTTAGTTCTACTTGTCGCTCTTTCGCAGATGCGACGTACTTCTGTGTCTCTCCCATCGAAGAGTACATCACACGATCCTCACGAGAAACTTGCAAGATATAACAAATCGGGCGCAAACGAAAGCGCCGCTTCCAAGCTGGAGAAATCAAAGAACGCCATGATGACCCAAAGCCAGCGGTCAAGGTACATGAAGACAGGAGGAATCCTGCTCTTCGTCGTGTTCTTATTCTACTACCTGTCCCCAAGTGGAACCCAGGTATCAAACACTGGTATGCCATCTGGATACATTTAATATCACTCTCTAACATATAATAGTTGGAAATACCGCCGATGCAGTTAAAGGTGGAAATAATGGGCAATCACCATCCGACTCGACATATGGGACAACGAAGTGCTCGAAATCCTTTAGCAAGTCGAAGCCGATTGTTCAATATGCTATCATGATTGATGCTGGCAGTACCGGATCTAGAGTTCACGTATATAAATTTAATAATTGCGGCCCCACGCCAGAGTTGGAGCATGAGGAATTCAAAATGACTGAAAAGAAAGAGGGTGGTTCTGGATTGAGCTCTTATGGAGCTGATGCCGAAGGAGCTGCAAAGAGTCTCGACATGCTTATGGATGTTGCAGTGAAAACTGTTCCCGACGCACTCAAATCTTGCACCCCTGTAGCTGTCAAGGCTACTGCTGGTCTACGAAAACTTGGTCCGGAATTGAGCGCCAATATTCTAAAGGCTGTTCGTACCAGATTGGAAACTGTCTATCCCTTCGCAGTTGTATCTGATGAGAAGGGCGGAGTCCAGGTTATGGACGGTACTGATGAAGGTGTTTACGCTTGGATCACTACCAACTTTTTACTCGGCAACATTGGAGGTCCCGCTCCCGGAGATACTGCAGCAGTTTTCGATCTTGGTGGAGGATCAACCCAAGTTGTTTTCGAACCCAAATTCAAATTACCGGAGAAGATGGCTGAAGGTGACCACAAATATAAGCTTACTTTTGGCGGAAGAGATTTCGAGCTTTACCAACATTCTCACTTGGGATATGGTCTCATGGCAGCCCGTGAAACGATCCACAAGACTCTCATTGATGACATTCATGCAGCTAATCCTTTGGATCTCTCCTGGACCGCATCACCAATCATCAATCCTTGTATTGCACCAGGCATGAATCGATCCATCGATATTGCATTTGATGAGAAGCATCCTCTTCGTGCTAAGTTGGGAGAGAAGAATGAATTCGTCATGAAGGGTCCTTCTTCACCATCTCCAGCTCAATGCCGCAAACTAGCAGAGAAGATGTTGTTCAAGGAAGCCGAATGTAAAGTTGCACCTTGCTCTTTCAATGGTGTTCATCAACCTTCTTTAGAAAAGACCTTCCAGCATGAGGATGTCTACACTTTCTCATACTTCTTTGACCGTACCGACCCTCTTGGCATGCCAGAATCCTTTACTCTACGGGAATTGCATGATCTTACAAGCCAGGTTTGTGGTGGCGAGTCTCATTGGGATATGTTTAGAGGTGTTCCTGATGCCCTCAAGGAATTGAGGGATAGACCCGAATGGTGCCTTGATCTGAATTTCATGATGGCTTTGTTGCACACGGGTTACGAAATGCCAATTGATAGAGAGGTTAAGATTGCAAAGAAGCTCAAGGGTAATGAGCTTGGATGGTGTCTTGGTGCTAGGTATGTTTCATTCCCCTCTTATTAAATACTCTATCTAACAACGAACAGTCTCCCATTGCTTGAGGCTGGCTCCGGATGGAAATGCCGTGTCAAGGAAATCTCATAGATGGTCATGTAATGAGCCTCTAGATATGTATGATTCATGGATGATTGGCGTAATGAAGGGATTGATTCCGAAAGATCATTTAAGACTTAGAGGCATCACAGCTGTGTTTATACAACGGCTTTGATCGAGTAAATAATTCATGACATTTTATTCTTTTCCCTGCCCATTATGAAATAGATTACTCTCTGGGTATTCTGCGTTGCATTTTACTGAACATCATTCAACTTAGAAACATTAACCTTGATGAGGGGGAGATTCGCGAAAGCGCACTGGTAGGTTGTTTCCTTTCAGGGGTATTTCACGTGATTACCCCTCTGCATTTGAATAGCCGACGTCATCGACGACGTCTTGCCCAGCTCGGCGTTACAACTATCAGATATAGATATAAAAAAGTATGATTTATCCTCCAAGCTTCCTATCGACGACTCCATTGTGATAATTTGCGAGCAGAAACTCCCCATTACAGTTTCCAAATCCATCTATCTAGCCAGTCTAGCTAAAATGCAATTAATCACATCCCTCGCACTTCTTCTAATAACCATCTTCGAGCTCAGTTCCACCCTCGTCATATCCCCAGAATCATACAATTATGATCCTTATGAATGTAACGGTCTTCAGGCCGATAAATTCAAATCCTTCAAAGGCATTCGGAAGATGTACGTACATCCCACAAATCATCATATAAATCTCACAGGTACACCTAACTAACACTTCCCCCAGTCTCAAAAAATCATCCATCATCCCCGATGTCCTCGATCCCTTTATTCCATCCTGTTATCTTATTCCCTCCTATTTCCCTTCGTCTTCCTCCTCTTCCTCCTCGTCCCCAAAACCCAAAACGGTAAAATTAGGGAATACCCTACTCCCCTCACAAACACAATCCCCGCCCTCTCTGCAAATTTTCTGTCCTGGTAAAATGGTGGTTGAAGGTGGTTTGACGGTTATTCTTACGGATCCGGATGCGCCGTCGAGAGGTGATGATAGTTTGTCGGAAATGTGTCATTGGATTGCGAGGGTGCCCGAAGTAGTTATTGAGTTGCAGGGTGTGAGGGTGTGGGTTAATGCGTCAGATTTGGTGGGGGTTGTTGATTGTGGGTTTTTAGTCTTCTTTTTATTTTTGTTTTTTTGTCCTGCTTTTGTTTGGTGGGAGGAGTTGGAAAGAAATGCTATGATGGATGATTTGATGAGATTCCAATATTTACATGCTGACGATATATTCAGATAAAGCACCAGCGCCACCTAAAGGAACGGGTAAACATCGCTATGTATTTGTACTTTTGGAGGGGGAAAATGCGCATTTAAAAGGTCCGGAGGAGAGGAAACATTGGGGGTTTGAGGAGCCGGGAAGTGGTGTGAGGGAGTGGGCGGAGAAGGCAAATCTTACGGTTTTGGGGGCGAATTTTCTTTATGAGAAGTATCATGGTGAGGAAATGAAGGAGGGTAAGTTTGAAATTTAGTTTGGGTTTTGAGAGTTGCTTTGGGTTCTGGCTGTGGGGGAATATGCATTTGTAGAGTTTCAATGTTAGGTTGTGGGAAATGAAGACGATTATTGGAATCTCCAAATCATGGATATGCAGGATGAGAGTCGAAAGTTGGTTCTTGAGATAAGATGTCTGGACCTCGACCTAGTTGGATGAGAGTCGTAATGTCTTTTGTTTTTCTATTTTCTCTGATTTTCACTCTAGCAATAAAAGTATCTTAGTATCATCTATCGCCCACCTACTTGATGACCTTTATATTTGATATGTGTTATATATATCTAGCCCTAGTCTAGTGCCTGGAACATCTATTTCTCTTTTTCGATAGAAAAATTTCCATCTTAACCTTCCTCATCTACCAATTTCTTTTAAAAGAGTGCACAAAGTAGTGCGAATACTCCGTACACTGTTACATTTCTACCACTTTCTATGTTAGGAAGAAATTATACTAGAATTAAATTTAATAATTGTCGAGAACTTAACTTATTACATTATCTAAAATGAGATAATTTTGATTTGTATGTATTTTTAATTCTACTTTTTTAACTTTTAATATGAACAAAATATCAAAATATCAAAATATCAAAACCAAATTATTATTATGTAACAAATTATAATATTAAAGCTATCAAATGTGAAATAAATGACTTTTGGTGTGAAATAGAGCTATGGTTCAAACTAAAAGTAGGTCATTGTAGCTCCCAGCGAGATTTGAGCTAGGCAAAATCTACTGAAAGGAGGCGGGATTGGGGTCGGTGTGGTGGCGGGCGAGTGAGATGACCTTCCATGTCTTCGATGTCTTCGCGAGGTGTGCTGGCTTTGATGAGTTTCAGATAATCTTGATGCGGATACATAAGCTTCTTTATTTTCTGCGTAGCTTTCAATGGCGGGCGCTTTCCATGCTGATCTTCTTCCTCTTGGCAATCTCTTTCATATCGTCTATTCCTTCCATACTCGATCGCGACGACGCGTGTTTTCTCTGCCTCCTCTATCTCCACTGTCTCCTCTGAGTCCTCTGAGTCCTCTGTCTCCTGCTTCCGCATGCCGGGTCATTTGTCGTTCTCTCCTTCGTTCTTCGTGCTCTTGATATTTTTCAGACACCGTCAATCTTTGGCCGCTTCTTATACTCATACACCGGAACAATCCTTGGGCGAGATTTCGGAACGAACATCTTATCATCAGCTCTACTGACGCCATCAGAAGTCCCACACGCCGCGCACCCCTGAGAAGGTCTTTTAAGTATCTGGCCACACGTGTAGATAAAAATCTTAATCTCACGTTCTTTCCCGGATTTTCGCATCCTGGAAGTTTGAGGAGGCTGATACATTCACTTCTCCTACAAGAATTCTTTATTAATATGGCTTTTATTTTCGGTATCGTGGTTGCTTCGGGTTGTTTGTCCTCAGCTCGGTATTGAATGCACGTCTCGCAGCTTGTTTCCCATTCGGGACATCTCATTTCGTGATACCCGCAGCTGAAGAGCGTGTACTCTATGCGCCAGTGCTGGCATTCGGGTAGATCTATATTGCGCCCAAAGGAGGAAGCGTTCTGGATGATTTTAAAAGGCATGGTTTTAGTAATTTATGTATCAACGTATGTATTTGAAATGAAGATGGTTTCCGGAAAGATGTAATATTTAAACTCTCGAAAGCAAAGGTGTTGTTGATAAAAGAAGAAGAAGAAAAAGAAAGATTTCAATCCAGTGAAACTACATCTTTTTAAGTCTGATCGAATCCCAAATGACTAAAAGATAAATAAAATTTCCAATAATGATTCGGTAAAATTCATATATATATGAGCCTGCACTACATATTCATGCCCAGTATGGTATAGAATCACTTGAGAAACGGAGTCATGTTTTCACTCAATCATTTATATACTACACAGTCATCACTCCGTGTCCCAGGAAGATTCCAGAGGCCTGAAAACGGTGGATCTTAAGATTTATGGCAAATCTCTTCCAAACTCCTTGGGTGATGATTGATGAAACCTCCAATAATCCCTATGCTTGATCCTAGACTTTCCACACATTTCTATGTCACAATACTGTATTCATACTGGTAAAAACCCTGAAGGAGTTGAAGATACCTATTCCTCCATGAGACATATCATGTATACAAAATACGTCAAACCAAATGGTACAGACGGACTCATTCTATGACTCTGTGTAATAGGCTTTCAGTTATTTCTGCAATATGGGCATAGTTATTTCTGCAATATGGGCATAGTTATTTTATGTAATGTACAAATATATGTATTGAAAATACACAAGGTGATAGTTTTTAAAAATGATGTAGGACGAATATTTTAAAGCATCGAAAACGAAAATATACTGTTGATACAAAAAAGGGAACTCTCAAATTCAACCGTAAACCTCCAATTTTGCAAGGCTATTCAAATTCTAAAGTGATCCCCCAAATGACTTTCAGATAGCTAAGAGCTCAATGAATATCATATCAAGACTGTATGCATAGTACATAGTATAGATAAGGTATGATATTAATTTAGCTAGGGTGGAGGATGTATATCCGAGTTCGAAGCGAAATGCTAAGAATAACTGTAAGTCTATGATTTCGATATGAAGTATACTTACTAGATGAACATGAGAGAACTTACAAACCACCATCACCCACAAGCATCAACATGAAGCACTTGAAAGTATCTAGCAATGCCATCCGTAACCACGATCATTAGTCTTCCGACTGCTTCTGGTGTGACCATCCTCCTTTCTAGACGTTGTTTTGCCAGAAGACTTCGGTGCGGGCTTCGAAAAAGATGATCTAGAGCTACGACCTTTCGAGCGTGTATTCTCTGGGGGTAACGTTGTCTCAAACTTGGCAGCTTCCTCGGCGGCTCCTTTCTCTTCTGCGTTGAAACGGGCTCGATCTTCTCCTTGCCGTTCTTCTTGGTTCTGTTGCCACTCCGTACGCTTCCCGGCGCCTATTTGCAGTATAACTGGCTGTCTTGCTTCCCGAGTCGATGGCATCGCCTGAGTAGGTGCGTATCCAAGATCTGCTCGCTGCGGTACATATCCCTGATCATAATATTGGCTACTCTGTACGTAAGGCGCTGGCTGTGCTCGTGGTGCTGACCATGGCGTCGGTAATGGCACGTCTACCCTAGGTCTTTCGTAAGTGGGAGCTGGGCTAGAATGGTGTTGGGGATGGGGCGGGTCATAATATTGAGCTCGAGATTGAAGTCCATACGGCTCTTGAGTAAGCCATTTCTTATTGTCCTCTTTAATGATACGCTGTGTATCATCAGCAGGTGCGCCATCGTATTCAGATTGGATTTCTTAAGATTCTTGAACCCATCGACCAGTGTTCTCTTCAATTATCTGCTGTGTATCATCTTCCTGTCGCAGTGGGGCTTCCCGTTCCACAGGTTGTTTCTTAACCTTCTGCTGAGAGCTTTCTCTTCTCTCGTCTCGACGTTCTTTGCGATTCTTACAATAATCACAGAGGTGGTATCCTCTCCCAGTCTCGGATTTGATTGTAAAAAGAAGGTGTGGCCGAGTCGTAGGGACATATCCAGAACCTTCGGGAGGGAAACACTCTCCGCAAGAGCCATAGACCACGAGTAGTGTATGAGCAAACTCGTAGATGTTTAACTCTGCCTTGCAGGGGTTTTCCCTTCGGCAATAGGGAAGCTTGAAAGTACTGATACACTTTTTCTCCTTGCAAGGGCGGAACGGTTTTATATTTTCTATTTCGATTTTTGGTTTCGTGGTGGGCTTTGATCCTTTTTCAGTAGTCTTGTATAGATTTCTTGAATGACATGTTTTGCAGCTATCCATGTGTGCGAAGTAAATGCGAGTCATCTCGTAGCATCCACATTCGTAGATATCGTACCGTACCTTACAGCTCTTGCATTCCGGTAAAGTTATATCGTATCCAGGATATGGTTCATCTTTGCGCACTACCTCGTAGACTTTGATAGACATAACTGTTTGATGTAATTTGCCAGAGAGACGTAAGTCTAAATGTTTCTTCAGAAAATGTGAATAGTTTGTAATTTCCCAACAAATAATGATATCTTGTTGAACTAAAAAGAGAAAGAAAAAAGTATGTTGAAAATCAGCAGACGGCATCCTTTTAGGAAGAAATTTTTGGTATCAATCAAGACTGGCTCTTAAACATAAACTATCTAGTTATATGAATCGAGAACATATTTGACAATAACCATAACACTGCACTACGCAGTCATCCATTGATCTGATATGCCTTAGAATTGGAGTGATATCACGAGGAAGTCCTGGAAAAACTGGAAGATAGTGAGTGAGTGTCATAAAACAGAACACTTCATAGATAGCTTGATTTCTCCTTCATAACAAATATAACAAGTAATAGGTACAGTATCAAATTTCCGTATGATTAAGCTCTAGTGTGATCTACTAGTCAACCAGTCATCAGTGAGTTTTGTTCACCAGCTGGATATATCATAATCAATAATTTTCGCATACCTATATGTATATAAATATATTTCGTTTCCTCTCCTATTCCTTTATTTTCCAAATTCCAAAAAACACTCTCAGATTCATTCTTCTAACACCACTTTCTGAGTTCACTTTCTAATCATCATAATTAATAATTTACACCTAGGAACCTACACATGAAAATACATCAGAAAATAAAATAAAATAAATAAAACTAACTCAAATATTCAATAAATCAGACTTTTACCTCCGTTTTTTTTCCTTCTTCCTTCTCCATTTTACCAAGCTCGCTTAACAAACACTTTCAGACTCATATCTCCTGATACCACTTTTTACCATTCACTCAACGAGAACTTGAGTTCAATTCTTCAAATGCACAATCATCCTTCCCAAAACATCCCCCATACGCGTCTAGATGCACAAAATCTGATATACTCCTCGGACCGACTAACTATATGGCAGGCTCAACTGTCTCGAACCTACTAAGAATTATCGTCAGCTCCCATCAATCAAGTTTTAACCACACCGGAAAAAACCTACCACAAACTTGAAACCACCCCAATCCGATCTTCCATCTCCATATCCATCTTCTATTTACCATAGCTCTTCAAATGATCTTCTTTTACCCTACGAATAAGCTCTCCATCTGACAAATACCTATACGCATATCCCGTTTCTTCTAATTCACGTCTACTCTTACTCCTCCCCCTCCCCTGCATACCACTCCTCTCCACCTGTTCCCTTCCCCTTCCAGTATAAAATTCCGCCATTTGCTCCTCGACATATGAATTCGACGTAGTAGATACTCCCTGACTATACACCGCCGGATAAGAATCACTATATCTCTCCCCGCTAGCACGCGCCGTATGATTACGAGACATATTAGAAGCCTCTCCATCCTGATAGTTCTTAGCTATTTGCGCTTCGTAGGAATCTGTATTTGTATTTATATTCGGTCCTGGGGTTCCTCCAGGTCTATACTCCACATATCTATAATGTGAAGAACCGACGAGTGCTGGCGGAGGATAACTGCATATTGTATCTATCATTAGCAAGCTTCTTAAATTCCCATCCCACCTCCCAAAGGAAAAGAAAAGAACGAAAGAATGAAAATTTCCACCAACCCAGATTGCTCCTGCGCTTCGCAACTAGGACAATTACGAAGTAACTGCCTATCTTCCTTCCACTGGGGACTCGTCAAAAATCTCCCTCCCCTATCAAACGAACAGCAAGTACGACAAGGCTTACCATCCCCATCATTCCCATCCACAGCTACAGAAGAAATCGCAACCGTATGACGACATCTAAACCTCGTAAGAACGACACAACAAACATTACATTCTCTCCTCCTACACGTTAAACAATGAAAGTTCCCCAGTAAATGCACATCCGAGCGGGGTCTCGAGACCGGATCTTTAAAAGCACCCTTTTTATCTACAAATGCACATTCATAACAGGGTAATAGTGAATTTTTTGAAGTTGAAATTGAAGTTGAAGGTTCCTCAAGCGCAATTGCATGAATATGACATGCGGAAACCGCGAAAATGTATTCACAAGAACGTTTCTGACATATGGGTAATTTTTCATATGTATATGTACCCATTGTGCTAGCTGCACAGTCGAGTCTACTGCATGTGCCAGTGTGACAGACGTATTTTAATGTGTGGGTAGTTGTTGGATAGTTGGGCTTGTTGGTTGTAGAGCGGTGGGGGTAACAACTGCGACATGTTCTTTTCTGATGTGTTTCTGATGTGGTGTCGATGGTGTGACCGCAGATGAAGATAGTACTTGTTATTGTGCAGGTGGGACATTTGGGGAGAGGTTTGCTGTATTTGATGGCTTGGGTGTGCGCCATGTTTGCTTGATGTTGGAGATGAGAGATGGATGGTTTTGGGATAAATATGTATGTATTTATGTATGTATGAAGGATTCTAAATGCAGCGAGAGCGAATTCGTATTATTGATAAAGTTACAAGCTTAAGGAAAACACGAAAGAAGGGGAGAAAGAAAAACAATAAAACCAGCGAACTCGATCCTTTTAAGCTTATCCAGATACCAAAGTGACTCCTAAATATAAAAGACATGCCTATGAATCAAGAGAAAAAAGATGTCTCATTGAATCAATCGTACCTTAGATATGAGTCTGTATTCTACATACATTTGTTGGTATGATACCGCTTTAAGATAGAGTCATGCCAGAATCCCCCATAAAATGAAAAAAGAAATGATTAAAGAAATCCTCGAAGTGCGTCATTGAATGCCGCATATCAATATCCCATCCTCGCGCCTGCATGGTAAGGAGAATTCCTCAAAAAGTTAGTACCTTATGCATATGATATATCAAGCAGGTGCTGCCTACGGAAAAACATACCAAGCAACAGGTCGTCCACCAAAAACTACACAAGGGCCCGCCAAAACGTCTATTTTCTCCAGTGAAGCCTTCCCGAACGTTCTTTCTCCCCGTGGTAATTTCTCCTATCAGCATCTCCACGTGACTCCCCCCGTCTATCAACTGGCGCTCTACGACTTTCTTCCTTCTGCCGTTCATAATGCCTGGCTTCTCTTTCTATTTCTTGCTTCTCTGTCTTTCGAACTTTTTTTCCAGTTCGTCTTTCCAGCTCCCTCCGTATATCGCGTGCCCTATCTCTTTTTCCCCATGAATGGCGAGGTCTTCCAAGGTCATGATGAGAACCCCGTGAAGATGTTGTTCTATCAGAAGCGTATTTGTTGAGCTCTGGCGGTGGGCTTCGGTATCGTGATTTATTCGGACGAGAATTCTGGGGAGTTTCAGGATTTGGTGGTGCTAGTTGCTCATACTGCCTGTCTGAGCGATCAATTTGGTATTGATGTAAATATGGAGCGGAGTAATAGGACACCTCAGGAGTTTGCGACGCCGAGGCATTATTGTATTGGTTCTGGGCATCGTACTGGTTCTGGTTGTTAGGCCGATCATCCTGGTAGCGGATGATTTGATTATTGGTTGCCATTTGTGTGATTGTAAGTGTATTTGGTATTATTCAATAGGTCCAAGGTAAGCCCCAAAAATTATATTATCGGTGCAAGGAAAAAGAAAAGAACTTCCAATCCAAGAATCTGGAACCTTTTTAGTACCACTTTGAGTCTATTTGGAGTGACTCTTGAGATAAAGATCTCATATAAGTCAAGACGCATCACATCTATGATTCTGTACTTAAGAGCCATCGAGAATGATATTTCCAAACAGATAGGCTCATACTCAAATCCCCTCCTAATCCGCAAAAGCGACCAAAGAAATCCGACTCCGAATATTTCTTCATGACCCCAACTCCATCTTTCTAGAAAACTCATTTTGTAATGAATACTAACACATCAGAAAATGATGTAACGAGGATTACGAACTACCATACCTATGAATGAGTTCAAAGTCCGTGATGAACAATAAATATAGATATACATTGAACCCACTGATGTGATATATTCTTTAGAGGTGGAGTCATACACCAGCCATAGTGATGTTAAAATTAGCACCAGGTGGAATGACATGCTGAGATACTGGATGTGAGGGCGTATATGGAGTTATGCTCAGTCAAAGCCTGCGAATAATGGGCAATATTCGATCTGAATATGCAATGAGAAACAATTACCACGCTGCAGCTGAAGATACGTAGTAATTTTCGAGTTGCATGATATCAATCATGTGTAGAACTTTCTATTCCCATTAACCTCCAATGTGTTTTTATATGTATATGTGTAAAGGCTATTCATCCGCCAAGAGCATCGAGGACAGCTTGCAAGAATCACCTTGCAACCAAACACTAGGTGTTAAGTATATGTATATATTCAAGTTGAATATATACATACAGATCCCTTTTTCCACGAGAGTCTCGAGAAATCAGACAATATCCAATTTGCAGTCAAATAATACAAGCAACGAGTAACGTGAGAAAACCACTTGAAGGACGTATGAATGTAAGCATACATTGGCAATAAACTTACACAACCAAATCTTTCTTAAGAAGTCCAAGAAAGCTTCAACTTTGAAGACACCGCCCTAGCAGTGAAAATGGAGACAACTCTACATTCGAGTGCACCAGGCTCCAGTATAGGATTCTCCCTAAACATCAACCACCTCTGACCGCTAAAAATGATATTCCATTTCACCCATCAAAAAATAGACAGTCCCAAGCCTTACATACCAAAAAGCCGGCCATAAAACAATACTCACCAAGAACCCTTTCCTCTCACAAACCTCACCAAAGGATTTCACCCCACCACACCAATACCACACCACTCCACTTAAATTGACCCCTCCACACTTAACTCAACCTACCCATGACCAAAAGCAAAAGCCCCCCGTCAAGACTCAACCCCTCAACAAACCACACTCAGGGCACTTGCCCTCTCTCCCACTCTCCCACAAAAATGCAATTTCAGCAGTACCCGAGCTACCCGAAATACCCGTTTAATCGAATCCACATTCGACATTCGGGCCGCTCACCCACAACCGTAACTCAACCAACGCCGCCTGAATCCCCTTCCTCTTCTATTTCCCTCTTATAAGGTACATACCTAGTACTCCGTAGGTAAATTAAATATCCTAAATACCTAGACACCCCACCTATCAATCACACCACGAGAATTTCATTACTATATGCTAACTCATCCACATGTAGTCCCGTATGTGTGCATTCCGTATATTCAATTGCCATCCCATCCTTTTACTTGTATATACAATATTCCATACGTACATTGACATCGTAATCGTAATCGAGACCACGAGATACGATAAGGGTTTTCCTCAAAAGAAAACCCTCGAACAGACGAGTGGACAGATAATAATATTTCGAAATGGACTGATTTGTGCGGGCTTGATTTTAGACTTTGTTAGTAGAGATCACCAGATGGATGTAGGATAGTGTGGACGGGTAAAAAATGCGAGTGCAGGATAAGTTGGAGTTTAGGTTCGTGTTAGCACTGTTGGGTTCGAAAGTTACGGAGTAGAGGAATGTTGGTTTGGTCCCACATGATTGATTGGTGGTGACAAATGAAAATTTCTAGGTTGGCCTACTAGGTAGTTGCGATGGAAATCATGGATAGATGATAGATAGATACTAGGGAGATGGGGAGCTTGAGTGGAGCTCTTGAAATGGTGCTAATAAAGTATCTAGTATCGTCAACTCAATTGCGGCGGGGTAGATAGATAGATAGATAGATAGATAAATGATTGTGATTGTGATAGTGGAGGGGGTTGAGAAACATGTCTAGATGAAATTCTGATGAATATTGAAAACTCGAGTTTTATAAGCTATTTGTTATAAAGACGTCCAATATTCAGACTCCAGTATGTTTCACATAGCTTCATCTAAAAACAAACATCAAACACCAAAGTTAAAAGATCGATCATCAAAATCACATGCAAAAACATTGTGTACAGATTATTTCAACTTTTCCTTGATTGATTTACAAGCTCATGGTCTAAGCGTCAAGCTCTCGAAAAGTGATTGAACGAATTTATTCAGATGGGCATGTGAATAGTGTTTTGGGTAATTTTGGGTGGAGGATATTTGGAAGTTTGATGTTGAAGATGGGATTTTGCGGACTGGTGATGGTATCTAAGTGTATTATATTAGTAAGATCTTACTTAGGCTGAAGATACATTACTGCGTAAATTCGTATATATGTAAATCCGTCTACGTCGTATGCATTTGTCCGTTCTTTTTCGCATTTTTGCATATATCCAGGACGCACCGTCAGAATGAGTCACCTTGCTCTTTACTTACTACTGTATAGCCTTATTGTAGTTGGCGTTTGCCCGTGGAGTTTATGGTGGTAAGATCGAACATTGGACAAGGTTGAATTTGTTCGTGATAGGTACGATTGGTGCTCGAAGAAATATAGAATGAAGAAAATGAATGACACGCATGTATCAAAGATCAGGGTAAGATAAGGGATGAAGAAAAATCCAATAAACGCCATTGGATGAAATATTGACATTAGTCTCCTTGAGATATTGCCCGAAAGGGAGTTCAAGGCATATGTGACGAATAAAGTTGTTTGTAAAGGTTCGCGTTGGCTATATGAGGAACACAGGTGCAGAATGCAGAATGCAACAGGTTGGAGAAGCAGAAGGTGTAACCTTTCAATGTATTCTCGAATATTCCAATTCTCTGTGGTTGTGGCGATGTGTACAAATTTCGGGGAATGGCCATGATTCCTTGAGTTCGGTAGGTAGATTTCTATCATGTTGCATCGTCTGATGAATTTCTAGGTGTGTTCTGTGCTGCACCATTGAATCAATATGTTGATTATCAAAATGGATTGATAATACGTGGAAGACCAGGCTATACCGATACCCCGTAAAAGCATCATACGCCCTGTTGTGTTTCTTCAAGGCTGTTCCCATGGCTGTAGGTTGAGATCAAGGATCCCTTAGGAATCTGTTGGTTATCGAGGTGCAGAATCGTGCCACGAGTATCCATCGAGTTACTGCTCTGTGCCCGAGCTTGACAGTGGAGTTTCAGAGCTGATGAGTTGGTGATAATGATGATTGTGCGAAGTCTTCAGCTGAATAGTGTAAATTGGCCTCTTTAGCAAAGGGCTTTTTTTAAAAAAAAAAAAGGGAAGCAATCCTTAATAAATATAATTATGATGTAAGAAGACGTAGAAGAAGACATAAAGAAACATTCTCTCCTGGGTTCGATAAACAGTTTCCTAACAGAAACATACAACACCACAGTATGGTAATGCAAGTCGGGTCAGACCAAGGATGGATATGCCCAAATTATGCTTATGCCATGCCACAAGAGCCCAAGAATCAATCCTTCACCCAGTTGCCTGGTTATCCATAACCAGGAACTAGCGTGTTTGAAATGCTAATTCTTGTGATTTGATGTAATGATGGGTGCAGAGTTTCGCCGTGACCACCAGGACTGTCAGGCCAAATATGATAAAAGGTCCTCGAGCGGAATTGGTGTTGGCCGGGCTATTGCAAGTCTCAACTTCTTTTGGTCGCAGAGCAAAGCGTAAAAAGAAGAAAAAGTTAATATGACGAACTTTAATCTGATCCGTCTATTTTCTGGCGTTGGAATGGGTGACGAAAACATTGGCGATAGAGAAAAGTAGAGACGAGGATTGATTAAAACGAATATCTGCTTCAGTGAGTAGATATTGCTTGAAACATGATATCAGACGCCGATGGGTTCTTGAAATAGCTAGGTACCCTACGTAAAAGTTAGATCAAAGCTTATATAACGACTCGGGATATGGTATTTCTTCACCGAAAATCCTCGATGATAGGATGGTCTAACTGATTTAGTACTTGGTATTTAGTGCCTATTAGGCATTTAGCAGACATTTGGCGGACATTTAGTATATTTAGTACACATTTAGTTATACATATAGTAGTGTCTAAGAGATGTTTAGTAGACACTTTTGAAAGCTATGATAATAGTATAATCCACAAACGAAAGATAATACCCAGCCATTTCAGCTTCTTATTGTCCCTCGAGACTCTTTCATACAATCTGAACACTTACTACCATTGTACTCTGTAATTTACAATCAAGCTTATAATCAGCTTCACACTTTGTTAGAAGGACCATAAAATAAGGGATTCAAAGAAAAGACAAACAAATTCCTTCAATCCTTCAATCATTTCACAGGCTGGACCAATCAATACCTTACCTTACTTTACTTTGCCTTGCCGTTTTATTATACAAACACAAACCTCTAAGGAAAAAGCATCAATCATTTTTGGAAGAAAACAAAATTTATTAATTTGGGATTATTTGTGTTGGCCTCAGATTCAAGGCGCACATACACTTTTCCCTTTTTCCCTGTTGTAGGAAAAAATAGCAGTACCACTAGCCGAGCCACCACCGAAAGATATCTGATATCTGCTTTTTCTCTCGAACATTTTTTTAACCACCACCAACAATTAATTTCAAGACACTTGAAAATACCACCTCCCCTCAAAATAAAACTATCCCGGCGAGCATCTTCTATTCTGTAGAAGAACGATCGCGGCAGGAATAGTCCCTCGATAACTTTTTACAGAAGTATCGATCCCTTTTACCAGAATTGTACAGTTATAGTTCTTCAGAAACTGTAACGACAAATTCTCCCATTCATTCACCCACCCGAAAAGAGAGGGCGATACCTATCCCATCTTCGCACTTTTTTTTGAGAGCGATTAATTTCTGCCCACTCAGGAAGAAAACACTTAAATCCTCTCCACTCAACCTTTTTTATCATCGATTAATTCGAATAGAAAAAAGAGTCTTTCTCTTATTAATAGATTTCGATTCAAATTCTATCGACACATCTGCGAAGGAAGATAACTCGTCATCCAAGTCCTATCGCGATAACGTCATACAAAATAGTTCAAATCCCTTCTTCCCACGAAAAAAAGATCCGAGGTCACCTTCGACAAACAGTTCACTCTATGACTTCCGTTCCTCAAACTTCTCAAAACCAAAGCCAGGCCTCAAACACCAACAGCGCGTCGCAATCGACCCAGTCGTACGCTTCTACCGCAAAGAAGGCTGTCTCGTCGCCACCTATCGCGACGAGCTCCTCGACTCCCTCACCCGCCGTGGCTGTCGGAGGCTCTGCGCCGGTACAGCAACATGGAAAATCATCCTCTATCTCACCGGTGAACGGTAGAGCTTCGATTCCTCCCGCTGTACCGGCAGTTTCTGCACCTGCTATCGCCCATAGCAGCTCTGCAATTAATGGTGGTTCGACTGACCACAGCCGTAAGAGTTCGGTTACAATCAGCGCAAATGGTCCCGCAGGTTATGTTCCTAATGGAGGTCCAGTAGGTGGTTCAAGAGGTGGCATTCAGTTCGGATCAGTTATGGATTCTCCTGCTGCTACCCACAGCATCCCACAGATCTCCCAACCGGCTTCAGCACCAATTCCCATTCCAGGAAACAACCCAAGAGTAATTTCGCCCGCCAATTCACCATCTCCTATCCCTCAACCAGCCGCAAGTGGTGGAAGACCTCCTTCCGGAATCCAGCAAGGCAACATGACTTTTGGTAGTTTGGGTAACGATGGTGACGTTAGTATTAATTCCACTCAACTCCAGCGAACATACACTAACTTTCTTTCTCTTGTAGCGACACATGCGACAAGCATCCTCCCAAGGGCCCCTAGCACCTAACAGTCAGGCAGGTGGCCACCTTCGTCGTGAATCATCGCATTCGGCACAAAGTGACAACAATCAAGGTCCCGGAGCAAGTCGTGGAGGTTATCAACAAGGTGGCGGACGTGGTCGTGGCGGATTTAATCAACAATACTCGGGTCATTCTGGTTTCCCTCCCCAAAGTCAACCCCAATTTAGAGGCAACCAAAATGCGGGACGTGGTGGCATGCCTCCTTTCCAAAATCAAGGCCGTCCACAATATCAGAATTCTCCCCACCAAGCTGCACGAAGCCCAGCCCTTTCCAACTCGATTCCCAATACACCAAACATGAACCAGGCGATGCCCATGCAAAGCCCACAACAATTCAACGCTCATGCTGCGTACTACCAGCCGTCTCATATGGGAGGTCCTCCAGTACAATCACCCTATCAATACCCGGTAAACCAATGCCCTTCTTATTCCAGCAATTCTTTCTCCTTTCAATCTTTCAATCGTGGTGGTAGAGGCAAGAAGTGGTTTGATAAGTCTTCAACCCATTACCGAAAGCCTTCAACAGAACTTTTCGGTCACAACCTCACCTACAATGAAGAGCCATCCCTCCGTGGAGGTAACGGTCAAGGTATTGCCAGAAATAGAAAAGGATCCATGCAGTCGGAGCACCAGGAGAATGGCTGTCCTGTTTCCAACCAACAGTCGGATTTGCCATCACCTCCAGCCAAGGATTCAGTTATCCCGAAGAAGCGTGCAGATCTAAATCCTACGGACCCAAGCCTCCCCCCTCTCCCTCCTGCTACTCCCTATTTCAATGTTTCTTCTGATGTTTCAAATATTGATTTTTCGCCAGCTTCTGGCAACTTTGACAAATTTCTAACAGATACACAGACTCACAATGCATATGCTCAACCTTATCCCGGTATGATGCCAATGGGTGGTCCCCCATCTTTCCAGTATCCTCAAGTGGGTTACATGCATCCCGTCCCACCCCAATCACCGCAGCCAGGTTACCAGCAACCCTATATTGCAGGTCAATATGCACAACAGGCACAACCTATGTCACGCAATTCTTCCCAGATGTCCGAACATCGACCAGCTTCGAGCATGGGCCAGACGCAAACTCCTTCGATGACACCTTCCACTTCACTTACACCGCAGCCAAAGCCCTCAACTCAAGCTTCCGCATTCTCGAGGCCAGCTCGCAAGAGTGCAGCTATCGTCATTAAGAGACCTGATGGCGACGTGTTGAATGTTGACGCAATCAAAGCACCTGCTTCTCCAGCTCCTAGCAGCAGAACTAGAACACCACCTGTCATAGCTTCTTCCACACCAACACCTCCGCCGAAGTCTGCTACTCCTCAACATGCTCGAGCTGATAGCTTAGCTACAAAGTCTGCTGAAGAAATTCGTCAAGAGATGCAAGAGAAAGTGAAGAAAATGGCAGCAGGTGGCGACAAGATCGATGAGGCCAAGAACGAGGAGGCCACAAAGGCTGCTGAAGCCGCGGCCGCTGCTGAGGCCAAATTGAAGGAAGAAGAGAAAGCCAAGGAGTTGGCAAAGGCCGCGGAGGAGGCTAAGGCTAAGGAAGAGGCAGACGCTAAAGCTGCCGCCGAGAAGGCTAAGAAGGAAGCAGAAGAAGAACTTGATCGACAAATTGCCGAGATGGAGGCCCTTGAAGCCGAAAGAGAGAAGAAAGAACAGGAGATACTCGCCAAGCGCGCTGCCGAAAGAGCAAAGGAAGAGGCCGAGAAGGCTGAACGTGAGAAGGCCAATGCGGCGGAGAATGATCGCAAACTCAGGGAGCAGGAGCGTGAGATGGAACGTCTCGAAGATGAGCGTGAGAAGAAGAGAGCAGAGGCGGACGCAAAGGCTAAAGGTGGTGATTCTAAGAAGGATGAGGAGACTCCCGATACTCTCGCCACCAAGCTATCAAAGGCTACCCTCGAAACCGACAGTGGTGCATCGACTCCTACTTCCGACGACTCCATGGGGCCGCCTCCTAAATCATTTGCTGCTGAGAAGCGGGGCAAACCTGCTGCACTCAACCTTGCACCTCTCAATACCAAGCCTGTTGAACCACCTCAGCCTAGCGCAGCTCTTCAGTCACTTAAGTCTGCTCGCTTCTTGGCCGTGCTTGATTCCTCCATCTATCCAGCCAACATTAATTCACCAAACCCTGCTTTGAACTCTGCCGTTAATGCCAAGGGCAAGACTTTCAAGTATGACAAAGAGTTTTTGCTCCAGTTCCAGAAGGTATTCACCGAGAAGCCTTCCATGGAATTCGAGTCTCAAATCAAGGCTCTTATTGGGGATGACCCAAGCTCCGCCAGACCCGGTGGATCACAGAGAACACCTGGTGGCATGGGCCCCAGAGGATCAAACCGTGGTGGTGGAAATGCCGTTGGTCAATTTACCATGGGTCAATTTGGTGCTCAAGGTGGAAAGACTCTCCCACCAGGTACCACAAGTGCCGAGCGTTTCGCTATGTCTCAAGGCAATATGCCACGACCAGCACTCAACCCTATGGCTTCATTCCAGCGCCCTGGTGGAGCTTTCCCGGGTGGAAATTCTATGCAACGAGCCAATTCTACCAACTCTTCCATGCCACATTCCCCACGTCAAGCAAGCAGATCCACTCGTGGTGGCAGCAAACGTGAAGGCGGTTACCAAGGCAGTAATGCTAAGCAGGAGGCCCAAGCAGCCGCAAAGATGCCTCTTACAAGCGGCATGGACATCAAGCCTATTCAAACTTCTTCTACTGGTTGGAAACCACGCAGTATCGGTCAAACCCAATCAGCTACCGGTGCTGCTGGACCTGCTCCTGGGGCCGTTCCAGGCGCTGGCCATATGGATCCTGACCTGGTCCAAAGAAAGGTCAAGGCAGCTTTGAACAAGATGACTCCTGAAAAGTTCGACAAGATCGCAGACCAAATCTTAGCTATCGCTGCACAATCTAGAGACGAAGCAGATGGACGCACATTGCGACAGGTCATCCAACTTACTTTTGAGAAGGCAACTGATGAGGCTCACTGGGCTTCAATGTATGCCAAGTTCTGCAAGCGCATGCTGGAGACCATGAGCCCTGATATCAAGGACGAGAGCATCGTGGATAAGAATGGTAACATCGTTTCTGGTGGTAACCTTTTCAGAAAGTACTTGCTCAACAGATGTCAAGAAGAGTTTGAAAGAGGTTGGAAGATTGATTTGCCGGAAAAACCAGAGGGCGAGCGTGAAGATGCCAAGACCGAGGAAGCTGCTATGCTTTCAGATGAGTATTATATCGCCGCAGCTGCTAAGAGACGTGGTCTTGGTCTTGTTCAATTCATTGGTGAGTTGTACAAGCTTAGCATGCTTACGGAGCGTATCATGCATGAATGTGTCAAGAAACTCGTGGATTACCAGGGTCTTCCTGACGAAGCTGAGATTGAATCTTTGACCAAACTCCTCAAGACCATTGGTCTCAACCTTGACAGCACCGAGAAGGGTAGACCATTGATGGATGTTTACTTCACTCGCATTACTGCCATGATCGAAACACCCGAATTGCCAAGTCGACTGAAGTTTATGCTTATGGATATCGTCGATCTCCGTAAGAAGAGATGGGCATCAAAGGAAGCCAACAAGGGCCCCAAGACACTCGAAGAAGTTAGAGCAGAGGTAAGGATTCTAAAAAATCTGGTAATGATCATTCATATACTAATTAATTATAGGCCGAGGCTGCTGCGGCACAAAAGGCTGCCGAGAACTCGAGGAGTCAAAGAGGAGGTGGTGGTGGACGCTTGCAAATGGGTCGTGGTGATGGAAGAAATTTCTCCGGTGGATATGGAAACCAACCTCCTCCCGATTACCAGAAAAACACTGTTGGTATGGATGACCTTCGTCGTCTTACAAACAAAGGTGGTGCAAACCGACAGGCCAGCCAACAGATGTCATTTGGACCCACGTCTATGTTCAATTCAAGAAGCAACAGTGGTCGAAAGATGGGTCCAGGCGGTTCCTTGAGTAGAACAGGTGAAGACTCGGGAGCTTCATCAAGAACGGGGACACCCCCACAAGACAAGGATAGGAAATCAGCTACTTCCGCAAATGCATTTAGGTTCGTGTATTCCATATTAGCAATTAATTGATCATCAACTAACTATTTACTAGTCTACTTGCAGGATTAGGATCTGGCGAGACCGAGAATCCGGCATCTCCTCCTTCTACCCATACTTCTCCAGTGTTGTCAAAATCTACAGCAGCTTCTGACAAGAAGGAGGGTGATGCTTAAATCATTGAGCATTAACAAAGTGTTTCATACAACGGAGCATTCTAATTTCTGTGCATAGACGGCGGGCTAATCTTGCATTTACGGCGGGGCCTATTTCAAAACGGGTGTCTAAAAAGTTCCTCATTCTGTTCTCTATGATACCTCAGATTTCACCCATTAGACTACATTCCGTTATCACCAGATCTTGTTTTCGGTCATCTTTCTAATGCATTATCCGGTATTTGGTGCGTGGGGTAAAATAGGGTGCTTTCTATCTGCAATTTTCTTTGGCTGGCGGGGGTTGGATTTGGACGGCGGCATGGTTGGCTGCCGATCATGACACGACCTCTAAAAGCTTTTCTTTCTTCTGTCCATAATTTTCCGTCTTTACGTGGCTCTAATGATCGATGACCGGCTTGCTTTAGTGAATCCATACGAATGGTCTACGAATGTTATGCTACAACTATTTTCCGTTTTTGTTATTTTTGCATTGGCGCCATTACGACTTGATAGCCTGATGTCCACCTCACGAAAGAAGGCATGGGGCTTTATGGTCGCGCAATGGTAATAAGTTTTTCTCTGGTAGCTTGGCTGGCTGATGGTGGTTGATCTCGAGTGCCACGGAGGAATAGAACATGGAAACTTGTTCTGTTCTAGAGGTGCAGACTAAATCTATTGTGAAAGCTGTGGATTTGTGTTAAAAGGAGGTTGGGTGTCCCAGCTTGTGGGGAGGAATGCAGGATGCTCGGAAAACCTTATTGTACAATTATAATCTTCTTTTTGTCATTGGTTTTTTGCTTCTTTTCTTTTTCATTATGCCAGCCGGCTTCAGGTGGTAGAAAACTTATGAAACTGATTCAAATTATCTATCCGTTGTCTCGATCTGAATTGTGATTTAATTGTGATTTGGAGTTATGTATTTTGTGACTTATATTGGAAGCTTGGATACCGCTTCCTTAAACTCTCTTCCTATAGGAATAAATAATTTCCTCAATTTTGAGAACTGACATCACAGAACCTATTTCACCACAAGACCAATCTCACTCGTCAATAATAAAAATCTCTCTCCCCTTTTCTCTCACGCACACACACACACACACAAATTCATAATTTTTAATTTTTCAATTTTTCAAATTCTATTGATTGCCTATCTGTCTCTTTACCATGCCTACCTCGCCTGTGTATACATCTATCTGGCATATCTGGCATGTATGTGTTTCCTACAATTCCATTCAATTCCATTCAAATATCATTCCTTCCTTTCATCCTTCATTCACCATCCCTCCCTCCCACCGCTCCCACCATCCATTCTCCGTGCACATAAATACCAAATCAAATCAAAATAAGTAAGGTAAGTGTAAGTGAAAGTAAGGTAAGTTACTCGCACTATATAACCAACGCCGACCATTCATTCATTCAACCATTCAACCTGTCAACCATTCGACCATTCAAGCGCGCCAGCGTAATCAACCTAATCGACCATTCGCACCACCCTATGCCTATGCCTATTTCTATGCTAAATTAAACTAAAACTTTTGTACAGAGATGGAAAAGAAGGGAAAGAAAGGAAAGGGAATAAAAGAAATGATAGGGAAATCCCTCTGCTAGTGAAGCGGGGAGAACGAGGCCGGGTCTTCGATACTTGTTTATGATAGATGAGATGGCGTGTTATGTATGTATCACTTTGCTCATCTCATCTCTCTGTTTCTTCCCTTCTCCCCCATTCATTCCAGCTCCTCTTCATAATCGTACATATCCATCCTTCCACCTACACTTCAGAACCACAAATCATATCACATCATATCGAAGCATTGTTTGCTTGATTTGCCACGGCTCCAATATCCGTAACACTTCTCTGACGTTCCGTTCTCACACCCTCACTTTCACTATCTTCTTCTTCACCACGTGGGGTTCTCCGCTCCACTCTCTCCACGTCCCTCTCACTCATTTCCACCTCATCCTCTTCTTCTTCCAACACAATACGCCTCAATACCCTCTTTTCAAAAAGTTCGATGACGAACCTGCGCATCGGAAGTCTGAAGTGATGATACTCCAACAGCACCATAACCTTCTTAAACAACCGCACTTGCTTAAATGCATATCCTTTATTTTCTTTGATGGCAATCAACTCCCCGATGGCCTTTTTATGTAAAATCATATTTCCAAGATTTTCCACGAGTTCCAGGATACGTTGATTAGTTTCATCATCATCTATACGCGCGAGATCGATTTCCATTTTTTCTTCCTCGGTGATGATGATTTCGGAGATGGTTTTATGTTCCCAAGGTTGATAGGAGAAGAATTTGGTTAGGTTTTGAGGGATGCAGAGGCCGAGGGAGACGCCTAAGGTTGTGGTATTAGAGTCCCATCCGTGTTCGGAAAGAATCTCAAGTCCATGCCTACTTCGAGAGATAAGTCCAAGGACATAGAATGCGGTACCGCGTAAACTCATGATTTGATGTTCTTCGGCAATCTTGACGATTTGCTCGACGACGTCTGATTCCTCTAAGAATGGTGCGCCTAGTTCCATGGATCCCACATTTCCGACTGCCCAAAGACACCCTTTGATTTTGAGAATGAGCTCTTGATCATCGGCCAGCATACCATATTCGCGGATCGTGGATGCAAATTCTTCGAAATGTCCTTTATCTTGAAGAAGTTTGCAGCCTTCTTTTGTGCGAGTAAGTTCTCTATAAAAATGAGGAGGAACTTGGGTATCGTTTTCGGCGTCGATATCAAAGCTATCCTCGTCGATACTCATACGATGCGAAGATTCTTCAGGCATTTCTGCAAAGGCTCGTGATAAACTTGCCTCGATAACTCCGACGTAGCTGTCATTCCGTCCCAAGAACCAATCATCCATTTCATTGCTGATGTAATCTAGTCCGTCCAAATAATGATATCCAATCGAAGTCGAAAGAAAACGTAGCAATAAAGGAGCACCGATTTCGCCCAAATGGTCTAAAGCTGGACGACACTCCACAATGAATTCGAGATAACTTTTTCTATTACATGCTTCCTCAAGAATTTTGATGGCAGTCGCGCAGACTTCAACCTCTGGGTCATATAATTGAGTAACCAGAAGCTCGATTGCCCATTTATAGTCGGTGGTTCCTGAGGCGCGACTGGAATACTTACGCAGGACATTCGTCGCATGTATACGGATCTCCTTGGATCCTGCGGTCAAGGCCTTGGATAAAAGGACTCTCGGGTGTCCTTGTAGATTATAGTCAAAGTTCGACAACAATAACTTGATCAAATCGGGGCGTTGTTTTAAATCAATAATATGATACATCATGTTGATCATTCGCCAACGATCCAACATTTGCAAACCTTTGGGGTCACCACTCAAAGTGCCAAGCATAGCAAAATAGCCGCATGCAAGCGTTTCTGAAAGTCTCTCTTTTGAAAATGTTGGTTGGGAAGCGGTTAAGCCACTCGTCTGGTTCTTGTCAGTATATAAAAGTTATCATAATGAAAGGAGGTAAATTTACCGGATCACATTGAGCGAGACATTCCGCGATTTGCCTGAGTAGCTTGTTGTCTGCTAGATATTTTACTCCTTCTACTGTTTGAAGGAGAGTGTGCATAAGGGCGCAACCGACTTTGACATATTTCTGATTTATCCTGGTGTTCCTAACTTCAGAGAATTTGTATTTGAACGGCCGATAGAAACTCATTATTCTTTTTATGAACTTCGAGGCTTTGACGGCTTCGTCAAGGCGCTTCCCGTTCAATAATGGACCTTCGATAACTCGCAGGATAATATCCCATTTCCACTTAATGGGATTTGTGCTAGCTAAAACTTGAGATTCAACTAACATTTGCCTAAATGTCGTTTCGTCAAATGAGACGTTGGGATTAGTTTTAGGCTGATCTCCCAGGCTGGACAAATTATCATGGCTATTGTTGTTTGAAAGGGTCGTAGAGATGGATGGAGCTGATCTGTACAATGTCCGACTCACACTGCTAATCTGATACACCGTGCTTGTGGCCACGATTCGTTCTTCACTTCCGAATTGAGACGCAGCAGCAAATAATCCGGGAAGCAACTGGAGTTCAGCGCTCCAGTTCGAGGGTAATAGTTGACTTGCAAGCTTCAGAACTTCTCCAATGAGTAGGGTAGTTTTTCGCTTTAACATTGCATTATCAGTATCTTGAGTAACCTGTAACAATCCTTCAACCATGCCGGAGTTTATTAACACAGCCAGTAAAAGTGCTGTATAATGATCGACAAAGCTTTTATCGCATGCCTCGTCTTCGGTTACTGGCTGCGCTGATGCTTTTGATGGTGCCGTTTTGAGGTTTGCGACTCGTCCGTATGTAGTGAGACGTCTGCCAGCGAGGAAAGATGTTGCCCAGAAAGGAGACTTGATGCGCAAGATTCCATAGAACAAATCTATGACAGTCTCGCGTACAACAGGATTCGGCAGTATTAAGCATGATACTAGTGATTTGATAGCTCTAAAGTTGTACATAGACAATGTCATAAGACCAGGCCATGAGTTTAAAGCATATGAAATAGCCTTCGAGTTTTGCTTTAAAATTTCTTCCTTCACAGAGAGCGAGTCTGTGAAAGAGGTGAAAAGAATTTCTAGCTCATAACCTGATCGCAAATATTGGCGTCTATGAGGAGAATCAAGCAAAAACAAAAATGCTGCTGTCAAACTCTCAGAGGCTTCGTAAGTACCATCACCTAAAGCTTCAGCGAGAGGTCTGAGACCGCCAGAGGCAACGACAAGGCCAGGATCGCGGACCATGATTTCTGCAAGTGTTTCTATGCAGATAGCTTTGAGTCGATCCTCTTCATGATCTGCAACTGAAGCTATAGTTCTAACGACAGCCCTGGAAACCTCTTTTATACCATCTTTGACATCCAGAAAAGCTCGAATGAATTTCAAGGCCTGCTCTCGTTCCACGTCAGAAGTTCCCTTCTTGATCAGTGATCTAAAAATTGTTTAGCATTAACCGTAAATATTGGCCAGACCGATGCTTACACGACAGCGAGATAATCAGTATTTAAGCTACGAATCTTTTGTAAAGAGCTAACATCAGAAATTGCATATCTTGTCATACGATATCCTGCAGCTACTACCTCTCGGCTCCCACTCAGGAGCATGACTTGCATTCTCAAGCCAAATACTGACCACACTAGATCATACTTCAAGGTTGGGTGACGCTTGAAGAGCTCAACTAGGTCATTTGCATGGCCCACGTAGTAGTCCGGAGTGAGACCTTCCACCTCAAGAGCTTGTAGTATTTCAGCCAGCGCATATGTTGGAGATTCTGTGAGCTCATCTGCTGCTTCCGAGCCCCCAACACTTCTGGAAGCACTTTGAGGTGATCTCAAACCATTACTCTGGAAGAGAGCATCCATCCGACTGCGCGTAGGAGTAGTGGGTGGTTTAGGTTTTTGCAGTTCCGTAATCTGGAATCTCAAATCTCTGATCTTCTGGTTGGATATATTCAACTCCGCCTCCACCCTCTGCCTTTGCTCTTTTGTCTGCTTTGCTTTCTTCGTATTCAATGCCTCCAACATATTCTCACTCCCCTCCTTTATTTTCATCTCCCTACTCAGCGATTCGCGCAAATTCGACAATAGCTTCCCCGATTTCGTATTATCTTCTTCTTCTAATCGCTCCTGGTTTAGCACCGAAGCATTTGTGTCAAGGGCCGAAGTCTGCCGTATAGGCATTTGGCTACGCATTGTCGAGCTGAAACTTCCCGGGCCGGGGGACGGTGCAAGAGAGGAACCACGAGGCGCAAATGCAGCTGTTGAGTTTGAGGGCATTCGCGAGCCATTTTGACCGGGCGGCTGTAAACCACCAGGTTGATCTAAACTCGTCCTTCCAGCATATTGTTGTGCGTATGTGTTTTTCTGGGCTGTCGTCACAGACGAACCCAGAATGCTCGATGGTCCAACCATCTGCCCATTCGAGAGGTCGGGGTCAACGTTCTTCGTGCGGGGGTGACATAGGTGGTGCAGCTAAGGGACCGACACTGAAGTCATCCAAGTACCGATATAGAAAGAGGAGATACGACTGTAGTGAATAGATCCCGGCCGAGCAAAAACAATTCGTGGGCGTTATGTGCTTGTCGTGGTATAATTGGAGGTTCCACAATCGATGTGGGCACCAAAGTTGTAGATAGTAAATTTGGAGATAATGCCGTGCTAGAAGATCAATGAAGGTTGTATTTTAAAAGAGGTATGTATCATACACATACAGCTTATCAGAGCTTTTGGAAATGAACTTCTCTACTGTATTGCGACTAAAGTTTACAGAATCTTGAAGTTGTTTCGTTAAATCAATTCGTCCTTTGATGCTCTCCGTCTTCTCCCATTCCCATTCCCGCAAATGATGGGGATATCTCACAGACACAGACCAACCAACCAAGAAGAGTATCGCTAGCAGGCATTTGTTATTCTGCGGTGCACATTATTATGGAGACTTCATTGATTAATACGCATCAAAATCATATGCGTGTTTATATACATGTATATGTGCGGAGTAGAGTGTTTCCTCTCCTTGGATATTCTCTATAAAAATATCTACTCGACTACAAATGCGTTATTGTACTGACATACTGAAATAAGTATATAGATGGGATATCGACAGAACTCCATCACAACTAACTCGAGGACTACCTAAGGATGTCATAAGACCCTTTGAAGAACATTTTGACCTTCGATCCTACTTCATGGTCTTGCATTCTTCGAAATAAAGTACGGATATACCCCAGGTAGTCAAAAGTCCCTTGCTAATGAGGATTACAATACTCTGTTTTAAGAAGCTTAAGTGCACGTTGTCTATCAGATCCCAAGTTCTAGCAATGAAGCCGCCTTGTCGCTCTTTTAAGAAGCCGGTAGATCTCCTCCTTCTCTTCTTGAAGCGGCATCAGATTAGAATGTACGGAGAATGTCTTTTCATCGTACGAGGTGAGCGGACGTAGTATAGGCGGACGATCCCGTTGGTACTTGTCAACTTGTCAACTTGTCAGCCTTGTATTTCCATTTCTCAACATTTGGACATTTGATGTGACAGAACAAAATGATGTGAAAGGGATGTTTATCACGTCAATTCTTCAAATCCCGAGATTTAAATGCCCCTCTCGAAAGACCCGCTGAGCAAAAGACTTTTTTCAATCCAAAATTTACTACTGTTTGTTAGGTAAAAGGAGGACCAATAATCAAAGCTTCACCACAAGGCTGCGGCTCGGCCTCGTGCGTTCGGCGCCTTCCGATGAAAGCTAGGATCCAACTACTTGCATATGGAGCCAACCTCTGGTAGCTATCATACCCGGTGGACTCCTGCAGATACCTGGAGCTTCTCCGTTCTCCTCGATCAATATCTAACCTCGTTGCCGCTAAGCTTCTTTAGCGATCGTAATCGAAAATACATAAAGAGACCCAAGTCCCCTCGATAGTAGCTCCTCATTCTTGTCATCAATCACATCATACTAATTTATACCAAGTCTCTCCGTTGCATTCGACAAGAGCACCAAGTGAAGTACTTTTAACTACACATAGCTTTTACATACACTTCTGTTGCATCGTCTTACTTTCTCGACCCCAAATCGAAATTAAATCCTTCATCATGTCATCGATAACCTCAGCACGATATGGCAAGGATAATGTCCGCGTCTATAAGGTAGAGAGAGATGAGCAAACCGGAACTCAAACAGTCACAGAAATGACTGTTTGTGTGTTACTGGAAGGCGCTATCGAGGTATCGTATGTTGCATACCTCATCAAATACGGCTCAAATTGGTAACTAAGCATTTTCTAGATACACAAAAGCCGACAACAGTGTTGTAGTTGCAACCGATTCCATGAAGAATACAGTCTATATCAAAGCCAAGGAACATCCAGTTACTCCACCTGAGCTTTTTGCTAGCATTCTCGGAACTCACTTTATCGATACCTATCCTCATCTTATCGCAGCCAACATCAAAATCATCACTCACAGATGGACACGAATGACTATTGATGGCAAACCCCACCCACATTCATTCTATAGGGATGGAAACGAAACACGAAATGTTGAAGCTGTTATCAAGAGAGGAAAGGGCATCGATATCCGTAGCGGAATTGTTGGGCTTTTAGTTTTGAAGAGTACTGGTTCGCAGTTCCATGGATTTGTTAGAGACGAGTATACTACGCTCCCTGAGGTTTGGGATAGAATTTTATCGACTGATGTTGACTGTGGCTGGGCTTGGAAAACATTCGTCGGATTGGACGACGTGAAAGAGGCCATCCCCAAATTTGATAAAGCATTTGACGATGCTAGAAATATCACCATGAAGACATTCGCTGAGGAGAACAGTCCATCTGTACAAAACACTATGTACAAGATGTGCAATTCTATCCTAGAAATCGTTCCAGAAGTCGAGGCAGTGGACTATTCTTTACCCAACAAGCATTATTTCGAAGTTGGTAAGTAACTAGGAGGCACTCCATGAAACAGGATATTTCTAACACATCTACAGATCTCAGTTGGCACAAGGGTCTTAAGAACACCGGCAAGGATGCAGAAGTTTATGCTCCTCAATCCGGACCAAATGGACTTATCAATGTTACCGTCACCAGATCCCCAGCCTCACCAAAACTATAGACTTCATATGCTTTATAATTGCATGGTTTAATTGCATGGTACCACTCAGGGTTACTTTATAGTGGAAAGGCGTATGGTAATTTAAGGATAGTAGAGCGTTTTGGCGCAATATAACGGCTTCGGATATAGAATTTGCCAGATACCAATACAAATTCAACTCATTTATGATTCAATTTAGCTGTTTAATCTCTCAGAAGTTAACAGCAAGTCCAAAGTTTGGACTCTGAACGTTCTCCTCTACATCTGAACCTATCGCTTGCGTATCCATCCTCATTCTTTCAAAAATCTACACATCAAGACCACATGTTAACCGCAACCTCACTTGCACTGATATATATCAGCATTACACAGAAAGCCAAACTCTTCTTTCACATAACCCGATGCACACCATTCAGCTCATCCGGTGTGTAAACTTCTAGTCGTTAGTCGCGATTGAAATACCTACCTACCTATGCATCAATCAATAGCTCAAAGCCTTAAGACTTCGCCCCATACTCGTATCTTACATAAATTTCAGTCTGTTTCGTATTCATTGTTTAGTTCCTCAATACTACACAGTATGATGATGCGATTTGTTATTCTATGCCATTCATGCCATGGCGCCCAAGTCTCTGGGCGAACCTAACTCGGGGCTATTTACTACTGAGGAGAGGTGATTGGTTAGAATTTAGTACTATTTCGACGCTTGGTGTTCTTTAGTGTATGATTGTTTTAGTAGACTCACTTGTGGGATTCTTGACAGGTGGATTCGCGGGATTGGTGGTGGTCTTGGAAAGGGGGCTTGTGATTGTTTGGGCAGTATCAGCTTTAAGCGGGGCTTATGGTATGCGTGCATAATAGGGTAGCATCAGCCCTGGAAACGAGGCTTATGGTATGTGTGTATGATATGGTAGTATTGGCCCTGAAATGAGGTTTCTGGCATACAGGGCGGTATCAGCCCCAGAAACGAGGCCTGTGGCATGCGTGTGTAACTGGGCGGGTCAGCTTTGGAAACGAGGTTTATAGCATGGGCTCCAAAATCCGTGGGACTGCCTTTGCCTAAAAGAGAATATGGTATTTTTATATAACTATAAAGGTTATTTCCTCTTTCTTCTCCATATGTGAGGCACGGCTTCCATTCCATACTGAATTTCTCCCAGACTCCTTCCAGATGATAAAATATGAGATGGCTACAGTCTGTATTTCATATCTTAGTCATGAGCGTACGATATTAGGGTACGTGTGACGGACTCTGTTGTTTGTTTTTGTTGCTGATTTGGAGTAGCTCGTCAGATCATGTCGTCAACTCTAAATTGCGGACAATGTCATCAACTGGGTCTCAGGATATCTCGTCTTAGAACACTGAACTTGGTGACTTATGAACGATTTCCTAGTAATTGGAGCGCTACTTTCGAATGTTATGCATGTGACAACTATGGCCACGTTTCCAAGGGTCGTTCCAGAATTCCTGCAGTGTTTCCAGGATTATACATCTGCCCGTAGGGTAGATGTAATCTGTACGTATTTAGCCCCTGCCCTGTCTGCCTTTCCATTCTGCCTTGGAGATTTCCAGGGTTTTTTCCTCAAGGCAAGGCTAAGGTTTCATGAGGACCCTATCTACAAGCCTGAAATGGTTTACACGTATCAACATGTGCAACCACTACTATCTAAGTTGGGGATTCATTACTGCTTCATATAATTGCAGGAGTGTCCTACCAACGTTCCTACCGTGCAATTGTTACCTAGCCGGTTCATAGACCGAGACGTTTCTTTTCTGCAACATGGACTTCGTAAATGAATCGAATAGTACGCAGTTACATCTATCTTCTTTGCTAAAGTGCCATGCTTAGATTACTTACTTGGAAAGATTTAGTGCCATCTTACAACTATCAATCTGCTTTTCGGGATCTGATCAATTCAGCACTACTTTCAACCCCGAACTTCAATCGCCTTGGAACGCGGACCAATCTTTGGCCATTCAAACAGCCTCGGGTTTTTCTACTCATACGTAGCAGCAGCCTTCAGGACGGTACGGCCTTTCCTGGTATTCTAAAGTCGGTGTGCCGACAGGAAATTCCGGTCCTAAGATACAAAAATGCATAACACTACACAATTGTTAGAATCTGACATCGACCAGAATCAACCAGCTCCTACATGCCCAAGCAGACCGTCTGTCCTTACTACTAGGTAGAGCAGATCATCAAGCAGACAAGCAGGGCACTGCTCTGAAGTAAGCCATGTCCTGTTAATTCCTGTCGAGAACAAACGCTAATTTAACAAAGGCAACACAAGGAGAATAGGCAGCGCGCTCACAAATGCACAACACAAGAGTGCACAGTCGACCCCTTCAAAAGCTCAAGAGACCTCCGACGCCACCAAGCCAGTGTCCACGGTAAACCTCGATTCTTTTGTCCAGTGGTGACCTGCAGAGCTCACATCAAGGGTTTCAAACGCAAAGACAATCTCACCGAGCATAGAAGACGAGTCCATCTTCCCGTCTTACCCAGTCCGGCGGTTACACTTGAAACCAGCACGCAGGGTTCACAGACTCCATCATTTGAAGATGAAGAGATGGAAGACTGGAGTCTAGCCCCGGTCCAGGGAGAAATGGAAAATCAGTCTAATGACAATTCACAAACGATAGCTTTTGTACTACGGAAGCTCCTGGGGTTGCATATGTCACTGAAGAATATTGATGTAGAGATTAGAGCGTTAGAGATGACTTTGACTCAGTTGTGATGTTTTATATTGAGCATAATAGCATAGAGAAGGGCTGGTTTATAGCTTATAGGTTATGGCTTATGGTCTAGAGTGCATGGATAATGGGGTTGAAGGATCACAATGAGGTGTTTAGTGGATAGGTATTGGGCTTGTTTGTCATCTTTCCGGGAGTATATATTTCACTGGATTGTTTGAATGGGTGAAAGAGCGGGCTGGCTCCTGGAAATTCACGACGTAGTTCAATACTTCTTGTAGAACGGTTCGATACCGAGCTCATTGCATTGAACCAATGTAATACTATCTTTCTTTCAAATATCTGCCCGAAAACATAATGTTTGAATGGCCAGATCCATAATATTCATCTTATTATTCGAATTTTGAGGTTCCCGGGATACCAGATTTGAATGTTCAAGATTTGACTACACGGATACTGGACTTCCATGCTTGAGATTACAATGATTTAAAAATGGTTGAGGATGCTGAATATCCGTATACCACGTCTTCGAGATACCTCCTTTCCCAGGAGTCATAAGATAAACTATTCCTTTGCTTCCTTGGTATTCGTATAGCCAATCGGCAATCGAGTTTAAGAATAACTGAAGAATCAAATTCACAAGCCTCAACAAGCCCGAATAAACACAGTGCCAAACTAGCTTCATAATGTGTTTTGCTTGATATACAGTGTTCTTATACACTTCCCATGCACCCAATGCATACTATACACACTCTATCCTTCACAATAGTGCTCTCTTCCCCCGTCCCCATCCCCATCATCGAATATTCATATCCCCCCTCCCAAACCCTCAACTCCTAACCTCCTCCACCTTCTTCAACCCCCACCCCTCATCAGGCATCAAATCCCTCCTCCTCCCCTCAAACCTAACCAAATTCTGCTTATACGGATGCGCCGCCCCCTCAAACGCCTTCAAACGTCCCAACCTCCCATCCCTCAACCGATTCTTCGGCAACATCCCACTAACCGCCTTCCTCAGTACTTCCGCCCCCCCAAACTTCTCCATCAATCCCTCCATACTGATTTCTTTTAAGCTGCCCGGTCGAGTATTATGACGGTAGTATTTCTTTTGATACATTTTTTTCCCAGTGGTGTGGAGGTTGGCGCAATTGGTTACGACGACGTAGTCGCCGCAGTCGGTGGACGGGTCCCAGATCGGTTTGTGTTTTCCCATGAGGAGGAGGGCGATGCGGGAGGCGAGGCGGCCGAGGGGTGGAGGCGTGATGCGCGATGTGATGGAGGGGAGGAGGCGTCGGGTCGTGGTCGTAGGGTTGAGAGGAGGATGTGTGGTGTGCTGGCGGAGATGTGGTGCCAGGTGCGGGAGTAGGCTAGTTTTGTCTATGAGGGTTTGTTAGCTGGTTTATGGTTTATGGGTTTCTCGTATGTATTGTATTTTGTTTTGTTTTATTTATTTATTTATAAATGTATATATATATATATCCTTCTGCTTCGAAGATACACAGTAGATAATGAGTGGGAGCGCAGGAAAAGGATAAGAACATACCAAACCATTTGTTTGCGACATCCTGAGGTATAACTGGCACAAAAACCAATATTGAAGACGATGTGCGCCGAGAAATTGAAAATTGTAGCAGGAGAAGCTACTCGTTGTCGTCTTCAAACGTGAGCCTTGAACTTCGAGGCTTGAAGTCAAGTTCGTGATTCTAGATGCCAAGACATTTTTTCTCGAATAGCTTTACTGTGGTTTGATTGGGTAGAGCTTTTGGCGAGACATGCATCCCATCCGAAGCAAGCTGGATGGATTTCAAAGCATTTATTGTTTGCCCCACGTTTAATGAGATGATATCAGTATTTGGAACTTTACTCATTCCATAGGTATTGAATCTCTCTATCTATTATTATTCTATCATTTGGAAAATCTTTAATCGATAGTTAAGAAGAGTTGGCAGAGATTTATATAAATTCATCAAAATGGTCATCACAACTTCATTCCAGGTCCGTGTTCCCCTCTATCTTGATCACGTGTGTGTGTGTGTGTGTGTGGCTTTGAAAATGGAGGTTTACTAATAATGGGATAATAGACACAATTCGCGGTACCTATGACATGTGAAGCATGTATAAAAGATATCGAGAAATCATTATTCCAACTGGGTGGAATACAGAAAGTTGAAGCGAGTCTTCAGGATCAACTTGTTACTATTGAAGGAACAAGTAAGTTAATAACTCTTTACCCCGCCAAGAGAATATGGGGTGTCGGGGAATTCGTTGTTAATGTGGTGAATGGGAAGCTGCTCCTTCGGAGATTGTAAAGGCGATTGAGGAGACGGGACGAGATGCTATATTGAGGGGTTCGGGAGGAACTGATGGTATGTTTGTTTTTGTTATGTTTGGGTTGGAGTTGGGGTTCATTTCTACGGTGCCTTATTTGTGAATGCGATGTTGTTATTTGTTTTGTGTTTTAGGATTTTTGTCTGAGAAGTATTTAGGCGCTGCTGTGTGTATTCTTGAGACACATGATACGACTGTATCGGATAAGGTGCGAGGGTTAGTGAGAATGGTACAGGTATCTCCTACATTAACGTTGGTGGATTTGACAATTCGAGGATTGCCAGAGGGGAATTATTGGGTTACTGTTAGAGAAGCGGGAGACATTTCTAATGGTGCGATATCTACGGCGGGTTTATGGAAGGGAGATGGTGAAGGTACACCTAAAGGAGTATTTGGTAGCGTGAATGTGGGAAAGAATGGCATGGGAAGTGTCTTTTTGGATAAGCCTATCCAGATATGGGAAATGATTGGAAGGGGGATGGTAGTATCGAACCAACATGAGGGAGACAGAAAGTTTGAGAAAAATGACGAGAATACTCTCGTGGGTGTGATTGCGCGTAGTGCTGGTGTCTGGGATAATGATAAGACGGTTTGTTCTTGCTCGGGCAAGACATTGTGGGAGGAAAGGAAGGATGAGATTAGCAAAGGTATGCTCTGACCATATATCAGATCATTGTATAGGAAATGGAACGATACCATGACACGATATGTATGCTTAAAAAGCATATCTTCTGCTCCCATACGCTTTGGATAGTGTACGTACTTTCCGTGTGAGAATGAGCCGCCGTGGTTAACTAGACTAAAGATTTGAAAGAAGCAAGCAAGAGTAAGGAATGAAGGAGTGTTCGATGAGGGTACTAGGTTCTATATCAAACCCTACGGAGGATTATTATGAACAGTAAGTAAGCTTATCCTTGTCAAACATTAAGCCTCGAAAGTGTTTCAAGCCTGTCATCTGCCGGATAATGATTCCCATCTTTTTACACCGTGAAGAATGGTGCTCGCTCAAGCATGGTCTGAGCCTCTGAGGGAGATCATTCTAAGCGCAAACCAATCGTAGCCCTACCCTAAGCCAATATAATATGTATGGTGATCTCATAAATGACGGAAAATGGGTTAGATTCGATAAAAATACTTTCATGTAACCTAGAATTCCTGTATATATTTAGAGTATTGCAGAATATTCCGCTTTTTTTATATTGTCGGCTATGGTATGTACTGTAGAGTAATACCTACCAAGTTTAGACGTAATTTATTTTGTTTGATACATTACACTGCCTTGAAAGTTGAGACGGAAGAAAAAATCATAGTGCTTGGATATTAAGCTCGGCATCATGCAAACAAATCCAATCGCAATAATCAATCATGTATTTAGATCTTTGAGTCCTGATTTCCTTATTCTGCGTAGCGGTTTGGATGTGCCCTGGATTCTCAAACAAGGTGAGGTGGAAGCGAGTTTCGTCCCATCGAGGTGTTTTTCCTGAGACTCGCCAAGCTTCCTGCGCTCAGTTCAGTTCAGTGCTTATCCGATAGCTCTTGCGACTCGAGGTTATTTAGAAAAATTCTTTTCGTGGTCAGTTGTGATGTGTTCGGAGGTTGTTTTCGGGGTGGATTACTGAATCGGTCTGGGGCAAGCCGGCGACGTACTTCTTTTGTCTTTTGAACATTGGGTTGATCTGCATGCACTGGTGATGGCATGGATAAATAAGTATATATAGTATACGCCCTCATCGCCGAGTCGATAGTTCTAAAGGTAGATTAATAGTGATAGTTAAAAATAACTTGGCATATAAACAAGTTGTTGGGTCCGATGTTATTCATAGTTACACAATATCACAAGACCTAAACCTATAAATAATGTCGAATGAAAAGGCCATCTCAACTTCATGACAATATAAACTATTGAATCTACTCCGCTGCAAGCAAGTCTATCACAATCACCAGTGACGTTGTTCGTCAGTGGATAGACTCGAAGCCAACTCGATTCTACCAATTCAGGAAAGTGCACCGATATCGATTCATCGATAAATCAAATAGAAGAAAGAAATCGTAGACATCTGAAAGCCAAAAGGAGTGCACGGGAAGTCGGGACAGAGAAAATAAACTTAGGCGCCGATGGAGCCAAAAATGACAAGAAAGCGTAAGTCTTGACTATCCAATCGGCATTGCATAGGGGGTTTCTTGGAACACTTGCTGCTTTGAACAGCCTCAAGCGAACATCATCCAAGTTTCGCAAGCTCCAATGTGTTGCCCACCAAAATTTCATATTTACCAATCAACTTGTCATTTTTAGAGAATGAAAACATATTTGCTGGTGGCTTGGACGATTAATTATGATGCTTCTTTGAGCTCGAGAGCTTCTTAATCCTGGTCTTCTCTTTCGATTCATTTCAACATCGCGCGGCCTGTGAAGTAAAAAGTATGAGTATATATCTAGTATACATGAAATGCTTCGATGTTGTAATAATAGATCATTACACCGGACGGTTGCGGTTAAGGCAAGACAGGGCGAGGTTGGTTTGCTACGGAACTGCCCGAGAAATGCTAAGGTACGTAAGTAGATGTGTGAAGCAGCGATTGATAAGGGGGATTTGAGAAATAGTTTGAACTTGTATTCAAAAAAGCGAAGGAAAGCATGGCAGAATGGAAATGGAAAGAATACTTTCAAAAAGTAGAAGAGCCAACTAGGTATTTCAATGCCAGTTTATGTGTCATGAACATACATCTATTTGTATCAACGGCCTCTGAGCCACTCTCTGAATATAACATGCAGAGAATAAAATTCTAATGCATGAAACTCTCTGTTCGATCTACTCAGTAACTTATTCCTACTCTGTACAAATATCCTCCGTACTAGTCGTAGCCCCGTTCAACACGATACGTTCGATTGCTTGCCGTGGATCATGAACTGGTTTAGCAGGGAACATTTGTGACTAGAGAACCCCTCTACATCCACTTTATAGTATCACTGCACCATGAAAAGACTATCAACCCACGTAATTTACACTGTGCACAAGTTACAACTTCAAGGGTATCTACGCCTATTACGACTACCACGACTACCACGACTACCACGACTATCAAGCCATTCAAACCTCGTCTAGCCCTCCCATTCAGCAGTTCAATCTTCCACATCCAGAAGAACTTCTAGGCCGGGCGCTACTTGTATATTGAATTTCTTCTCGCATCCATTCGTCTTCCTCGGTTCGCTGTCAGAGCGCTGCAAGCCCAGCGATTGTACCTTACATTTCCAACACAGTTCGTTCTGCTTCTTGCATACACCCACACTCCCTTGTCTCTTTTTATTTTATTCTCTCTGTTCATTCGCATTTTGACATCAATCTTTCAATCTCCAACCTCAATCACGAGAACGGAAAATAAAATAATTAGGATCTAAGTCTCCACGTTCCATTACGGTGTCGAATCCGTCATTCCCCACCAGACTACTGAGGATCGACAGCAATCAACACTAATTAATAGCGACGGGAGGAGCCCGAGGTCCAAATCCTACGAAAAGTAACGGAGTACAAGGACTCATACGATCCTTTCGATTTATATACTTTAGGAAATAATACAGCTTCAGGCACACCACTCGACAACAAAAACTCCATCGCTGGCGGTTCCGAGGATATTTAATACAGACACTAGTTGCATCAGAGAGAAGGGACGTACATACGCAGAAAAGATACCGACAATTCGAAATAACTTCGCACAACATACGAGTATTGCAACACGACATAAGAACTACTTACACCACTTACAGCTGGTCGCTCACGAAGGCGACCAGCCAGCTACGAAAGAATATTGCGAGTATATAATTTTTGACAGAGGAAAGACATCATGTCTTTAAAACAGGTTAGTGGAGAGAAAGAACAAAGACATATCAGTACTGACCACCTGCGTAGGAAATCGAGACTTGGGTTTCTGCCCTTAATCGTTACGATAATAATGAATTTGATGAAGCCTTAAAGGAGTTCGATGTTATTGCAGATACTTCGAAGATTCTTTTCAATTGTGGTGTTATTCATGCGACATTGGGAGAACATGAGAAAGCGGTTAGTTCTTTCCATTCCTTACAAAGAACTCAATTATATGTGCAGAGTCTAATTCACTACAGGTCGAATGTTATCAAAAAGCCGTTCGTCTGGATCAATACCTGGCCGTAGCATATTTTCAACAAGGTGTTTCGAATTTCTTGGTTGGAGATTTCGAAGAAGCTTTGGCAAACTTCAATGATACTTTATTATATCTGAGAGGAAACAACATGATCGATTATGCCCAACTCGGTCTTCTCTTCAAGCTATATTCATGCGAAGTGTTATTTAATCGTGGATTGTGTTACATATATTTACAACAAAAGGAAGCGGGACTACAGGATTTCTCTTTCGCTGTAAAAGAGAAGGTTGTTGAGGATCACAATGTTATTGATGAGGCAATTCGTGATGAAGCAGAGGTATGTTTTTTATTTGAGGTTTATTGAAGTTCTACTAACATCCTCATAGGGTTATACCGTTTTCTCTATTCCCGTTGGAGTGGTTTATAGGCCTAATCAAGCCAAGGTCAAGAACTTGAAGACCAAAGATTATCTGGGAAAAGCACGTTTAGTTGCAGCTTCAGATCGTGCTAATGCTTTTACTGGATTTGCTGGTTCAGAAATCAAGAATGTAAGTAATACTGTTGTTTGTTCCAACGTGTGACACTAATTGTTTCAGGCGGGTATAATACAACCGAAGGACGACCGTCCAACAGAGAATCTTTCATACGCTGCGGCGAACCTCGTAAAGCCAGGTCTGGCTAGTAAGAGGCAACAATCAGAACCTCCTCTAAACCGAAACGTATTTCCACCCACGCCACCTCCTGAGTCAGAGAAATCTTCTGGGCCTCCTCCTATGAGTCGTGGAGCTTCTGTTCGTAACGGACCTAAACCCATGCTAGCTAAACTCAATATCGAAAAAGCACGTCCTAATGAAGGTTATGAGATTCGTGAGCGTGACGATGTGAGAAGTCCTCCGGATGCAAGAAGCCCACCAGATGCAAGGAGTCCTCCAGATGCTCGACCTAGACGTGGAACTCAACGAACAGCATCAGAACCAAGGGGACCATCATCAATGCAATATTCCAATAAAAGATCCGAATCACGCTCAAGACAACCACCAAGAAGAATGCAACCGACTCAAGAGGAAGATGATTACCCTGAAGATCTTTATGATATGTATAGTTCACCAAATCGACGATCGAATAACTCTAGGCGCAACACACGAAACAGATATAATGAAGGAGAAAGTGAATATGCAAGCGATTACGATGAAGGTTCCTTTGACGAAGATGAATTCGAAATGGTCTCTAGTCGCCCACCTCCTAGATCACGTACAACATCATCAATTAATGGTGGGAATGGTCGAGCTGGTTCTCGCCAACCCGATGTTCGCAAAGTTCGTGTAAAGGTTCACGCTGAGGATGTCCGATATATTATGATAGGCTCGGCTATCGAATTCCGCGATTTTCAAGAAAAAATAAAGGAGAAGTTTGGGTTGCGTGATCGATTCAAGATTAAAGTTCGTGATGAGGATGTTCCAAATGGTGATATGATTACTATGGGTGATCAAGATGATTTGGAAATGGTATTAATGAGCGTAAAAGCAAACGCAAAGAAAGAACGTTTAGAAATGGGAAAATTGGAAGTGAGTTTTTCGCCTTTTTTTTTCCTTGTCTTTTTGAAATTATCACACTTGCTAACATGACATTAGATTTGGGTAGTAAAGGCATAAGTGATGTGAGGATAAGCTAAGATAATGAATATTGACGATTATGTACTTTTTTTCCTTTCTTTTCTGTTTCTGTTTTCTGGTATAATAATACAGAAATAGAAATCTTATTTATTTTTGGGAGTGGAAGGAAGGAAGAAAGAAAGCGAGATAATTGTTTGTTTGCTTGCTTGCTTGCTCGAGAGAAAATCTTTCTTCGATACCTATGATATGATATGATACCAGTAAATATCCTCTTTAGCGAATATAAATGAAATGAAATGCATTGTTATTCGTTTCTTTTTCTTTTACATCTATTCATTTTTGAATACTTAATTATTGAGATTTATTTGTTTGTTTGGTTGGTTAGTTGTTTAATTGCTTTTTATACTGGTAGTGATGGTGATGGATGGAAGTGATGGAAGGAAGTATTGTGGTGAGTGAGTGAGTGAGTGAGTGAGTGAGTGGGTGGGTGGGTGTCTTTGTTGATTGTTTGTTATTTGGATGGGAATGGTAGGGAAAGTAGGAAGGTGTATTTGCACTCCATATGTGTATTTGGGTGTATAATATGAATATGAATATGAATATGAATATGAATATGTTATAAGATTATATATTTTCCAGTCTTGGGAAAGAGGTGAGGGATTGGAAGGAAGGAAGGAGGGGAAGGAAAGGAAGGGAGGCGAAATTTTGCTATTACTGTTATTTAGGGTTTTGGTTTTGGTTAGTGGTTGAGTTTCTTTAGGGGAGAGGGGAGGAAGAGATAAGTTAAGGTTAAGAGATATATATAGTGATGTAGTGATAGGAAGGCGAGGGAGAGAGGAAGGAAAGGGAGGGTGGGTGGAGGATGGGTGTGGAAGATATAATATAGTATAGTATAAGTATGAATATAGAGATGAAGATCAGTAAAGATATTCATTGTGGAGGAAGTATAATTATTAGATCTTACTTGATATGATGTACAGGGCTGAAGTTATGTATAAAAGTTAAGTATACTCTGTGAATCTTTTAAGTTATGTTTGGATATTGGGATTTTATTATATATATACAATATTGAATAGATTATAACTTATATTATATCTTTAAATTTTAAATAGGTATTTAATAGTTCTGTTGTATTCATTTTAAATGATATACTTTAACCTATGGTCTGCTATTCCAGGATATCCAAATCTATACTCTTTAAATCCCCTCTCTCCCAACCAAGTTCCACATCCTAACATCCATTTCCCATTTCCCAATCATAAAATTACCCCTTCACCTCCCTACCTCACCTCCCACCTCCTCATCTAGGCATCCTCCTCATCTCATCCTTACTCCAATACCTCCTCATATTCTCCGCCCCCAAAGTCTCAACCTCCTGATCCAAATGTTTCCACAACACCTCCCCAAAACTATTCATCTTCTCCCCCAAAACCTTCAAATTCAATTCCGTCTCCCCGTCCCTACATTTCTCAAGATATTCCTGCATAATATCCATACCCTGATGAATTTCCCTATGCTGTCTCAATAATTCAGCAGCATTTTTCCCAGCGCGGAATTCGGGCATTTTGCGCGCGAGAACGGGGAATATGTGTTGTTCTTCGATGCCGTGGTGCATTTCTAGTGAGCTGAGGAAGGAAAGTCCCGCTTGGATGAATTGTCGGATTGTGAGGTTGCGTGGTCGTTGGTTGTTAGTTGTGGCTTTGTGGAGGATTGTCCAGGTGTGTCGGAAGTGGTTGTGCTGGGAGGATGTTAGTGAGGATTAGTTTGGGATGGAGGGAAGTTGTGGATGGGAGGGGTCGTACGAAAAGATCCATATGGTCGGCCATGGAATTATAGATTTTGAAATCTGCGGCGCTTAATTCGGGTAAAGCTTCTTCCTTCTTTTCTTCCTTTTCCTCCTCCTTTGGAATCTCCTTCAATGTTTCTTCCTTCTCATCTTTCTTCTCCAAATTCTCCGCCGGTTTACTCGTCGACTCCTCTAACCTATCAATCGTCTCATGTTCATTCGCATTTGCATTCGCATCCACACCCGAACTCGACATCTTTGCAATTCGAATCTGCGAAAACCGTAAATTGGATATCTTCACTGCAACCAAACTTTTATCCACAACCACAACCCAGTTTCTCGAGTAACCTAAAGTTCTAATAGCGCAAGTATAAAAATTTCCAGAAACAGGAGAAGTTACCAAAGACGCCAATCTTACAGTGGTAAAGAGTGACAGCGAACGAATAGATAATAAACGTCGCATTTATCACTTATCAGCAGAAATTTATACATAGTGAGATTAGCATGGTGGAAGGATGGGAATTAGATATTTTTGTACGGAGGGGTGGATTGGAGGATGTTGATTTCCAATTGCTGACTATTAGTTGAGTAAGGCAGGTTGGTGGGATTATGTTATCCAATTTTTTATTTTACTTCATTTTATTTTATTTTATTTCATTTCATTCTATTTGCTCGCGGTCCGTGGATAACGAAACGAATGAATTTCTCCGAATGTGGATAGACCGGATAAGATAAGATCTGGGGAGGGGAAGATCTAACCGGGGATTAACCTTAGACGATGGATCTACATTGCGTCGATTAAGTAAATGTACATGTACTTGGCATTTTTATTTGAATATCTAATAGCACTCTATTTCACAATTCATCACTTTGAGACGGTGCAACTCCATCTTCATCCTATTGTAATTGTACATGCACATTTAGAAGCAACTTTAAATCACCCGATCATGAAAGAGAATCTCCTATTCTTCTTTCACAGACTTTCATCCATCCATCCATCCATTCATCCATTCATCCATTCATCCATCTCATCACAACTACCTCGAACTCCAACAATGACAATAACTCTGTGGCCCACGTTTTACCTATCGACGTCAGTCAGGAAAGGATCATTGACGTCTTCACTTGATATTTAACCCTCGAATACCTAGGTAGGTAGGTAGTACCTGTAAATTAACAAAATATGTCGATTATTCCTGCCCTATTTTTGGAGATGAGATGATAAAATAAATTCTCTTACCTCTAATATAATTAAGTATCTTTTTCATTATTGTCTTCTTTACATCAGTATTCATGTCGACCGTTTAATATACATTACATTACATTACATTACACATCAAGACAGCATTTTGCAAATAATTTCTATATGAATTAATATCCACTCCACTCCACTGCACTCCAATCAGACCAGAACTAGAACCAACCCCCCTCCTGGAAAATGTCTAATCTCAGCTCCTCAACCTGCTCCCCCAACATCTCCAATTTCCCCTCTCCAACCACAACCACAACCACAACCACAACCACAATCAAAACCATAACCATAATCACAACCACAACCAAAACCACAACCACAGCCCCCCTCAAAGCCGCCTATGCAACCCTCATAACCACCCCCTCCTACATCCCCGGCGTACTTCTCCTCGCCCACACCCTCAAAAAGCAAGGTTCCCAATATCCACTCATCCTCATGTACACTGGACTCCCAGAAAACTACATCGAGCATCTCACACGAGAGGCCAAACTCTCCAACATAATCCTCCACGAAACCACACTTTTAAACCTAAGCCCGAACGCGGGAGTCGCCGCCCGGTTCGCAGATACCTGGACGAAATTACAAGTATTCTCGCTATACGATTGCGGGTACGAAAGGATCTGTTTCCTAGACGCAGACATGTTGATTCTCGGACCCATGGATGAATTACTCCTTAACACCGCTCTTCGAAAACCAGGCATCGAAGGAGAAGCTGGGAAACTCCTCGCTGCAAACCACGTCTGCGTGTGCAATCTCGATCAAGATTCCTGGGCGCCCACCGACTGGTGTCGCGAAAACTGCGCATATACAACCACCAGCAATCACCCTCCACAACAAACAACCCAACACGTCCCTCCAACCGGCACCGGTCTCCGCACCCACACCCTCCTCAACTCAGGCCTCTTCATCTTCACCCCCAGCGAGGAAACCTGGAACGACATGTGGAACTTCATCCACACCCACGGAACCACTCTCTCGAGCTACCAATTCGCCGACCAAGATTTCCTAACCGAGTGGTGGCGCGATCGCTGGGTCAGCGTAGGATGGAAATGGAACGCTTTGAAAACATGGCGGCATTGGCATCCGGAGATGTGGCGCGATGAGGACGTACGCGCCTTGCATTATATAGTTGATAAGCCGTGGCGAGCTCGTGTTCCTGCTTCTGGGATTGCCGGGTATAAGGGGAATGATGGGGTAACGCATGGATGGTGGTGGGAGGCGTATGGGGAATGGGAGGAGGAAAGGAGGGAGGCGGGAGAGATGGGGATATTGGAGTTGGTGAGTGGTTTGGTTGGTTAATGGTTTTTTTGAGAATTGGATTTTTGTAAATGGTTGGTGGAGAGTTGATGTTGGTTAGATTTGTAGTTTCAGGTCTGGCGTTTGGAGAGGATAGGATATGTACTAGGTACCTTTTGTACGAACAGCGGAGTAGTTAGCGAACCATATTGTATGGGACTCAGCCAGAGAATTATCAGCCGGAGAATCATTCAGGAAGATCGTTCATGGCTTATTAGTTATGAAATAAGCTAACTGTACTTACATTATCGACTGTGGGGTGAAGAATAAATTCAGCGCCATTGTCATAGGCAGAAAGACATTGGAATAAAATAGCTGGTTCTTTAGCACACATTCAGCAGATGTCTGTCACTTTACGGTAAAACCGAATCAAGAACCAACCAACTGAGAAAATTCGGTGTTTCTGCGCTGTTTTATATTCTCTGCATTGTCAACTAGCTCGCTTTCATCTTTAACCCATTTCATTCAATCAACCCATCCATCCATCCGTCCATTCATGCAATGACTGATAGCTTACATGAATCGAATTTTGATGTGCATCCCTGATACTAGCAAAAGACCCTGCATATCCACTTCACTTCATTTCTCCGACGATGTCTAATAACAACTTCGCCAATTCATTTTATGCAATCTCCTGTTTTCCTTCCATTATTCCTTTCTCATCTCGTTGCAGAACTCATCACTTCGTAGAATCCCAACGCTCCCAGCCCACATTGATATTCGTAGGAAAGCCCTGGCTTTGGGTATCATGACTCAAATTTTCCCGATCCCTATGACAACACACGCCCATCATATAATGCGCGAAGAATAATATGAACACTAGCTTCCAAGCTGCAGTTGCCGTTGCTAGATTATAAGTTTAGCGTGATTCGTTGTCGCTGGCCGTCGATCCTTCTGCTCATCTCACTACTTTAGAGTCGTAAAGCTCAGTGATATTGGCTCTGTCCCATGAAACCCTCCTCCAATGTTCGATCTTCCAGATTTCGAATGAAGTCTCGATTTCGGGTGGGTGCTTGTCCACCTTGAGCAGCTCTGCTTCCTCTTCTCCGTGCGCTTCCAGGATTGCCGTCAGGAACTCCATCTGGTGGAGGTGGATAGTATGCAGGACTAGGTTGTAAACGAATAGGTTGACTAGGATCAAGATGACTAGCAACTCTTTGTATCGTGACGGGTATACCTCCCTGCTGAACTTCCATTGTCGAAGCACGTTGCCTTCCAGATCTTACCGTAGCCTGCTGATAGAGACTTGGTTGTTGCTGTGACGGGCCAGCTCCATATTGCGCCGGTGGCATCTGTGCTGATGGTTGGCCTATCATTCCCATTTGGTTATAACCTTGCTGCGTGGGGTATGGAGGTGGTGCTGTCTGATGCGAGGCTTGGTGAGGAGCCTGGTGGTTGGAGTTCGGAGTGTACATGTTGTTATTGTACATTGGTGGGTGCTGCTGGTTTTGTGGTACTTGGCCATAAGAGTTGACCGGCACACTCGAATTGTATGACGCATGAGCTGCAGACTGAGCCTGTGAATGAGCTTGAGCTTGCGCGGCCTGTGCTCGTTGATTGCTTAATGCTTCGGCCTGTTGCTGTTGTGTAGTTCCTGGGGCCGGAGATCTATTGATGGCACTCGACTTCAAATTCGTTGGTGGAACGAACGGACCCGTGAACTTCTGCTGAGTGATGAATGGATGTAACTTAGCCTGTTGTGGGGACCAGCGCTCTAGAGGGTTGATATTAAGCAAACCCCGGACAAAATCAATGAAAGCAACCCGGTTGCTCATTTCTGGATATAGCGTTAGCTGAAATCACTAGCAGGCAGGGAGATCATCTTACCTCGCTCGACTTCGTTTGGTTTCATGTTCTTTCGCGGCATCGCGTATGAACGAATGATTTCCGGAAGAGTGGTAGCTTGGAAGTACTTTTTACTTGGTTGCTCCTTTGTTCCATGTTCGCGGGAATATTGCTCCATGGATTTGAGATGATATGTTCTTCTGCCATAATCATCCACATCATGCCTCTTCTCGAAGAAATCTCCTGATTGTTTCCCCATCTCAAGCATCCAATTTGGTGGGTTACCCAGCATCTCAACTATTCTAGAGACTTGGTTGTACTCCGAAGATCCTGGGAATAGTGGAAGACCCAAGAACAACTCAACAACAATACAGCCCAATGACCACATATCGATAGCTGATGAATATGGTAGACCAAGTAATACCTCAGGGGATCTGTAAAATCTCGATTGGATGTATGTATAGACTGTTTGACGTTCGTCGCAGGCTGATCCAAAATCAATAATTTTGATGATAGGGCTCTCAAGGTTCTTGAGCAGAATGTTTTCCGGCTTCAAGTCGCAATGAATGAGTCGAGCTTTATTCAGCAAGCTCAGCCCATTCAAAAGTTGTTGCGCAAAGACCCGCACAAGTGTGGTACTCAAACCTCTGAATTGGTTCTGCTTGATCAGTTCATACAAGTTTACACTTAGCAATTCGAAAACCAGGCAGAGATGTTGGCGATGGATGAATGTATCTTTCAGCCGCAGTAGGTGATGATCGTCGTTTTTATCGAGCTTCGTGTTGAGCTGTAGTAAAAGGATGGAAATCAGCGAATGGAATTATCATTTTCCTGGAAGGGCTTACCAGGTCTAGAACAGAAACCTCCATCATACTTTGATTAAAGTATGCAGTCCTGTTTTTAACAACCTTTACAGCCACAACTTCCTGGGTTTTCAGATTTTGACATTTGACAACTTGGCCAAAGGTACCTTGGCCTAGAACATCTAGGATGAGATAGCGGTTTCTGCACAACATGTTAGCAGGAGAATTCTCAAAAATAGAGTTACTATCAACCACAAAACATACTTATGAGTAGTTTCCTCAGACCCCAGAATATCATTCACATAAAGTATATAATCACTATCTTCGTTATCGAACCCGTCATTCTTGACACCTTTGCTTGGTTTGGTGAGCACTCTACGTGGATTCCGCGATGATTCGTATTTGAAGCTAGGGTTGCATATCCGATATGTAGAGGGGAGATGGCTTGTTAGAGCTTGGAGAGGCTGAAACCAAAATAATTAACACGAATTGCAATCATGTTGCGCATAATGAGGAAGCTTACACTTATGAACCCGCCCTCGGGATTAGCTCTGCGAAAAGCCGGCTGCGCATTAACCTTTGGTTGCAGGTCAGATGTAGAACGAATTTTTGTAAATTCAGGAACTGGTCCTCTTCCAGGCGGACCTTGCGCCAGTTGGGGTACTGGACGTCGAGGAGACTTTGCGTCATTACCAAACATAGCATTCAGTTGTTGGGTCGCAGAGGTTGGGTATGATTCATTGTTAGAATTAGGAGCATATGGCTGAATAGGTGGTAATTGTTGACGATTAGGATAATACGAATTCGGGGAAGAATACGATGCGTTCTTCGAAGGAGATTTTCTGCTGCCAGCCCCGGGTGGTGACATGTATTGATTCGAGTTTTGCTGTTGTGCCGCGCCGTATGGCGAGGTTGGCGATAAAGTCTCCATGGGAGAATAACGCTGAGCGGCCGCAGATGGCTCTTGCGGCGATTGATGAGATAACCTCTGACTTCCCGAAAGGTGTTGTTGATGATGAGGGCGCATGGGATACTTCATGTTGTATTGATCTCCAGAGTCTTGCATGGCCACATCTCCGTTCCCATCTGTCATTTGAGGGGTAGCAGGAGAACTTGCCAGAGATTGAGGATGTGATCCTAAAGCTCCTGGAAATTGATCGTATGTAAAACCTGTTGGAGGTTGGGTTTGGGGGTTCCCATTATAATCTCTAGCCATTTGGAGATGGGCTGGTGGGGGGTTTCCGTTGTACCTTCTTGAACCTGATGATTCAGAATAATTCTGCCACTGGTCCATTTTGACGATACTGTGGAGATGTTCGGGATTTTGAGTGGGGGAATGTGAAGTTATTGGGCACGATTGTCGACTTCTGAAGTAATAATACCAAAGAAGCAGATACGGTTATGTCGCACACTTTGTTGTCGAAGGGTCTTCCGCCAAAAAGCGATAGAGAACGCGTCGCAATAAAAAGCAAGTAAACCTCTTTAAAAGAGGCAGAAATAGCCTATGAAATACCAAATATTGGTCAACATATCATGGTGAAAGAATGAAGGAGGTCGAGAGATTTGAGTGTAGAGATAATTCACTTGGTTGACTGGGGGGGAAATGATGTTAGTAACTGTCGTGGAATTGATGGACTCACACACTACAAGGACATACGACATACCCTCGCTGCCGGGGACTTGGATTGTGAACTAAAAAAGAGTAGCGAGCTTGGGAAACGTTTTATAGTTGCCCAAACCAAACCAAGCAATGTCATCAATCAAAATATGCCAACGAAGGTTGAGGGCAATAAATCGCACAAAGACAATGGTGGATGGAATAGAGCGAACATTCAAAGGTATATATATCCAAGGTGAGATGATTTGGTAAATTGAAATGGGTATATTTATGTATTTATGTATATATTATTAGGATTTATATAGATTGACGCTGCCCAAATGATATGATTCAGTACGCAGTTAGTTAGTCTACTAGTTCCTCTACTGGCCTACTTAACCTTGGAAAACAAACTCTCTCTAGGCACAAGTTTCCAGCTTTTTGGATTTTAAAGGCTACGGGTGTGTATTTAGTATACATATCTACTGCGTACGTATGAACCTGGATGTTGGATAACTGTTTCGAGAAGATCATGAGGTGCTTTCTTGTTGTTAATATATCAAGCAAATAAAGATGCATGAGAAAGGCACCAGTGCAGCTCCAAAGCGGAACTTCAGTCAGCCAATTTGCCAAATACGAAGGCCCATCTCGAAGCCAAAAAAAAGAGATCAAGAGCATGTCATCAAAGGATCACCGTCTTTGTTCAATTTGAAACCAGGGAATCGTATAATGGATGTGGCATATTCCAAACTCAAAGATAAGCCAAAATTCTTCCCGTTCAATGGGAATGCTCTCTCGAGTGCCCTGATTGACCATTTCGCCGTTTTTGCCCTTTTTCTTTCATCTCGAAAGACACAACTCACAAGGCAGTTACTCGCTCTCACGGGGTAAGTCACAGCAGGCCCTCATCAATTGTGCTATCTATCCCATGCCGATTCCCATACATATCCGTATTTTACCTTTTAAATATTTGGTGGATGTTTCGCGGGAAGAGTAATCCAATGAATGAATGACGTTGTCTCTTAATTCAAATGCATTGAATTCTTATTGATCTGATCATCAATAATTACCCCCAAGTCTCAAAGATAAGTGAGTACCCAGCCCAGTCCAAGCACAGCACCAGCCATTGTTGAAGTGCGAACTGCGAAACCTCGAGATTTACCGGCGAGATCAATTACATAATCAGTCCACTTTTATATCTGTTATTCAATACATAATAAATGAGGAGATGCTCTTTCACCTCTGTGCTATATGGAGTACATAGATAAAGAAAGATCCAACAGAACGTAACAGAATTTACAGTCAAGCTTAAAGGTTGGAAATGCAACAAACAGATACATGGATGGATTACTAATTCATTAGTAATCAGGCTGCAATGCAGAGCTAATGCACAATCACTTTAATTCCAGCCTTAGCAAGCAGTCCCGAACATCATGACGCATACGGGGAGAAGCGTCTGATGTAGAAACTTTTTTCTATTGATGAATATTCGAGATCATTGACATGGTCAGGGAAGGACATCGAAGTTCACTTTTTTTGCTAGCAGAAGTACGGCTTCATTCTTTCTTGTCTGTTAATCACTTGCTACTCTAAGCTGTAAGGGTTCGATATCTTTACATCTTTAATTCACTCACTTGTCGATACCGTAGTCGCCTCCCAAACTTGGATCACCTCCACCCTCAACCTCCTTACCTTCACATACATACATACATGAATACATACACATACACCACATACAAACCTATTAAACGGGGACTGTGACTTCTCACTAACCACGCGCAATCAATCTTTGCAATTTTAAATCATACGCCCTACTTCTACATACAATTTCCATTGTCCTAATTCACCTCATCAACCTTTCGTTTGATGAGTGTCCAGAATGGATTCATCCACTGAACCTCGCCATACTCATAATCGTTCGACTTATATTAAATCTGAAAGCATGTCCCCGCCTCCTCATAATATCAGACTTCACCGAGAACATACCGATACCATTGAAGAGGCTGCAGCAGTCATTGCTGATGAAGCACTTCTCAGTGATAATGATGCAGACACAAAAGCTCAAAACTTTGGACCGGGAAGACTGGTAAGATAAAGCCAGCTCCTTTCCACAATTCGGACTTTACAGTATCCAAATCATCCCATGCACTGGAAATGCTCTGGGCCTCAGTGCTAACATAATCTCTAAACAGGCTGGCCAGCAGCAACCTCAAGATGAAGCTAGTGCTCTAGCCGGTTTGACCGAAACTGTTCGCAATCAGGATGACCTTGAACGAGATATTACAAACCAAGCCAATCTGGTTATGATTGAGCAGGAAGATCAGCGGGATCAGAAGCGCATTGAAAAAGTCAAGAATAGTATTGAGAAACTCGAGAATCAGAAACACAGCCAAGAACGCCGCCTCAACACTCTTTCGAACAACCCATTAATGCGCCAGCGATGCGTTGATGAGATCTCAAGAATTGAAGCCGAAATTTTTGCATTCAAGAATGATATTGCCGATATACAAAAACGAATCGACGAAAGACATCAGTACAATGGGAACTATGCCGAAACCGATCTTGCTGGCGGAAGCAGACGTATGCCCAACGAGAGCCAAAGGGAATTCCTTATTCGTACAGGCAAAATTACACCTTTCCAGCAGACCTCGGATGCAGCTACCGACCATGTTCAATCAGCCCTTACGGATGCGTTAATGGATGCAGAAGGAAAGGATATCAACGAACCAGAAAATGCGGAAGCAGAACCTAGATCACATCAGAACCTTCGTCTACCAGGTTTCGCGGATGTAACAGATAACACAGTCAGTAAAACTGAGAGCGAATTTGGTCTGCGCCCTCGGAAAAAGAGAAGACTCGTCAATGCTGCGTCCACAGATGTGTCTCCTGCTCGTTCATCTTCACCAGATGATACTTTTTCCCGTGAAAATTTAGCCGATGAAGAGGATGAATTGGTTGAAGATGATGATTATGATGAGGAAGATGAGGATGATGCTCTTATGACAGCCCGTACTTCAATGAGGAAGAGATCAAAGCCTGGCAAGGCTCGAAAAGACGAGGCGCAAAGCTTGGCTGGTATTGATGATGGAAACGAGGACATGTATCAAGCACGTCTGGCAAACTGGGTAGAGAAACGAAGAGCTGCACGACGACAATATTTGGAACACAACCCTAAAAGCGAGAATGATGCAGCTGCAGAAGATTCTCCGGAGGAGGAATGGTTCAAGCCATGCCCAGGACAACCTGATCACCAGTTTGAAAATGGTCTGAAACTGCCTGGCGATATTTTCCCTGCACTCTTCGATTACCAGAAGACCGGTGTTCAATGGCTGTCAGAACTTTACAATCAACAAGTTGGGGGAATTATTGGGGATGAAATGGGCCTTGGCAAGACCATTCAGATCATATCATTTTTGGCCGGTCTGCATTACAGTAAAAAGCTTACAAAGCCTATCATTGTCGTTGCTCCTGCAACTGTCCTTCGCCAATGGGTCAACGAGTTTCATCGGTGGTGGCCAGCTCTTAGGGTTTCAATTTTGCATAGTTCCGGAACCGGCATGCTCAATGTCAGAAACGAATGCAGATTAGAGGACGAAGAGGATGATATTCTTTATGGCCAAACAACTAAGAAAGCTCCCAAGTCGCAAAAGCTGGCTCAGAAAATTGTCGACCGTGTTGTCAAGCATGGTCACGTATTGGTGACCACATATGCTGGACTCCAGACTTACAGCGATACTCTTATCAATGTTGACTGGGATTACGCTGTATTGGATGAGGGACATAAAATTCGAAATCCTAACACTGCTGTCACTATCTACTGCAAAGAACTACGAACACCCAACCGAGTCATACTTTCGGGAACTCCTATGCAGAATGGGCTGATAGAATTGTGGTCACTCTTTGATTTCGTCTTTCCTATGCGCTTAGGCACTCTAGTTAACTTTCGACAATCATTTGAAGTACCTATCAAAATTGGAGGTTATGCCAACGCCACAAATCTACAAGTTCTGACGGCAACCAAATGTGCTGAGACATTGAAAGATGCAATCAGTCCATACTTACTTCAACGACTGAAGGTTGATGTTGCGGCAGATTTACCAAAAAAGAGTGAGCAAGTCTTATTCTGCAAGCTTACAAGGCCTCAAAGGGATGCATATGAAATGTTTCTTGCATCTGATGAGATGAAGTCAATCTTGAACCGTACTCGTCAATCACTTTATGGTATTGATATCTTGCGGAAGATCTGCAATCATCCAGATCTTCTCGATAAACGATTGAAGACCAAACCCAATTACAAATGGGGTAATGGAAACAAGTCGGGAAAAATGCAAGTTGTAAAAGCACTTTTACAAATGTGGAAGGGCTATGGGCATAAGACTCTTCTCTTTAGTCAGGGTGTCCAGATGCTTGATATACTTGAAGAATTTGTCAAGAAACTTGGTGGATTCAATTATCTTCGTATGGATGGTGGTACAGCAATCAAGGATAGACAGACTCTCGTCGATCAGTTCAACAATGATCCCAATATGCATGTCTTCCTTCTCACGACTAAAGTTGGCGGCCTTGGCGTTAATCTCACTGGCGCAAACAGAGTAATTATCTTTGATCCTGATTGGAATCCATCCACGGATGTACAGGCTCGTGAACGTGCATGGCGTCTTGGTCAAAAGAAGGAGGTCACTATATACCGACTTATGACTGCCGGTACGATTGAAGAGAAGATTTACCATCGACAAATATTCAAGCAATTCCTTACCAATAAAATTCTCAAGGACCCGAAGCAGCGACAAACTTTCGCTATGAAGGATCTTTATGACCTTTTTACCCTCGGTGATCAAGATGGTGGAACCACTGAGACTGGTGAAATGTTCAAAGGCACAGAGGTTCAATTCAGCAAGACTTCCAGTCCTTCAACCTCTCCTAGTTTATCCGTCGATCCGGGTCAAGGGGATTCGGTATCCGATCTTCGAAACCTTGCTGGAGTTGCTGAACTTGAGCAATTCAATGATCCTTCCGAGGAAAAGGAGAAAGATAACGAAGAATCCAGATTAATGGAAGGTATCTTTGCTCGTTCTGGAGTTCATAGCGCTCTTGAACATGATCAAATTATTAATGGAAAGAGAAAGGTTGCAGCTGATCGTGGAATGATTGAACGTGAAGCCAAGAGAATTGCCGCTGAATCTGCTACCGCACTGAGACGTGCTGGAGAAGCAGCAAGGAGTATTACACCTGGAACTGTTACTTGGACTGGAGAATATGGATCTGCTGGTAGACCAATTAATGTTCGAAGAGGTGCAGGTCCAAGCTCATCAAGTGTTTTATCAAGCCTTTCAAACAGACAAGGTATTGCACAATCTTCTAGTTCGAATAGTTCACGAGCTGCAACTCCAAATCGTCCAGTTGGGCGTCAACGTCATGATTTTGCTAAGATGATTGTCGATTTTATTAAGAGAATGGGTGGTTCAGTACCAAGTCAGGCAGTGGTCAATCATTTTGATCGATATTGCACATCAGATCGATTGACAGCAGAATTCAAGCACACACTGACTGAAGTTGCAATTTGTGAGCGAGGTACGAATAGTAGGATGAGAGCCAAGTGGGTATTGAAAGATGAATTTAAATAATTAACACGACTGAATGTTTCATGAGATATTATCAAGGCGTTTAGGGAATGCGGGATAAATGGAGAGGAAACTCAGGGAATAAAGGCAAGATCTAATACCATTTGTATTATAGAATTATATGCTTTGGGATGGGCGTTGGGAGATTCTCTTTGGACTCTGAATGGTGTAGTGATGCTTAGCGATAATTTTAGGAGGCGTAAGGGTATTATCATAGATGAATTATAAACAGAACATTATTTAGTAAGATTACATGTTTACGTTCTAATGCTGAATATACAGTGAAATATATATACACACCAAGATTTCGTTTATATGTTTGTATCTAAGGATTTTCAAGAGGTTTTGAAATTTATATAGACAGATGAAGATAAAGATGAATAGTTGAAGAAATCTTTCTATATGTATTTCATTTCATTTTAATATAATATAATATAATACAAAATACTCTAATTTTTTATTTCTTTCCTTCTCTCTCTAAAATGAAATAAAATAAAAGATAAAAAGAAAAAGAAAAAATATATATATATAAATCAAGTAAATAATAATAAAAAAACCCCAAAAATATTCTTTATATCTTTTTTTTATTTTTATTTTTATTTTTATTTTTTTTTACTCTTGATTATTTGAGGGGAAATATTTTAAAGATCTAAATTATAAGTTTAAGTATAAGTTTAAGTATAGGTATTTAGGTGGTGGAGTTTATTTATTTTGTTTATTTTGTTTGTTTGTTTTGTTTGTTTTGTTTGTTTGTTTAGTGAAGAGAGGAGGGAAGGAAGGAAGAATGGGAGGAGGGAGGAGGGAGGAGGGAGGAGGAAGGGGGGAGGGAAGAAATGGTGGAGGGAAGAAAGGAAGAAAGGAAGAAATAATGGAAGTGAAGGAAATCGGAGAAGAAATGAAGAAATGTCCATTTCAATTTGGTTCGATTTAACCTATTCTATCTTGTGTTTGAAATTCCAAATTCGAAGAATATTTGAACTGCATGCAATACATTTCTTCCTTCCTTCCTTCCTTCCTCTTCCCTCTCTCATCCATCTCTTCTTTACTCATAAATCCATCCAATACCAGATCAAATCAAATCAGATAATACAAGTACCTCTGATTAATTAATTAAAAGTCCCAACTGCATAAACGGTATTTGGACCTTTATCTTCGAAGTTTGTGGTGCTGATTATGGAGTTCCAGCCGCTGTTTTGGGGGGAAGAGAGAGAGGAGGTTAGTTTTTTTGTGGTATTTATTTTTTATCGGGAGAAAGAGGAGGATTTGTTTAATGGGAGGGGTGGTTGAGATAGTAAGGAAGGAGCGGGTTTTGGGATAGAGGAGAAGGAGGTAGGGATTTGGAGGAGAATGGGGAAGAGGGTTCGCTTGAATCCGAGGAATATGAAAACTCGAATTGAGTTGAGGAAGAAGATATTCAAAACCAGACAAAATAAAAATAAAAACATACAAAAATGCATCCTGTCCCTTAACCGTATCAACAATAGTCATAACGGCAAAATCTCCACCAGTGTTATATCCCCAGTTTACCTGCCAGGCATTGCTGGTTTTGCTGCAGGAGAGAGAGGAATAGGAATGGGTTTGGGGGGTTGCGCTGCTGGGGGGTGTGCTGGATGTATCGTTGTAAAGGCAGGGTACTGTTTGGGTGGGGGTTAGTTGGAGGTTGGGAGAAGAGGTGATAGTGGAGGAGGAGGATGTAGGGGAAGGGGGAGAGGGGGAAGGGGAAGAGGGAGAAGGGAAGGGATGAAGGGGAGAGAGGGAAAGGATGGGAAAAGGGAGGGAAAAGCTCACCTTTGACAGTAGCACCACTTGTGGGAATCAGATTAATATTGAAACTGTAGGTGCAGATTGTTGCTGTGCATGCTGTGTAGACAGTTAGTAAGATTATCTCGATGTAATGCTCCAAGCCCTCTTCTCATCCACTCATTTTATCAACGTCATCAACTTCAACCACTTCATCCATTTCATCCACTTCACCTACTATCCCCATCGCCTCCGATCCCACCAAATCTCATCCACATCCTCATCAAGCCCGTGGGGGAAAGGAGGGGAAAACTCCCAAACTCCCAAACAAATCCAAAGCTCAAAAAAGAAACCATAAAACATACGTCTAGTAAAATCCGTCACTTTCCACTGTACATCCGGAATAGCACTCGAAGCAGTAGTACTACGTTTTCCAACGATATCCACCGGCACAGATGCCGAGAGAACTGATGCTGTGAAAGCAGTGATGAGAAGGAGAGATTTGGTGAACATTTTTCTCGTTATATGTGAGATGTTTTGATTTGGTGCCGGGCGAGGATATTGATATGAAGTGAGGTTTGTTCTGTGTTGAAGTGGTGAGGAAGTGAAGATATGAGTTTTGAAGAGAGGAAATCCTCTGCTTTATAGAGATTTAGATGCTTGCATCACATATTGCATATCACATATCACATACGAAATCCATTATATAAAAATACAATAGTACGATACGTACGATATGTACAACATGACATGACATGACATGACAAGACAAGAAATGGCATGCAACGCAAAAATGTTTTGGTGTTTTGTTGTGCATGTCTTCGTCTTTCCTAGAACCAACGCAAATAATCAGCAGACATACAAAACACCTCGTATCCAAACTCATCGTACATATTCATCCGTTCCCCATCTCCCCTTTCAGAACATTGATAATCCATAATAACCATAGTACGAAATAGATATTTCCTCGATCGATCATCATCATGATGATCATCATGATGAGCTCATGATTTCGGGTCACTGTAACCTTATGCTTAACACGAATCCCGTATTCTGATCTGTACATACGGAGAGGATTCTTATTTATACGAGGTTTGATGTAACCTTTGAGTTTTCCCCGCTTTCTCGCTTTTATTCTTTACGGTAGATGTTTACTTGTCCTTGAGGTTGGGCTTGTGGAATGTTTATTGGTAGGTGGTTTCGTTTGTGAAGATCTTTTGTGGTTTATTTATTCTTACATATCTGGTGCATATACATACATACATACATACATACATACATACGGATCTACTCGAGTATATCTATAAAAATACATTCGTTGTATTGTATCCTCCCCTCGATCCTTTCCCCATCTGTCAAAGATCCACAAACCCCACAATCCTCCCTGGCCTGGATACAAGACCCACCAGTAACTCATTCTATTCTAACCCCTCACCATCTTCTCATCGTCACCATCACCATCACCACCGCATCTACATCTACATCCACATCCACATCCACATCCACATCCACAAGTACCCAACTACCCATCTATCAACCAACATAAGACTACACATTCACACATCCACAATCCACCATCCACAATCCACATATCCACACAGAACACACCTCCATACATGTTTCACTTCCCATCAATCCCATCATTCCCATCATTCCCACATCTTTACCATTGTGTATACGGACCGACCGTATGTAACCATAGCACCATCAATAAACAGTACCACAACCACAACCACAACCACAACCACGACACATCAAAACCCTACCTAATATCTAATCCTTAGTATACCCAGCTACCTCCTCACCATCTACCTACCCATTGTAAATTATACAGGGAGAGTGAGATCTAAGGATTGACGAGTAAATAAAATTGTTTTTTAATATTTTATATTAGATTTATTATTATTTAAATAAATAGTTAAACGATTCTTAACTTTGAATATTTTATTATAACCTTTTTTATTATTTAAACTTACTTTCAATACTTACATCGTCTTTTAGATATAAATATTTAAAATAAACTAAATTATATTTTGATATACTATTTATATCTCACATCATGTAATGAGAAAATTAAAATAATAAAAGAATAAAAAGTTTTCAAGTAGTCTCAAATATGATCAAATATCTTCATTTCTTTTGTCTTCGTGGAGCATGAACCTAGCTTTTCCTAAGCTCTACATTAAAACGCCTTGGGGTCAATTACAGCGCTGTAAGCAACCCATTCCCAATGCATTAACACATCCATCCATCCATCCATATTCAAGCTCTGCTACCAACAGCAGCTCCCAAAGCACCACCAGTGAATTGTGTTCCACCAGCTTGCCTTGGAGCATTGGAGATACCACCACGTCCACCACGGTTACCACCACGACCTCCTCTGTTACCACCACGTCCACCTCTGCCACCTTGTCTTTCAAAAGCATTAGCTGTGCCTTGTGTTCTTGTCTCGAGTGTGCGCTCATTGCTTTCAATCAAGCCACTAGCTTTGTCGCTAAGGCTCAATGCTAAGCTTTGGAGTCTGCTCAACTCAACACCCTTTCTGAAGATAATTGAAGAGTTGACTTGATCTAATGCGGCTGCAAGTTCCTCGTGACTAATCATCTTGCTAACAATGGCAGCAACCTTTCGGTCTGGGAGTTCAAACATTGATGAGAGTCTGTTGACGGATAGAGTATCGTAATAAGGAGCGTAAGTGAAAAGATATGTTCGGAGACCTTCTTCTTGAATCTGTGCTGAGAGCATTGTCTTGATCTCCTCAGGCTTGGACATGAGCTCCCAAATCTTGATCGAATGGATATAATCGGTTGCCTTTTTCCATTCACCTTGAGCTAACGCCTTTGATGCTTGCATGACATGATCTCTAGTGTTCTCAGGAGGTCCAGTGAAGATTTGACGCTCATGATATTCGAGCATACGTCTGTATGTCTTGCTGATAATTCTCTTCTTGATATCGGGGGATGAACCAGTTTGTGCAAATAGAGGAATTTCGAGAAGCATACTGCAGGTTAGGTATACACATTCAAGAAGTTCGAGGTTAATGTGCATATGGAATGGAAGTTGACGTTGTTTTTCGAGACGTTCTTGATCTGGGGTGACTTGGTTATACCTCTGGATCATGACACCTTGTGCAAGCAATTCCTTTTGACGGCCACTGCCACAGATTTCTTGGAGGGTTGTTTGAGCTTCATACACCAAGCCAGCTCTGAAAGCACAGAGACCGACTTGAACGAGGGTACGGTTGAACAAGATTTGGCTGTGAACGTCGAACGAATTGATAGTTTCTTGCAAGTGAGACATAAGCATCATATCACGAGCTTTGTAGTAGTTGTCATGTAGAGCTTCGAAATAGATTTGGCAAAGCATAGCCCGAGCTTTGGTGAGTCCCTCGCCCTCAGTGTTGATGTAGAGGTAGTTGCAGAGAATGTTGACCAAGGTCTTGGCATCTTGAACGGAACCTCGTGGTGTGATGGTGGAATCGAGCTCTGCGGGAATCGCTTTCCAGCAATTTTCATCGAGTATCTTAATGACCGCGGATGGCTATAAAAAATAAGTAGAGATTCTGATATAAACGTTAGATTACAAACCTTGAAGTACACGTGCTCCAATCTTCTCATAACAACTCTGTTCAAGCTGCGTTGGGGTTCAGTCAAGCTATCGTCCTTGCTGATTTCTTCCTGGTACAACATAGTTCTGACAATATTGTTGTAAAGATCACTCTCATCAGAAAGGCGTTCAATGTATTCGGCAGTATGGGGATCGATATGTTGAAGTGATCTTGTAAGCTCGTCATCGAGTCTTTCGACAAAAGAGACTATGCTTCCTGGAATCTTGAATTTTTCGCCATCAGCAACCGTAGGAAGCTTTTCATCATCCTCCCATGGTTCTGCGGTCTCCACAACAACAAATTCCCGGTTTGTTTCGACGACGCTTAGTAATGCTGCGAATTCCTTCTCCGCTGCCTTCCATTGCTCTTGGGACATAAAAGTTTGAGTACCAGTAGTCATGTCGAATCTTGTGGAAATAAGGGTCAAGAGGACTCTGATGCGTTGGTAAGGAGTAGCTGCTACTTCATACAACTTTTCCATGATCTTAATTTGCTCGTTGCGGTCGGTATTCTTCTTACCTCTGGACTCTAGAATGGTCCTCAAATGCTTAAGAATACTCTCTGGCGTGAATTGGAGAGTTCGTCCGCCCTTACCAACAGTACCCCATCCTTCATCATCGTCATCGTCGATGGCAAGATTTTGCGCTGCAGCTGAGGACTTGGCTTTCTTTGGTTTTGGTGCCACAACTTCCTCATCCTCTGATTCCATGTACGCATCTTTGTCCGCTCTGAAAGAGTCGATGTCCTTCTGATGCTCCTTGCTGGTCTTCTTGAGCTTTTGCTTAACAGCATTCAAACCTCTAGAATTGGTTGCATTCATCTTCTTTGGCGTCACCTTCTGCTTCGCCAAGGTCTCATTCATGAAATCTTCCAACTCGGCGAGTGCTTTGATGTAAACCTTTGGAGTTGTGCCGGATTGTAAAAGCTTGGCGACCTGTCGGTTGAGCTTATCGAACTCTGTAACACAATAGTTAGCTATGTCGTGAGGAAATATCTTTTAGTAGAATCTACGGACCTGCCGAGATCGATCCCCAATCATTAATCTTCTCGCCATTTTCGATGGCCTTCGCGGTAGCCTCGAGTTCTTCGAATCGCTTGTTCTTCGCAGACTTTACGACCTTTATTCCCTCATCTCCACTGCTCTCGCTATCGGAATCGGAGTCATCTTTCAAGAAAGCGTTCGCGCCGGTCTTTTTGCCAGCTCCATCATCGCTGCTGGAATCAGAGTCGTCATCATCATCGTCCTCCTCCGAATCATCTTCTTCAGATTCTTCTTCGGGTTGCTCTTGAACTTCTTCGTCGTCAGAGTAGAGATCCTCCTCCTCATCGGAGCTGCTCTCGCTGGAACTGTCGCCACGAAAGAATCTAGACATGTTGATGGTTGCGAGTGGGTGGTATTTGCTTTAGCCTCGAGTTTAGAAAAAAGGTTGCCAGTAGGAATAATTGGCGGGGAACCAAAAATTAAGCGACTTTTTTCGAACAAAATGAATCTTGCCCTAACAAAAAGGATAGGTACGGTGGTAGCCTCAATTAGGTACGTAGGTATCAATAGATATAGATAGATCAAATAAATTATCAATAACAAAGAGTAAGGATTTATTGAGAATTTGTAAAACTGACTCGATATTATTCACTCAATTTTTGCGTTGGCTGAGGAATACTGCCTTTAAGTCGGGAAAATTATTACAGCCAATAAGCAGTCGGTATATGTTTAGTTAGCAGAACCTTGAAAGAAGTCGATGCATTGGCCGTACGTATATCGCATCAACAAACATTTCCCATTTCCAGGGTTTGCCATTTTGCCTGAGAAAAGTTTACTATTTGAGTGTTTAGTCATTAACAAAAACGATATTGCGCGTGCATATTATATTATTGAGAGGTTAATTGGAGCTGACCTCAGGACATGTGATCTCCAAATGTCATCTATCGCCAATTAGGTATATTGCAACGAAAGCGATTTTTTATACTGTCTCTGAACACGTCCAATGCAGTGGAAGTGGACAAGTACACATGTGCTTTGGAAACACTATAGGAAAGTAAAGACGTCCCATTACTGTCATTAGGAGCATCACGCTTCAGGTTATTAGGATAATGTAATGTGTTTTCTATGCGTTTCCCGGTTATGATATATTTACCGAAAACACCCAACGCCCACTACCGTATATCCCAAAAATCGCCCCTTACCCAGAAATCGTCAATATGCCTGGATCCTATATTACATTGCCCCGCCGGAATATTTCGTACTGTCGCGGAATATGTCTCATGTATCCCTATCAAGCCAATCGGGGTATTGTGTGACTCTCCAAGGTTTTATCCCATGTGGATTTTCGGCTCGACTCTTCTTTGCATGCTCAAAGAGCTTCACACTTTCTTCATCTTTCATCAGCCGTGTGAACTCCCGTACTTCCTTATTTGAAGTGGTAGCTGCTTGCTGAAAAGAAGAAAAGAGCTTCTCGGCTGTATATACTGGTCAGCTACAATTTCCTGAAGCTTGGGTGCTTCTTAAAATCGCAGATTGAGAACGTACGTGATTGCTGCTTAGTTGCCAATGGGGAAAGCAGTCTTGGGATTGTAGATCGTAGATTGCGACACTAAACACCTTGTTAGCTAATACTCGTTACAACCTCTAGAACGATACGCGACTGACTTGAATGTGCATTTCCTTTAAAGTTTTCATCGCCTGCTCGAGTTTTGCTTCATCCCATACCTCTTCGGACCCAGAAACTGCTGTTTGTTGAGCATTTCCATCTACATTAGTTCCCGCCTGGCCAGAAGCATTTGTCGCAGCTGATTGACCAGAATCCATTCTTTCAAGGTCGCAGCAATAGCAATTCCATCGAGTGCTCTGATTTGGCGTGCTCTGCAGGGGTATTAATGTTGCCAAAATATGGAAGCAGCTTTGAGCTGATGTCCAAATGGTGGGGCCTCTCCGCAATGTGGGACCCCTAGTTGCATCGTCTTTGGGCTTACATAAGCGAAATAGTGATCAGAATTGGTATGTGTGAATTCATCCAAATGCATCAGATATGATTTATTTTTACTTCTACTGACTATCTCAGGTAGTCATAACCGAATTTTGGCTTTTCCAAAATGCTATGGTCAAAAGACACATGACTTGAAACCTTTGAATGGAAATGATGTTTGTATAAACTTATGGTTTGAATCCCAATACTTTTTGAAGAGCTCGGTCTCTCTGTTATTCCGGAGCGGACCAATATCAAAAGAAGTTTCTGGATGGGAACATATTGGAACAGACCTCATCAGGAACATGATGTTACCAATTTCAGACATATCTCATTTGAAAGAATCCAAACGAAAAGTCCTAGTGGGTCTTAATCTTAAAGAATTTTCAGCTAAACCTTCTTCAAAAAATGGTGAATTCTTCAAGTTTGGATTTTGCCTCCTCATGATCATAATATTAATAATAAATACCTACCTAAACACATCTTGTTTTTTGAAGATCCCATCAACCTATCTCGGAATCAGGCGGCCGCAGGCTTGTGATCATTTATTCGTTAATTTTGCTTACCTACTTCGGTAATTATTTTGAGAAATTAACACTCTCTATCAATTCAAACCTCCAAATTCTTTATTTACAGACCCCACAATCCATAAGTTGCCTTCTGGCTCGAGCTTTTACAATGGAACACATCAGTGGAGACCTTCCTGTCACTAATCTGGTTTCTGACTGCTCCTCACAATCTACTTTGGATGAGTCGATCTCCGGAACAACCAAGATCGAAGATCCAACTCTCAGACCTGACCCCTCGTTCATACAAAACCAGATTTCCCTTCAAAGGAGTCCTACGACGAAATCTCATGTGTCAGCCCTCTCTGGACAATTATCAATAAAATCTAATGGAAGCAGTCCTCGGCTAGGGTTTTCAGCACTTGCCATCGCTCATGGTGAAGACAGAATCAGAGAAGATGATCGGAGGGGATCACGTGGTAATTCAGAGGGAAGCAATACTGGAGAAGTCAACAGATCTACACTATTGAAATCGAATTCCTATTCTTCTGGTCTGTCAATGAAATCAGAGAAGTCAGTCCATTCCGTCAACGTCGTTGGTAACTATCCCCTCGGTACCTTGAGAGTTCACTCTCCATCACCAACCAGAGAGCGTGGTGTGGAGCATCATGAAGTCTTGAAAGATGGCGATGTGATTATCATTCGAAGCCTTCCGGCAGGCTCAATGTTTGGATACGACACAAAAGCTTATACTATCAAAAGCGAAGGAACTCTTGAGGGCGTTAAGAATATTCCTCCTGGAGCCCATTTCTTCTGGGGCGGATCGGCGAATGGGTCCTCGCGCACCGGTTTCTGGTTTATGAGTATGAAACTAGCTTCGGACGAATACGGCGAGGCTCATGTCTTAAGGTGGGATAATTATCATGAGTGTTTGGAAGAGGAGGTTAGCGAAGCAGAAAAACGAATTCAAAAGGCCAGCATACCTGAAATCGTCAATAAACTCGAACCATACTTGAATAATGCTTCAGTCCCAAGTCCAAGACTCGCTGGCTCTGTTTCCGCTTCACCAACTTTCGTCAATTCCACAAGTTCTCCGATCGCTACTGAAGACATTTATGGAAACGACAAGTGGCATCACTTGACCTCTTGTATCAAGCATCCCTACCTTAAGAGAGTTACCGGCGGCAAGTGGAATAGCTGGAAAGTCTCGTCTAGTCATGACATTAAGACGACAGAGCTACAGGCTTCAAGCGCCCCGCGTGATACCAAGGGCAGCAGTACGAATTTTGATGGGGATGATTTTCTTAATTTCGTTTTCCCAAGAAATTCACGTACCTTTTCCGATACATCTACTGGTCGCGAGCGCACTGAGCAGGCAATCGATAGTACAGCTTATATCGTTGATGCTATCGCAAACTGCACTTATGAAGACTCAGATGAGATTATTGGAGAGTTACAGTTTTGCTATATCACTGGAATGGTCCTTGGAAACCTTGCTTGTATGGAACAGTGGGGTATCATTATCAGCAAGCTATTCGGAGCATATCGCCTTTCCATGGATTACCCAGTTTTCTTCCGCAAGGTAATCACCGCCGTTCATGCCCAGTTTATGTATGATGAAGAGGGGTTCGATACCAGTATCTTTGATCATGATTCTCATCTTGGCGATGATTTGAAGATCATTCTCACCAAGTTCAAGTCTCGTCTAAATGAGCAACTTCTCTCTAATGGTTCCAAGATCACTCCCGAGCAGGAAGAAGTGGGAAAAGCATTTGAAGCATTTGAGTCTTGGCTCTGGAAATGGGGATGGGATCTACGGGGGAACTATCTTAGGTCTGGAAAATTCCAGCTTGAGGATGGAGAGATGATCGACGCAGAGCTCAAGGATTTTGAGGACGAGGATGAACGAGGTGAGTACGCGCCGATGGTAGTAGATCTCGATGAAGACGGGCTCGAGAAAGATCGCATAATTCTGTAGCAAATCAAATCATCTTACTCAATGCTTACATCCCACCACACTTCACATGCCTCTTATCTAACACTATTTATCTCCGACACCATCCATCCTCTCCATTTGCGACCTCACCCCATTTCCCTCCCTCCCCCTATCTTGCTGTACCCACCAACCACTCATCTAACCCATCCCTCGTGTTGCGCCTCTAGGTCGCAAATCCGACAAGTCCGACAAGTCCAAGAAGTCAAGAAGTAACCGCATCAGTCGCTCCGGATTTGCCTGGGCCCTTCCAAATGTATCCTAACTCTCGACTTGGCTTTTCCTCCTATACTCAATTTCTCTCCACTCGACCTTTCCTAATACAACTTCCCATCCTCAGCTACTCTGTTTCCGCTTCAAGAAGCTGAACAGAGCAAATGCGTTACCACAAACGTTTTTTTAATTTTAATTTCGATTCTTTGACTTCTTAATTACTTGGCTTCCAAGAGCTTACACTTACCATCTTACGATTTAATGGGTTTCTACGACGTTGGATTTGGAAGCTGGATGGGTACCCTTTACGAATTGATGAATCATGGCTTGGTTTGGGGTGGAATATGCCATTGGTTTTGCGTTGAGGATGGGGGATGCACCTAGGCCGGAATGGAAGATGGGTGGTACTATAAGGAAATCACATTCCATGGATGTGGCATGTTTTATGAGGTTCTACAACGGAGGACTTTTCGGTTTTACAAAGGGGTCGTCAGCATGGATGAATAAGCGGTGTATATCAGGATTGACATTAACGAAGCGCAGTTCCGAACATATCTGCGATCAAAGAAACATACAAGACAGTACAATTGTCACACATATTGGTCAAGCATAAGTTTCATTGGAGTCATTTGCAGAAATTGTGATATTCATGGCTGCACTTCGCTAAAGCGCTTACGTGACAAATGAGACAAGGTCGACCCAAGCCCAGATTTGAGATATAGAGACCAGGCAATAAATGCCGTTCTCCGCGTAGTTGTCATCACTTGCACAATAAAACCCATATTCTGCTCCATGCTTGTAACCAGAATTGGCACATCTACAAACGACGACCACGGCGACCTCCCTTGCGACGGGTGCTGTCGGATGGGGTTGGGGTAACATCCTCAATACGTCCAATCTTCATGCCGGTACGGGCAAGAGCACGGAGAGCGGATTGAGCACCTGGACCTGGGGTCTTGGTTCCGTTACCTGTAGGAAATGGACGTCAGTATTGTTCTCGGTAATTCTAGAGTCCTTGATTGTGTTCTTACCTCCGGTAGCACGGATCTTGATGTGGAGAGCAGTGATGCCCAATTCCTTGCAACGGGCAGCAACATCTTGAGCAGCCAACATAGCAGCGTATGGGGAAGACTCGTCACGATCGGCCTTGACCTTCATTCCACCGGTAACACGGCAGATGGTTTCGCGGCCACTGGAATCACCCAGAAAGTCAGCCTATGAACCTCTTTATTCCAAATTGGCACAATTTATATTTCAAAACACTAAATTTCCTATTGTAGATTTTTTCGGGGGAGTACATACGAAAGATCAGTGACATGGACGAAGGTATCGTTGAAAGATGCGAAAATACGGGCGACACCGAAAACGAGTTCACCTGAGCCGCGGGGTTAGCCATTTGTATCAATTTTCTCCAGGAATTCAAATTTTGCTTACCTTCCCTGACACTAGGGCCAAGGTTGATGTTCTCTTGCGCTGGGCGTGCTGCTTTCTTTGGAGGCATGTTGGTTAGTTGCTGAAGGATTGATCGACGAAGTTTTCGAAAATATCAGAGGTTTTCGAAATGGAAGGGTAGGACATTCGAATTCCAAAATTTGGCGAGTTTGTGCGCGCTAATATGAAATAGGAATAGTTCGCTATCTTTCCTTAGCGTAACGGGGCTCGAAAAAAAGACATAAAGTTTCTCTCGGTCAACTGGATTTTTCTTTTCAACCACCATAACAACAATATTTTCAATGACTTGAATTTTTCAATATTTCTCACAACGTGTAGAATTAAGATCATTGGCGCGATTCGAGCTAGTTTTACGGATACTTACATTACACAGTATTTTGAGCTACTGACATCGTGTGTCGCGCACAATGGCTACTTCAGCCAAGTCAAATCTTGAGGGGAAAATGGATAATTTTGTTATCGGTATCATTGGTATGGGTGACATGGGCAAGATGTATGCCCGCAGGCTCAGCGATGCTGGATGGAGGTAAATATCCTCAATTGAGTTTTCGTTGAGCCCGCTTTTGCAATGGTAAGCACCCTCTCTCTTTCTTCCCCTTCATTCCTCTCTATTATGATGACCTGAGTGCATTTGGCTCGAGCATTGCCTTCAGCTGGCCTGAATACCATTCTGGTACCAGGTTGGAGGCTGGCTTTCTATGATGAAAAATCTCAGCTACCTTATTTTATTTTGTCTGAATCAATCAAATTACTTTTGAAGTTTTTGTTACATCTCGAATGCGCAGAAGCTAACAATTACACTTTAGTTATACCGCTTAAATTTGACAGCTACTGATATATGTTGGGCAGAGTGAATGCCTGCGATAGGGAGGAGAAATATGAAGCCTTGTGTGAAGAGTTTGCAGATAGAGTAAATACCCAGCGTCTTAGATAGTTTGAGCCTGCAGCTTGTGCTGAGACCTACATAGAAACAAATTACAATTCTTCTCAATGGCCATCTCGTTTCCAGAGCAAGTGATTACACTATTTACAATGTCGAAGCTGCCGCGATTGGCAAGGTTGTAGCTGAATATGGTCCCTGTATGGTTTACATAATCTCATCATCTTCATCTTCTAATCTTCTGTGTAGCCACCAAGCAAGGTGCGATAGTAGGAGGACAAACCTCATGCAAAGCTCCCGAGATAGCAGCATTTGAGAAATATCTACCTCCTGATGTTGAAATCGTATCTTGCCATTCCCTCCACGGTCCCAGTGTTGATCCTCGAGGTCAACCTCTTGTAAGTATCCCGATCGTATCACGCTTTCACGTGGCCTAAGAACAATATAGGTTTTGATCAAACATCGTGCTTCCCAAGAGAGTTTCGAAAAAATCGAGCATGTGCTCTCCTGCCTCGGCTCCAAACAGCATGTCCTCTCAGCATCTCAACACGACCGTATCACAGCAGATACCCAAGCCGTAACCCATGCAGCCTTCCTTTCCATGGGTAAAGCCTGGCACGCCAACCTTCAATTTCCCTGGGAGATAGCCCGTTATGTTGGAGGTATCGAAAACGTCAAAATCAACCTGACGCTTCGCATTTATTCTCAGAAATGGCATGTCTACGCCGGTCTCGCCATTCTGAACCCTTACGCCAAAGAACAGATTAGAGAGTATGCGCAAAGCGTGACAGATTTATATAAATTGATGCTGGGAGGGCACCGAAAAGAGCTAGAAGAGCGAATCAAGAGTGCAGGACGATTTGTATTTGCTGGGCGCAAAGAGTCCGATGAATTACTCTTGCGAGACCAAGTACTTGACCGATTTTCCCTGGGCAAGAAACCCGAGAAACCCACTCCAAATAATCACCTCTCTCTTCTCGCCATCGTGGATTGTTGGGCCCGTCTTAATATTATCCCTTACGATCATATGATCTGTAGCACTCCTCTTTTTCGTCTTTGGCTTGGTGTTTCAGAGTACCTGTTCCGAAATGAGAAATTGTTAGATGAGGTTATCACTACGGCTATTGAAGACAACACGTTCCGTTCTGATGATTTAGAGTTTACATTTGCGGCTAGAGGATGGAGCGAGTGTGTAGAGTTTGGAGATTTTGAGAGTTGGAAGGATAGGTTTGAGAAGACGCAAATGTTCTTCGCTCCAAGATTCCCGGAGGCAACGAGGGTAGGTAATGAGATGATGAAGACAATTTTGGCAAATATCAAGGATTAGAGTTGGGGATTGGATAGATTGGGGTTGGGGGTTTGGGGTTGAGGTGGTTTGACTTATTTAGCTGGAGTTTGGCTGGCTGCGCGACATTCGGCATGATTCGAATTTTCGGCAGGGCGTAACAGAGGGTATACTACGCTGCACTGCAAATCAAGATGACACTCTTTTTAAGCTCAAGGAAAACTCCAATTCACAAAATATTCGTTCAGTGACACCGGGAAAAATAGGCGGAAGACTTGTGAATCATATATCATGCTGCAACCCATCGTACACGACCGGGAGAAATAGATGATTGGTAGGAATGGGAAGTGTATTTGTAGATGTAGATGTGGCCATTTCTACTTAGTGCTTTCGGTCGTTTGAAGCGACCCCCCTTATCACCAGATAATCACACAACAGAACTCACGCGAGTTCTTAGCACTTTGTCGTTGTATTAATCAACATTTCCATTGCCATATGCTCCTTAGTTCATGAACATGTCGGAAGAATTTTGCATTTATTTGCTCATAATTCTATAAACCAGCGTAAAAAGCCAGTCCAATGCAAATGCTGCATAACCACTCCCCCAAATCCGCAACCCATGAAACCCCAAATTTAACGGTAAGATTTTTGGTATCTGGCTCTGGCACCGGGACCTATTGAAAATATTAGCGGGAGTCCGAATCCTACTCTTTATACAGAATAACTGACCTCCGAACTTCTTTGGCTCGCAACGTCTGTTATCGGCAACCAAGAGGGTTCTGTCGTAGGTAACGAGGGCTTGCTTCAATTGGTTCTTTGAGTGCTCGTCGACGAACTTTTGGTAGTAGGCAACGATGGCCTTGGAGATAGCTTGACGGATGGCATAGATTTGGGAGGTTTGACCACCACCGGTAACTCGGACACGGATGTCAACACCGGCGAATCTGTCGAGACCGACGATCAAGAGGGGCTCGTAGACCTTGAATCTCAAGACCTCAGGCTGAACCAAGTTCAAAGGCTTTCCGTTAACCTTGACAAGTCCCTTTCCGGCCTATTTCCTTGTGATCAGTATATAAATTCTTCGGGCTGTTGTTGTGGACGTGTGGAGCTTTCGTCGAGGAAATGCGTACCTTGCAGTGGGCAACTGCTGTGGCTATTTTGAAAAATGTTAGTCCTGGTGTGCATTTCAAGAGAGCCAAACTCAGATTGAAATTCTTACCGGTCTTCTTCTTTCCGAAACACTGAACAGACTGAGTGGAAGCCATCTTGGATTATTGTCCTTCAAATTCGAATATATGTTAGCTTTTTGTTCCACCAAAGATGCCAGCCCGTATCATAGAAAACAATTGATAATGCTTTTGTCGAATGTCGAAAAAAATCGATGACCCAGTTCCAGAACCTCCAAGTAATGTGCCAATCCTCCAATATCCCAAATTCCCAAAAGCGATCGCAGTTCAAATTAGGTCGGAATGTGAGCTCACCTTGGCGTAGATAGTCGAGGTGGTTGTAAAGTGTTGTCGTCGTTGTCGCGATGTTCTTCAATTCCTTGAGGGTATTTTTCCATTTGCAAAAAGTGCGAACCGCTCAATTAGCGAAATCAGCTAACGACAAAAGCGGTTAGCTCAGCCTCTCCGCCCCAGTCTACACACCGATGTCTTATCCTTATCGCAAAGCATTTACTCTGTACGGAGTACGTACTGTGAGACCTCAAATCCATTTCACATAATACTTGTTCCAATGTCTCGCAAAGGTGTTGGTCTCGCAGCTTTCGACAGGTCTCGGATCACATCTGCTCAATATGCGTCTCATGGAAACAATCTACGAAGTTCTCATTCCACATCTCTAGCTACTCAGTTATCGGTCTTCCGTTCTTTACTTCAGCAATTTGCTCAAACTCATGCCAAAGATATACGCTCGAATCCCACTTTCCGCGCCGAGTTTGCGCGTATGTGCTCAGCTATTGGAGTTGACCCTTTAGCAAGTAGTAATAATGCTGGAGGTAAAGATGGAAGTGGTAGTTTTTGGGCTCAAATGCTTGGTACAAGTGTGAATGATTTCTATTTCGAGTTGGCAGTAAGAGTTGTGGAAGTCTGTGGTGCTACAAGAGAAGAAAATGGTGGGCTTATCGGTGTGAAAGAAGTTAAAGACAAAATCATGAGCAGAAGAATGGAAGGTGGGCCTGAAATTACTGAGTATTGATCACCTTATGATATCCTTGTGATATACAAAATGCTAATTATTGGCCAGTGATGATATCCTTCGTGCCGTGACTACCCTCAAACCCCTTGGTTCTTCATATTCCACCATAACCGTTGGCCACAAAACATATATCCGCTCGATACCCAAAGAACTTAACACAGATCAGAGTGCTGTTCTGGAAGCCGCGCAAGTACTAGGATATGTTAGCGTCTCGATGCTCATGCTGAATCTTCGCTGGCCAAGAGCAAGAGCTAAGACAGCCATCGAAGATGTCGTCTCAGAGAGTATGTTATGGGTCGATAAGCAAAGTGAAGAGTGGGAGTATTGGAGCCCCAATTTCATGCTAGAAGTGGATGAAGGTGGAAACACTGGATGATAACAAGATTGCAACATACCATTCAGAGAAACACGAAAACCTAGGACCAGAAAAGGCAACGAGTAAGTAAAACAAAGTCGGAAGTAGTGGCAAATTTTACATGTAGGAAGACAATGGTACTTTCTACTGTAAACAAGGAACCTCGGCCGAGTCAGCATGACAGCGCACGTATCCTGGATAGATGAGGCGCCGTCTGTATGTCAGGAGAGGTGTGAAAATGGTTTCCTACTTTACTCATTATCTGCAAATACCTGACGTCCCTTCCCATGAGCTATACCAAGCCCGACCTGACGTTCACCAGGCCTTGGGTGATGCCCATGGCAAGTCTGGTTGCAACCATGAGAAACTGGTATTTCTTGTTCCAGTTGCAAGAGAGACTCTGCTGTCTCATCCGAGGTACCTTCCGGCGATACTCCTTGATAACCACCATTTTGCCATTCCTCTGCAATGTCCGAAAGTCTACGAGAACGTTCAGACTTTGCCTGATATGTTGGGTGTTTACTATCATCCCTTCGAGCTGAAGCTCGAGTTGAACGTGATTGCGTCGAGCTAGACGATTGGAATTCTTGATTCAATTGTTCTGATGATGCCTGGCTGGAAAAAATTGATCGAGTTCCTTGTGTTTCACCCGTCGACGATTGTCCGAAGTTTCGGGCCTGGAAAAGACGTCTCTGCATTGCTCGAGCGAAGTAGTAGACTCCCATACCGAGGAGAACCATAAATGTCATGAGAACGGAAATCAGCACCCCAATGACGTGGTTGGCCTGCATTGTGTTGGGGTGGTCGATTCTAAGTTGCAGATTTTCTTGGGAGTATCTAGGTGCTTATCGACTGTTTATTGTCTTAACGTTTAAAATGTCAAGTTATTGAATATGGAGTTTTAAGTGTCGTGACTTTAGACACAGTCTATGTATTGTGAATAGGCGAGGCTTAAAATCGTACTGGAATCATGGCGGCAACTGTTAACCCAGGAAAGTACGGTGCCGTACTAGCAAATAGCCTTTAACGGTCATGCTCAGTGATTAATTATTTGTCTAGGGAAGTGCATGGTACTATACATCCCAAACATTCGTAGCAATGCTACTATTCTATTACTCCAAAGGCTATTGATTTATGTGATCAAGAGCTCATTTATTAACCTTACCATGCAGTTCATTTGTAGGATTCCAGAACGGAACGTAATTCTAGTTACCTTGCAATTTTATCAATTCTATAAGCACTTTTGTATGGTATTTTGGCATCTACTTCATCAATAACTCCTCATTGCTCTAGCCTTCAGTTCCAAGGGCGACGTTTGACATGGCAAAATATTTTTTGTTTGCAATCTGAACCTTCGCATCCATACCGGGCCATAATAGCTTTATGTCTTTTCACGTATCCAACCTCGCTCTGAGCTTTGAATCATTAACCTTGATCGTGCCCTTTAATCTGCCTTAAACTTTATCTGAATCTCTGAACTCTACCACAAGAGAAGTTTGATATCAAATCTACCTGTCTACAATTAAACGACCAATCAATGTTCAAGCCTTGGTAAAATGATATCAAAGTCCGAATAGAAGTTCTCCCTGATTGTAGGGGCTATTGAATCTGCGCAGTCAGAATATATCATTTATTTAGTCCATTGATCGGAGTTTCCGGTAAAACGTACTTTCCCATTTGACCTGTTAATTTACTAGCTGATCATCAGGATGCAACGGCTCCGGGTCTTCTTATTGGTGTCTAATTGAAGCTGTTCTATTCTAAAACTCTTTTTCCTTCTAGCCTTCATGAAAGACTGACATTAGGTCATTCTTAATCAGAATCCGGTGATACCGCAGAATTACACTTTCTTTCTTACTCACTTACTAACTAAATTAACAATTCGCCTGTCCCTCATCTGAAGGGCTAATGATACCGGAATCGGGAGCTAGATATTCTTTCGAGCATCGAGTTGTCGTACTTAGTCCCGAATAGAACATTCGAGAGGTCAAAAGAACATCCAGAGCCCACCAAGCTAGTAGACCAAAACTTATATAAAGTCCTCATTTCCTCCCTGTCCGAAAAAATTTTCTTCTTCACATCTCTTTTCATCTCTCTTCTCATCTATCCTTAATATTTGTCTCTCAAAATTTATCCCTTTAATATATATCCTCAATTTCGTCAATATCTGTTCTTAATATCCATTCTTAATATCTAGCCTTATTATTTATCCCCTCGACATTTATCTCTCCAGTATTTATCACTCAAGTATTTATCACTCTAGTATTTGTCTCTTCAATATCTATCTCTTCAATATCTATCTCTTCAATATCTATCTCTTCAATTTCGATATCTGTCCTCAATATCTATTTTTAATATCCATCCCCAATATCTCCTTTATCTATTCTTAATATCTGCCCTAATATCTCTTATCTATCCTCAATATTTATCTCTCCGATATCTAGCCTCAACATATAACCTCAACACCTAACCTCAACACCTAACCTCAACATCTAGCCTCAACATCTAACTTCAACATCTAGCCTCAACACCTAACCTCAACATCTAGCCTCAACACCTAACCTCAACATCTAGCCTCAACACCTAACCTCAACATCTAACCTCAACGTCTAACCTCAACATCCAACCCCAATATTCATCATCCATCTTTGTTATTTATCTTTATTTTCCTCCCTCAATTTCCCTATATCTTTCTTCTTTAAGTTCTTTTTCATTTCTTCCCATTTACATTTTTATTTACAATTACAGATAAGGAAACCTCTCCCAGTAGAGATCCTCCAGTGAGAAAACGGGAGAAGCGAAAGTAGTACTTTCTTAAAGCCCCAAAACCGATGCTTATGTGTAATTTTACATTGTTCAATCCTTCTTGAAAAGAAAACCTAAAAAAGAAAAGTTGTTGAGATTTGTATATTCCATTCGTATTCTTTCTATGATATGCTATTACTTTGCCATTGATTCATGACTATCTTGCCACTATCTTGCCACTATCTGTCCTTTGGTTTGTACTGTGATTGAATTTCCATATATAATCTACATCGTTATCGCAGGTCATGTATTTGATGCAATGATGCTAAGATTTGGCTTGCTAATTATAGCTAATTATGAGTTCATGGACAGTGATAACGTTACAAGATAGTGCAAATAGCACGCTCATCAAACGGTCAAATAAGCTTTTCTCTATTTACCACCAGCTATTTTTAGTGCGTGAAACTATTTCCCACTACCGTCATTAACGTGAATAACTTCAGCTGGAAGAAGCGAGTGGATCCTAATACCCACCAACCAGTTTGATATACTGGCGCACGGGTGAGTTACTTGTAGTCTCGTGGTAGGACATATCTTTCAGGGGTTCGTTTTGCGTTAAACGATATTGTATCTAATTTAATATCAGAGCCCCAAAAAGTAATTTTACCCCTACTCTCGAAAGAGTTAGCGGGTAAGGTACAATGCATGAACTTCGTGCCTTGCATACGAATCTCCACGTGTGGATTTAAGGGATGTTTAGTCATTCATTCATTCATTCATTCATTCATTCATTCGTACAGGGATTTCTCCTAACTTACAGTTCGTGTAAAGGTAAATGAGAGAATCTCCAGGCGGAGATATCGCATATTTAAAGTATGATATTACGGAAGCAATAAAGCAAAACCCATTTCTATAGCCTCAGATAACAGCATACCAAGTAGCTACTTATGGAAAAACTATCGGTTCTGAAAAACCAATCTATCTTCTATCTCTAGATGCGAGGTGATTTACACGTTATCGTCTACACGGTCATATATTTATCGACACTCAACACACATCCCTCACTTCACTTTCCTCATACGATTTAGCACGATACATTCTCACTTCTAGATACTCTTCTATCTCTTACCCCAATACACGAGCAGATGTAGATCATATATGAACGTGACTATATACGCTCGCCATTATACCGCGGTTCATCACTTTAGATAACAGGACCTCCATTTATTCCCCCATTCCCAAATTACCCCATTTTCCTTGTAGGAAATAGCAAACACTCCTCAAAAGCAATCTAAACACAGATAACACAAATAAACTTTAAGGAATACTTACTGACAAGCCAGAAGAACACATACACGCACACATATATACATATGTACATACGACAGCCCAGCATGATACAAGTGAGCCAAGCTCAAGAGCACAAGTAAAAGTGCTAAATATACAACACGAAATACCGCAGGACTATTCTAGGAACATGAAGTAGTAGAACCAAAACAAATCAAACCAAAGCAAAGGGGAGGGGATTTGCAAAATTGCTGGGGAGTAAATGGATTGTACAAGTGTGAATATAAATGGAAACATTATTGCGAAAGGATGTACAGGACATCTAAATCTAAATCTAAATCTAAATAGCCGATATTGGATGTAGGAGAAGTCTACAAGTTAACAGAAGGAGAAGATAGAATATTACACTACACCACAGTGACTACACGATCTAAATAAAATAAGGAATCGAAACCAACTGACAAGCTACATATACCATTAAACTCCTACCGAAAGCAGCAATAGATCTCGCATCTCAGTCCTTTCTCTACCTTACTTGACTAATCAGTGTATCGATAGATATCGATATCGATAGAAATATTGGTAGAAATACTCCGATAGGCTGATATCGATTCGAAGCATTGGGAATATATTCTTAACATATATATGTATATGTGTAAATATGTATACAATATAATCCAAATATAGTTTCTTCCTGCTTGCTTCTACACTTCCTACCTCTACCTCTACACATTTCCTCACCACCAAGTCACACTTCATCACATCACAATACGATATCACAAAATCCATATTCCTCACCAACATCACAGCACCCTAGAATTCCCATATCCAGTTTCAAAGATAAGTGTCCCCCGTCCTACGTCTCCTAGATGTATTAGATATATATATATAACTCGAAGTGGATATACTATACTACTCATCAAGAATGTTATTTGAGATCTTACATTGCACTTTACACTTTACACCTATTACAATTTCACGAATTTATTCACTAAATTAAGGTTAACTACGTTAAGGTAAAAGTTCCGACTACCATAAAAATGACGGGATTTTTAGCATGGAAGGCGACTTTGTAGGTAGGCAAGGACGTTTATGTGGGCAGAAGGAGGGGTGCTAGAACATGGCGAGAGGAATGTCGCGATAGCTGTCTCTAGCTGTACACTGTTTAAGCCCGTATGTCGTGCTGCGTATGCATGTCTTTTCCTGACTTTAGCATCGCGATCGATATCATGATATTGTAAACGCGCTACGTGAATCAAGAGGACATCAATCCACAACTGCTAACTTCTGCGTGTTAGCTATGGAAGAAATGCAGAGATGTATTACCCTCCTGTCATCCCATCTCTTTGCCACCAAGTTACCGTACGAAAACCCTGGTAATTCAACATCCATAGTGGCGAACTCTCGACACAAGATATTAACTTACCATTTACGCTGATGTGGGCAGTTTTGCCTCAATACTATTGGTGTGGCAATACCATGAATGCTACTATTCTACTGAAGAACTTTCTTCAAACACCAGCACCAGCACCAAAAACACAACCGCAACGTTAACAACATCACTCCATTTCGCCACATTTCGAAGTAACAGCGGTCAAGCAGTATCCCAGAGAAAACGGCGCCAGGGAAAAGCTCAATCTGAAGCCAGCTTACCATTGGGATATTGACTCATGATTCAAAAGACAGAACACCGTAATCGACGACCGAGTATGTCATCGACAGATCTCAAGTCAGATCTCAGATGAACAAGAAACGCAAGACATGGCAGTAGTGGCACGCAGTCGCACACTGAGAGATCCATCTCTCGACTCCTGGGAGACCTTGTCAATTGCAGATGTGGAGTTCGACACCATTGCTTTTTGTTGTTCCTTGTCATCAACTTGCGGACAGGCGTGCAAGCGAGCAAGCAAGTAAGCGAGACATATGTATATTCAGGGAGCCACAAAGACCGCTAACAAGGATACATATTTCACTCCACAGAGAAACAAGC